CGCGGTTGGTGTAACATGGTTGAATGTCTAGACCCTTCACATGATCCCCATCCCGACACATGGCTTATGTGTGTGTCTAAAATCTACCTAAGTTAGCTGCGAATTCTCAAGCCAGCAGGCAGCCAAGAAGTAAGCTAAAGAAAATAGACGGCGAGAAGAAATTCGTGCATGATTAGATTGCACGCATTGCAAGCGAATAAGCGGCTGCGGCGCTATTCACGAGGCTTGCGAAGATGGAGGCTAGTGTGATACATGTGGTCGATACATATCTGGGGAAGCCGATTGCTAGCCTCCAAAGACTGGCTAGCTCTCTAGCTAGTGATTTATGGATATCCTCAGCTGGCGAAAGACCCAGATTACTCGCGTGCCAAGAGAATAGACGAGTCTCGTCTATGTACGACCGTTTCGATGCGAGGGCCGAAAGTCAACCTGGACCCGAGAAGTACCTCGTCCCCCACATCACAGCCGATCATGATTGCAATGGGCATCCGGATAGTGCAACGTGCCATTGGCCAGAGTAGCTTGGCTCAAGAGTCCGGCAAGGGATAGCCCAGGAACAGAACGTAGTAGCCTCGCTCACTCGCTCGTCTGTCCGCCCTAGTCAAGGCACCATACACGAGGATGGCATGAAGATCGGTGGGGTCTGGAGTTGAACGCACGACAAAAAGTCTACGGTTTCAAAGATGGACGGAGCACAGCTGGGCGCCGTGGCCGGGCAATGTCCGGCATAGCGAAGAGTCATGGCCAGTTGAAACATCTTGAAACGAACTCAATTGTCCAAATGCAACGGTAATACGAGGTTGGCAAGGGCGGCTATGAGCGCGTGTGGTCGAATCAGGTGGCTCAGCGTCCCGCCAGAGGAATTCATGCGACGCACATACCATGTGTGCATTGTTGTACTGATACGTTGATCAATTGTTAGAATAGGCATGTAAATAAAATTGCCCGAGGAATCTACGGGCACGGGCGGGGGGAGAAAAAGTCCTTGACATGCTGTCATGATCAGCGGTTTTCATTCTCTGTCAAAGGCAGGTCACTGGTCAAGTGTCGTAGTGATCTGGGGTATGAATTGAAGAGTGGAGACGTGATTTGATATCTCTTGCCGTAACAGAGTAGAGGCTATAAACCTCGTAGTAAGAACGGGAGTTCAATAGCATGGGCTACGAATATCCTTGGAGGGGGTCAGGGGTGCGGACGAACGGCGAGCTGAACGTGGAGAAGGAAAAGCGATTGACGAACATCCGGTGCAAGTTGGCAAAGAAACTAAGTTAATTGGATCTCATCGCTCCGTCTTTTCCCTTCTCCTGCACGGAGTTCCTTTTGGATGGTCAGAAAAAACTAGGCGCGGAAGAGAAAAAGGTTCGGGATGTCGAAGAGGAAGAAGCGACACCGCATCCGGTGGGTTTCAGGATTGGCTCTGCCTGTTTGATCGACGTGTAAGCGGTACGACGCTGGAGTGCACGGCCAATCACTTGCGGTGGGAGAGCTGCACGGACATGGATCAACACCGACGTTGATAGCCAACCATGGAGGGAAGACCGAGGGCATGAGTCGTCGTCAGAGTCAAAGGAAAAAGGAGCGTGCGGGGGTGGAAAGAGGAGAGCCGTAGCGTATCGCGAGAATCAACCAGAGCCATAGGCTGAAGCCGTCGATGATCGAAGGGCCTATCAGTGCCTGAGTGGGCTGCAATGACGCACTGATTAGCACTGGCACCCGCTAATCTACAGTGGCCAGCTCTATCTAACACCCACGCTGTCCTCCGCGGACAACTTATCGCCATTGACGGGCGCTTTGGACATTGTAGATCGACTTCAACATAGTTGCCCGAGCTCTCCGTGCGTTATCTGCCCTCACGAAACCGTGTGCGTAGTGGTGGTGGTGAGATAGAATGGCGACAGATGCGTCCCGCAAGTCGCCAGAATGGCTCAAACACATCGGCGTATGATGTGCTGTCCACCCACACAACCAGCAGGCATCCCGCCAGTTCCCGTGGGGTTGCTGCAACTCTACAGACACGAAGGTCAGAATGCATACAACGCTGCATCCAGACAATGCAGTCGCTATCTTTGTGGCATGTATCATGTCGTCGCAACATGATGCAAGCGGTGCGCCCTGCCCGCATGCCGCATGTCAGATCAGCGACAATTGACCCCTCGCCCAACCACTCCCAGCCCTCCATGATCTCTATCAACTGCTGGAACCAGCCGTCCACCTCCGCCGCGGCAGCTGATTCGCTTGTGATGGACACAAGCACGGCCTGTCCTCCCCTCCCCCTCACCATCACCACCATCGACCCTGGTCGCACACACACACACACACACACACGCACATATTCACTCACATGCTTGCTCGCCCGCAACGAATGAGAAAAACAACCCTCCGTTATCAGAGAAGCACCAGACTGTTGGGATCCCGCGGATGTCTCAATGTAACTAGCGCAGGGATACAAGTGGCCGACCAACGCTCTTGGCGCGCAAGAAAAGGGTGTGCTCTCGTTGCCCTCTGCACGGATGCGGCTTATCATCGACCAACCACATCTTCTTCCTGGACCAACAGACAATCATGTCATCGATTGCCATTGTGTTGAGCTGCGGGCCAGCCAGTATTCGGGTAAACCGACTTGATGGCGGCAATGCCAAAACAAGATGAGGACACTTCTAGTAACTGCGCATTTACAGGCACATACGTCGGCGTCCACGTAATTTACACTTTATCTACGTTGCCAGAATTATGGAGTTGGCCTGGGATCCGCTCGTTGTTGGAGCAAACTCTGAATATTACTACGTCCGAGCATGGGCCTGCCGAACGGCGGTAGGATCAGCTAGCTGGCTACCATGTTGCTTTCGGAATGGGAAATGTTGCTGCTGGGGTTGTTTCATAGCGTCCCAAAGAGAGCCTGGACTCTTGAGGCTGATAGGCAATTCCGTATTTGCCAATAGTTGCTGTCCCATTGGTCTTGTGAGGCCCCCCTCCCCCTTTTTCCTCGGCTTGGCCAAGCGAAGCGATAGAGAGCACGCCATGCTCTCTGTGGCAAGCTCAGTCCCTATAATCCATCCGCCTAGCTCAAGCAAGCTGCAGCACATGATGACCTCGAGATCAAGAGGAAGCGAAAAAAATTGCAAGCCCAAAAGGGAGGGACTTGGGTGGTGGGGGCGTGGAGGACCGCCCGCCTTGGCGCAACCAACAAGGATGTGATATGATAGAGCATCTCTTGGCCGATTATGGTAACGGCCACTGGTCTACTACCAACGTCAAGATGCAATGGTGAAACGGATGGGAAACCTTCTCGGTGGTTAAAACCACAACCATGACGAGGCAGGGGAGCGGTCCCTTGCCCATCCTACGTACTATGTACGTCCCTCCACATTCACAGGCACGATACGGGCAGCTGAGGGCATGAAGAAGCTAGTGCGTAGCATCATTAGCACGGCGCAATAACTCCAATGTGCGCTCGTTCCACTATCTACATGCTAAGGACGAGTTGGTCGTTAGCCAAGTCAGTCGATGCGGCGTAACGGACACACGGACAGAACAAGCACCCCACACGACACAATGCATGCATGCAATGCACACACCAGAAATGCTTAGAGCCTTAGACGCCCGCTGGGCCAATCCCGGCCCCGGCGTCTAGGATGTCTGTTGCAGAACGCTGCCCGCCACGGCAGACTAGAGCGTCTCGTTTGCGAGTGAGACGCGACTACGCTTCGCTAGGCTTGATCCAGTGACTGCGCCCGGGGGGTCCAGGACCCATCCATCGGTTCTTGGTTGGCTGGGGCCTGTCTGGGCCCTGTTGGTGGATGCATCAGATCATCCAGCAGCGACAGAGGAAAGGTTACCGGCAAACCAGCGAGTGTATGTATGTCAGAATGGTAATAATAAGTCGAATCCTTCGCTACCCTCTCCACGTTTTCCCTTCTCTATTTCTATTCTTGCTTCACAAGCCTTATTCGAGACCCGTCTTCCCATTTCGGGTTCGCAATATATTCTATTGCTTCACCTACTTATTGCCCGGGACGCCCTCGTCCCTCTCCGCCATCCACACATCGATCTGCTTCCCTGCTCACCACCCTCGAGCAGCACCCTAATATCTTTTATTCTTTGCTGTTCTTCTATAATCATACTATTTCACTTGATTTTACCTTTTGTCGATATTCATTCTTCATCTGTGATACCCAATACCCATCGTCATCACCAGCATCGACTTTCTCATCGCTTCTCAGCTTCGACTTGACTGGACCCTGGAGGCACGAGAGTCAAAGGGGAAATCTATAACTAGACGGCATCGTCAGTATTCTAATCAACAATCAACTCCACCTTCTATTCGCCCGTCCAAATGGACTCGAACCGATTCATCCAGTACCAACCCCAGGTGGGCGTTCGCGAGCTGGATCTCAGCGCCTGCCACAATCCAAACTCCATCGCCCACAAGATCAACTCGGTCCCTGTTGTCAAGGGCAGCACTGGTAGGTCATTATTTTTTCCCTTCTGTCGGCCGCTTTCAAATTTTTTCATTCTTCATATTTCGATCTGCCTTTTTGATATTGCTTTCCCTTGCTCCTTCCCCAATCGAACACGACTAGTCGGGTCAAGGGTCTTGCAGCTTCTTCAAGAGCCCTAAAAATAGCCGCCGTTTGCTGGTTGCACAAACGATTCAAGACATTCTGAATCCGTTCGATCGCAGCCGACAGTTGGCGCTTGCAGCAGTCAGACATGGCGTTGGTTGCCCTCATCTTCCCATTCCTCCCAAACGCCTTGGCACGAAAAAAATTCTTCGTCAATGAGGTATCCCTGCATGCAGCTCGGGTCCAAAGTACTGCCACTGCCCTATATTATTTTATATTTGGCACAGCAGTGCGTCGGCCCCACCCGTGAGGGAACCATAGATGCAAAGGCAATTACCCAAACATCTCACCTTCGCCCTACCAACGACCTTGGCATTTCGAGATACGCTCCACTCGCTCAGCTCGGCAAGCCAAGAAGCAATCCCCATGCCATAGTCCATGCTCGTCAGCACCAACAACGAAAAGAAAAGTCGTCCATTGGCTAACTCTGATCCTTGTCATCCAGCCTTCTTCACCTTCCTCAGGGCCAACCTTGTCCTCAGCTCCTCGTCCTGCGCCAACACCCCGCAGCTCGAACCCATGCAGACCACCGCATCGCTTCCTGCTAGCTTCACCAAGCCGAGCGCTTCTACCCTCCGCCACAGCCGCAGCAGCAGCACCAGTAGCATCAGCAGCAACGGCAGCACTGGTAGCCGTCGTCGCCAGCGCTCCCCTCCCTCGCCAACTCCCTCGGCCTGCAGCCTGGACTCCCTCCCTCTCGACGATGACATCCCGCCGCTGTCCCTCGAGCCCCTCGAGACCACCGAGGACAAGGTAGAGGGGCTCCGCCTGGTCGCCGACTCCGTCGCCCAGATGCACCAGCGCGCCTTCAGCACCGTCCTCTTCCACCCTCTCTGCCTCGCCGGATACGCCGCCACCCTTGCCGGCCTCTACCAGGCCTTCGGCGCAAAGTCCGACCTGGGCAGCTGCATCATCGTCGCCTGCGGCGTCACCATGTCCTACATCCTCCTGGTCCGCTACCTCACCAGCGGCTACATCCGCCTCGCCGAGCAGACCAACTGGTGGTCCTGGATGACCGGTGGGAGCGGCGCAGAAGGCGCCGAGGATATCGTCCTGGGCGCCCGCTTCGGCGGCTCCCTGATCGGGGCTCTCGTCCTCCGCCTCGAGCCCAACCCCAGCCTGGTCGGGAAGAAGAAGAGCCGCAGCACGGCGCTGAAGAGGGGTGGCCGGGGCGTCATCCGCGCCTGGACCACCCGCATGAAGTTCCGGGGCGAGGGCGTCGGCAACGACCTGCTCAAGGCGGCCATCAAGGTGACCAAGGAGAAGTGTGGCCGGGATGCGGAGGTCGGTTTCGCCCAGGAGCACGCGAACAGCACCATGGTCCTGCCTGCCATGTTCAATGGCTCCTTCCGCAGGGATGAGATTCTCGCAACCAAGGCTCTGCAGACCGCCGTGTCCGAGTGGGAGGGCACCAAGAGGAAGAGGTGAATTAAACAATAATTGGAAATTAAGAAGAAAAAAAAAAGTGCTAGGGGATGCCCCTGATGCATACTTAGTAGGCTTCGGCCGTGAAAGAGCTGGTCTCGTGGTGGGTTTTGAAGGGCTTTAAGTATCGAGAGAAGACACGATACAGGAACGGAAGATCGGACGCACACAGCGTCCTAACTTTGGTTTACATAGCACACCTGCTAGATTTCCTTGTTTTGTTTGAGATACCCATTTGAAATTAGACAGTCGTTACTTCATTAAATCGCGTCTCATGGCATGAAAAAGTGACAGCCTGCTATCAAACTCCGACAATGTAAAGATCAAGCTCATGCCAGTCCAAAGTTTTTCAAACTCAAAAGCCCAACTCCCAAAAAACACAAAAAACACATCCTGAAGATATCGTAAGCCAACCAAAAGGCCGCCAACAGAAAAAAGAACACCAAGCCCGATGGCCGAGAAGCAGTGAGTCGGGACGCGTTAGTCTCTGGCGTCCTGGAAGGGCATGGATCGCAGCTTCTTGCGGTCCATCTCCGGGTCGAAGCCATAGATAGGGCGACCGATCTGACGAAGCGAGTAGATGACCTAGTGACATTAGTATTTTGGCTGCAAAAGAGCGAGGCGAATACGGCTGAGCACATACATCGTTGACGGTAACCGTCTTAGCTGATCTGTACTCCACGTACATGACGCAAATGCGTAGAATCTATGGCATTTTGATTAGTCTAACCCAGCTCGCGACTGCCTTTCTCAAAATGGGGATCATACCTCGCTCAAATGATCTTTAAGAGCTTTACGGCAGTCTTCGTAAATGTTTCCTGAGATGCGCTTCACGCCTCCACGGCGAGCTAAGCGGCTGCGAACACGCAACATTAGTACTTTCACCAGCGTCACAAGTGTCTCATGAGAACATACCGGATGTCAGGGCGTGCTTGAAAGAAAAAGTTAGCAAGGCGGACGCGTTGAGAGGGAGTGGGCAGAAACACTTACTGATTCCTCTGATGCTGTCTCGGACAACCTTCCTAAAAGAAGAATCTCACAGTTAGAATCGTCAACTCGCCTTTTCCTTTTTTTCTTTTTCTTTTTTTCCCAAGTAGTTAGAGATGGATCCTTACCGATGGCGGGAAGATCCCAGTGGAACCTTGCCCGAGGTGCTTTTTCTTCCTGGGATGGTCTTCGATGCCGTGCCCTTCTTCCCCCCGCCTGGTCCTCCCCGGCTAGGAACACTGACAGGCATGGCGGCGTAAATGCAGCAAAAAAATAGGTAGGTTTAAGCGTGGCGGGGGTACACTTTTGGCACCGCGAATCGTAACACGAGGACGAGAGCGAGGATTCCCCCAAGACACAACTGGGTTTCCTCGGGTTTTGAGAGTGCGGGTGTTGTGTTGTGTTGTACAAGCTGCTGGTCGCCGTGGGAAGGTCTTCGCAGTGCCAAACGGCCGTGGTTGCCTGCGATGACTAATCGTGTTGCAAGCAACAACAACGCCCACGTGATCACTTGGACAACTGCAACGCGTTTTCTACGTTTGTAGGTTTGGCAGATGGGGAAATTCGAGGCTTCAGTTGGTTGGTGTTAGATTCTATTTGACAGGTCTTCATTTGATTTGTGATTCCTCGTTGCCAAGGTCCGATAGCCCTTATCGAGACGATCAAATGTCTGGGTTAAATCCGGGGGGGGGGCGCATGTTAATAAATGACAGGTCAATGCCGGTTGACGAAGAACGCCACGAAACGTCATGGTGTAGAATTGCAAGAGTTCAATTATTTTGATATCAACCGTTGCGCCAGCGTTCCATGACCACACCCGAGTCGTATTTGGTGCTGTTGAAGAAGCACACGGATTAGTTCACCAAGCGCCAAAAGCCAACAAGACAACCGTAGCCAACCAACCCCTCTGTATCCTCCCGCCGTTGTCACATATATGGAGCAGATAACGAAGCAAGAAGAAAACATGTAGAAAAGAACCGACCATTGTGACGTCTTTCATCATTCAGGGCGCATCTCGAATTGGGTATTATATAATAAATAGTAAGAACAGGACGGCACATTTTCTGGAACCCAACTCGTCCAATGTCAGATCATTGGACGGGAGGATTATACCATCTCTTCAAGATTCTTCGTTCAATGCCTCAGCTTTCACGTCAGAGGCCTCCTTATTTTCAGGCTCGAGCTGGTTTGCCTCGCGCTCTAGTTGCTTTTCGGGCTGCCCTTCAGGTTGTTCACTGAGCTGGAGATCTATTTGAGGTTCAGCTTGGGGCTCGGGTTGGGGTTCAACGTTGCCCTCAGATTGTGGTTCTGGCTGTGCCTCCGTTTGCGCTTCCGAGGGACTTTGAATGCGGGCCTTCTTGGCTGGTCTCTCGGTGGGTATTTCAGCCGCATCCTTGAGCGCTTTCAACTCTAGCTCCATCTCATCCAGGCGTCTTTTCAGGCTGTTTTCCCTACGATGGCTGTCATCGAGTTGGACGCGCAATTGTTGCTCATTCTCTTGGCTAATTTCCAGCGTGGACCTGGACTGGGTGGGATCGAGCCCGGTAGCCTCTTGATCTCTTCTAGCCGCTGCTGCCTCCTGCTGTTCCAACTGACTGAGACGTCCTCGGAACAGCTCGTTTATGAATTCAAGCTCGCTCACACGTGTTTTCAGACTGGAATTCTGTGCGATAAGCTGTTCGTGTGTCTGTGGCGCATCAAGACCCCTGTCGCCGTTGAGGGGAGAGCCTGTCCCATCCCCAGGCGCAAAACCGGATACACCAGTCGAGGCATATGGGTCATCCACCATAAATGGCAGGGACTGGTTGTAGAGGGCTGGTGTTCCCGTCCTCGAGATTGGGGAGTCATGCCCATCGATCATACCGTTCGCTGATTTTCTCCGTGCGGCTTGGTTATTCTGCGCATTCATCTGCCATCACAGGTTAGCAATCGCATGCGATGAATTGATATCGAGGGAGTGGTCATAGAAGGGGGTGCGACAGATGCAGCGACCACTCTCGGAGGGAGAGGGTTACGGCGTCAATGGGTATGTTTACCTTCTTCTTAGGCGCTAAGTCTGTGCGCATTGTCTTCACGCGATTACGGCTCTTGATGACATCTGTCTTGAGCGAAATCGGTCGGGGTCGGCCGTGCAGCTTGAGGAAGAGGCCACAAGCATTGCAGAGGACCGAGCCAAACTCGTCACGTCGCCATAGCGGTGTCGTTGAGGTACTGCAGTTCTGACACGTAGGCTGCGAGGATGCGTTAGAGGCCATCATTGTGATGAGTGTATCAAAGGGTGAAATTGAGAGCAAGCAGTCGGGGTTGGGGTGAGCTGGTAAGGTCGGGGCGTAGATTGATAATGCGATTTATCGCGATCCTGATAAGAGAGGCCGAGGGACAGGGTGCGAGCGCAAAAAATTCGACCCATCCAGAGTGGAAACTGAGAGATAAGGATGGGGAAAGATAAGACATGCAGGTAATTGGGGCCACCTAAGTGGTTGATAAAGCCCAGATACGCACGTGATTCCACTGATAAGGAGCGATATATGGGGCATTCCGGATTAGGAATAGTTTGCCAGGGAACGCAATACAGCACGCTTGCGGGACATGGCAAAAAAAAAAGGAAATGACGATAGCAAGAAACAAGATAAGGGGAATCGATAAAGGATAAGCAATCAACTTACCAAGCCGTTTCCATGCCCCCCAGTCGTAGCACCTGGAGAAGGTCCGTGATAGGAAGGTTGCTGAGGTTGCGCGGGAGGGTGCTGCTGTGGTGCTACAGGAGGCTGAATATGCTGTTGAGATTGGTCGTGAGGTTGCGGTGCCGCTTCGGGTTGAAGTTGAGGTTCAATGTGTGAGTGAGAGACAGCTGCCGAAGCGCTATGCGAATGTGTTAGCGATTGGACTTTGGAAGGCTGCCCGTTGAATTGCGACCCTCTAACAAATCGATCCCATTCGCCCACGAGGCAATGCGCTGCAGAAGTAATGGGAAACGTCGTATGGATAGTACCTTTGGTGCAATGCGTCGGCCGCCGCAGTAGCGCTGGTCGCAAGAGTTGAAATTCCTGGGAGTTGCGCAACAGCAGCAGATGCCGAGGTCGAGGTCGAACTTGGTCGTGATATCGGGTCAACAGACGGGGGCGGCAGAGATTGCGGTCCTTCTTCCATGTCTAGAACTCGTTGGCAAGCAGAAGCCACGCGTATTTGAGGGAATTGATCGGGAGTTCGAGGCTGCTATCGGTAAGCCAGGATGAAGCTGGTTGGAAAGACCGAAGGCGAAGAGGTTGCGAGTATATCGACCGGATTAGAGATTAGACACAAGGCGTGGATAGACTATAGTCTGAGTGAGTCGCTTCGTTACTCTGTTGCGATTGTGCGTGGGGGTTGCCAAGGAGAGTGTCGCAGTCGCCAAAGTTAATTAATGTTGACAGGAGAAGTCGGAGAAAATATGTGAAGTTGGATAGGATAATGGCACGAATTATTGGCTCCGAGTGGACGCGCTGGGGTGGGCGCGAAACACCTGCTTAGGTGGTGACATCGTGCGCTGCAGGAGCCAATCACCCCACTAAAATAGTAATCCAGCAGCTAAAATTGATTAGGTAAAGGCGACTGAATAGGAGAACGCCACAAACACTCCAGCACCGATCCCAGATGTCTTTGCTGCTTCTAGTTGTTTATTTAGAGCAACTCGTCCAGAGACTGGCTGGAGCCGCCCATCGCTGTGAGAAGAGCCGCAAGCAGTTTACCTATATATGATGGGTCTATGACATGCCGTTTGGGTGTGATGTCCTCATGCCATGTAGCCCACCGCTTCTTGGTGCTACCTTGAGGTACATCAGCATCCAAGCCCTCTTGGATAAGAAATTGCCTGCCATTTTGCACCCCTGAGATGAGATGGATGGGATTTGTTCGGCATGCAGCACGCACGCTGTAAACATGTGGCTGATCCTGGTGGTATTCGAAGATTGACCTAGATAGCCAACCTCCCATCCCCTTTATGGCCTGATAAAGTGACACAAGGTCCTGCAAAATCAAGATCTCTGCTGACCACAGACTGGACCAAGCCGGGCTGTCAGGGTGCCCCACACCATACACCACGGTCAGCGTCATAGGCGGAATCATGCAGATCGAGGGGTTGGGGTTCGGATTCCTGTACCCTTTCTACCTGGCTAAAGTTCACATGTATCCGTCTCCATTAAATTCGGCGTATTCTGGTGGCTCTTTAGGATGCTAGGATCAACCAGTATGTAGATGAATGCACTAATAAACTTCTGTCATGTCGTAAGATGATCTCTCCACTTGCTACTAACGTAAGAAGCTGCTTGTTGTGAGTGGTAGCAACCTCAGGTATTTCTGGGTACCACTGCAAAGGCAAGGCCAAAAAAGCATGCGAGACCCTCCCTAGACCGACCCGGACGGACTAATAAGCATATGTTCCTTCTTTTCATCTTTTCACTGTAAAGATCCCATCACCTCAACTAAATACCCATCACCGCAAGCCACTTCGCCATGTTCAACTGGGCAAAGCAACAGTAAGAAAGACACCGCCTTCCGCCTGCGTTTCCTGCCCCCGCATCCCGCATCCCACCTCCCTCTCCATTCTCTTGATACTGACCGCAACTGCACCAGGCTGGCCAATGTGGCCGGGACACAAGAGCCCATCTATGGCCCTTCAGCCATCCGATCGGTCGCCGAAGAGGCTAAGACCACCAAATATACGGAGCTCACTAGAGATGATCTGAAATGGCAGCGCATGGATTCGACGAATGTCGAGACCGAGACCTTCTACCTCACCTCTGACAATGGCCATGTCGCCATGGCCCAGGTCATTTACAGCAACGTTGCGTACGGTCGCACCCCAAAACAACCTGTATCTCCTCTTCCATCAGCTAACAGCCTTCCATAACAGTGGTATTCGAGTCACCGCCCAGTTCAACGTCAAGATCTTCTCCAGCGACCCTGCGAAACCACACCTGTGGTGTTCCACCCCTCTGAACAACATCAGCTTCAGCGAGGATAACGCCAGTTTCTACGCCGATGACTGTGCCCTCGAGTTCTCCGAGGATGGCACCTACTATACTATCAAGAGCCACAACGACGAGCGGGCCGTTGTCAACCTCAAGATCACCCGCCAAAGCCCGGGCTTCCAGGCGGGCAAGACGGGCAAGTCGCTCTTCGGAACCGACCTGGCACACCCCTGGGGCTCCATGCGCCACGCCTTCTGGCCCCGATGCGCCGCTACCGGCACCATCACCACCAAGGAGGGCGAGATTGACTTCACCGGCAAGGCCCTCTACATTTACGCCATCCAGGGCATGAAGCCTCACCACGCTGCCGCGCGATGGAACTTTGCAAACTTCCAGGGCCCTACCTTCTCCGCCGTCATGATGGAGTTCACGACGCCGCCTTCATATGGAGAGACTCTGGTGAATGTCGGAGGTGTGGTTAAGAGCGATGGGATCATCATCGCTGGCTGCGACAACGAGGCCAAGCATCTCAAGGCCAAGCAGGACTCCGAAAATGACTGGCCCGAGCCTAGCGAAGTTCGTTTCTTCTGGAAGGGAACTACTAAGGATGGAAAGGATGTTGAAGCAGTCATTGAAGGCCCTCTTGGAGACAGAACCGACCGCGTTGACGTCATGGCCGAAGTGCCAGGTTTCGTGAAGAAGATTGTGGCCGGAGCTGCCGGAACAAAGCCATATATTTATCAGGTTCGTGAAAACCCCGACTGCCAAATGTTGAACCTCTCTGTTTGTTGTTTCATGAACTAATATGGTGTGGAACCAATAGTATGCCCCCAAAGTCACGCTCAAGGTCAAGATCGGAGACGAGGTGACCACTGAAGAGGGTCAGCTCTTCAGCGAAGCCACATTCATCGTGGAGTAATGCAACAACACCTAGGCTAATGGGGAGACATGGAATTCATTACGCATAATCATTTGGGTAATTAATTAGGGGACTTGATTGGAATAAGGCGTTGGAGACGGACTGTTCGCTCGTTTTTTTAAGGATTCGTTCGGCCCTCGCATGATGAGATACATACATATACATCTACTGGTGTGTTGCCTCTGTTCTGGTTCTTGGATGAGAAACAATTGGATTTGTACATGCAGTTGACTTGTAGTAAATGGGAGAGAAACACGTCAAAAAACAAACCACACTCACGCAACCGATAAGATCATCCGACCACCATTTCCGCCCCGGTTCCGCGATGGAGATAATGTGTTTCCATGTGAGTGGCGGCCGCTGTGATCCAGAACGACCGGTTGCATAAGTCGGCGCCCATCCCACCCACACTGACAGGTGGACGGACCAACATCCGCAAACTCAAAGCAGCTGAAGGAATGGAGGATGGGCGTCCCCGAATAGGATCTGTTTCGGACCACAAAAATAGATGACAAGCGGCCAGCCTAAATATAATGTGAGATATGAGCTTGGGCAATAAATGAGCGCGAGGACCCCCGACATCAATCAAAACATGGAACTGGCAACTGTCATGCACGGCAGCTACTCGAAGAACATAACAGCTTTTTGAAGTTTTGATCATGTCTCGCGATACATATACGCCGATCTTCTCATCGCCTCTAAATCCTTCCTCTTCTTCCGAGGATGGTCAAGCCAAGCGGACCAAGCCTACCCCCAACCCAGCTTCGACCCGGTGCAAACGCATGCCTAGCCCGTCCCAGAGACTGATGCGAAAGAAAGCCGCCGAGGCTTGGAAGTCAGAAGCCCTTCAGCGCCAGGTCGCCGAGTATGAGCGCCAAACATTGGAAGCCTTATCGGCCAAGAGTGTATGTGCTTACCCACATGGAGGCCCGGTCTTCCCATGGAAGCCCAATCTAGCTGACATTTATTGAACCTTGTTTCAAGCCATCCCCAGCGCGACCCTTAGCACACAAACCCAAGGGCCTGAGGGATGCCCAAGAAGGAGACAAACCACGGCGGAAAAGCCTGACAGAACAGTTGCCTTTCCTCCAAGGTCTAAGTCTTGGCGTAATGATGCCCGATAGATGGAATCGGCCCGTCAATCCGATATGGATATTCTCGCCAAAAAAGACGAAATAGGAGATAATTTGAGATACGAATAATGATAATTAACGATAAGCAACCAAGTGGCATTTTGGAATTTAATGTCGCGACATCTGTACATAATAAGTGGATTGTTTCTGTCTATATCGTCACCAGGAGTTGTGTTAGATATCCCAAGGAGCCTCACCCTCTCCTTACCCCTTCCTTCTATATACGAACGCCACAAAACAATATTTTTTTCGTCATCTGCAGTGATGATACAGCGCATCAATCGTGATTATCATTCCTTCTTCTCCTTCTCGCCGACTTCTGGCACGTCCTTCTCTTTACCATCGTCCTTGGACTTTTCTGAAGGCGAGGGTACATGGACCTTGGCGGCCTCCTCGCCCTTTTGCAATGCTTGTTCCACTTGCCAGATCGCACGCTCTAGCTCGACCTCCAATTCGGGGATGTTGAGAGTATCCGAGAAATTGCGAACTTGTCTCTGTGTGAGGAGTATCTGCTCCTTCACGTCCAGCGAGTCGCTGATAGTCGGCCCGTCCTTGATGTAGAGATGATCTAGAGTCTCTGACGGCTTATCCTTGATAAGTTTATTTTCGAGGAGCCATTGCACGTGCTTGCCACCAGATATGGCGCGCCAATGGGACCAGGCACGGTAGGCTAGGTAGAAGAAAGGAATGTTGGGGATTCTAGTCAGCGGTCCAGGTCAGCCCGAGTCAACTCTCGTCCAATGAGCCGCATTTCGCAAGCAGAACTTACACGGGGAGGATGGCAACGGGCGCGGTGAAGGGCATAGCCACGAAGCTGAGCATTAGGCGCTTCCTGTGCAGCGACTCGCGCTCCGTCGCCAGCGTCTTCAGAATCGACTGCGCCCTGTGGGCGGGGATCGTCGCGCCCGGGAACACCAGCTCGACATCGTCCTGGCCCCCGAGCTCCTCGGCGCGCCTCCGCTTGGACAGAGGAGGTATGGACTTGAGGCCCCATTCCTCGTAGGGGATCCGGCGGAACGCATGGTTTCCGTAGTCGACCAGCTTGCGCTGCCAGCCAGACTCCTTTTTCTCGTACTCGGCCCACTTCTTGGCGGCGAAGCCGACGATCTTGTCGGCGATATTCTGGTTCGTGTCCGTCGTCGGGATATGGACTCGGTGGGCGTACAGCAGTGTGCGCCGCGTGGAGAGCGGCAGCAAGTATATACGCATCGCTGGTTATGCTTTCGCTGCGTCTCGGAGATGTCGGTGTCGAGGTTCAGGCAGGAGGGCGGGTTTGGGGAGGGATAGCTGGCGGGGGCCGGGATTCCACGATGCTGCGGCGAGCGCTAACGGACTCTACTGGTCCATTGTCAGGGAGACGTTTGGGATGAAGTCGACGAACGTTGCGGTGGGCAGCAGATGAGGACCGATGCTTATTTATCGGCGTGTTCGAGGTCCGTTAGCATCTCCTCGATAAAATTACTAGGGGACCACTCGATGACGCACATGGGACAGCTGTACTGGACATTATTCGCCCAAAGTCTCACAGCCATCGGAGCCACTTTTATGATCTCCAGCAGGAGCAGGAAACCCCACCATTCCCCTCCACGCAGGAACCGGTGAGGTGGCTTCCGGGACGTGGGTATGAATTATGAAATCCGGTAATAGCTCTGTTCCTGTCTCAAACATGGATTTTATTAAGCGTATTTTTATTCTCGAAAATTATAAGTGTTTCATTCATGCCCATTCCGCAACAACTCGGATTCATTTGGCCTGGATTGGCTCAAGAGAAGCATGGATTCGATGGCTTGAATGAATCGTTTTATCCTCCGAATCGCATGTTCATCTTTCAACCTTCTACCAAGTGAACGAATACGAACAGATACTGCTTTGATTTTTACTTGGATGGATTGAGAATTACTGAACAATAAAGTCCTTTGTCCTTCTCAATTCACAATTTCCTCCTCCTCTTTCAGCATACCTAGGTCAATTTGTCTCGTTTGCGGTTTATTATCTGCACTCAGACATATCTCCCTACCTTCTAAGTCTGTTACCAAATCACAGAATGCTCAAAACATACTATTGACCTCAGGCACTAGTGTTATGCCTTGAGCTGGCGGTGAAACCCTTTGCAGCCTAGAGACGTATCTGATCACCCTCTCATCGTCGAGTAATATCCGATGCCTCTTGGTGAGGATATTTGTCTTCATCCCTGCCGCAACTTTTAGGTTGCATCCGAGACATGCCGGATTCGGCGTTGAATACGCCGTACCCATCAGCTTGATTCGTTCTCTGGCTCTTGCCGCCCAATTGGGCTGTCGTCTATGTATTAGCGGTCTGTGTTGTGTTGTGGTAAATCAATCCAATTGGCATGCCAACAATCTCTTTGAATCGCGGCGGAATGCGAAGATGATTAATTGCTCAACCTACTCAAGAGGGACCGAGAGAGCACGATAGGAAACAATTTCGTTTATCTAGAAGCTGTCCGTTCTGTATGGACCGAAGCAAGGTGGCATCCCGGAGATTCACAGGACTCATTTCAGTAAATTTCCAAGCGAGCCCAAGCCCTGATGATGCACTGAGCCCCCACAAGAATTCCATCCATATCTTCACAATATGTCCTCAAACCCATGTCAGGGCTAACTAGCTTGTTGGTGCTATTCTGTATTCTATCTTAGGGTGTAAAAGGTCAGCAGAAGCCAGCTGTCAGCGTCCACTGCTCTCTCGCCAGGTAGGTGTTTGATTTGTTCCGTAAGGACACGAGAAGCCGATCCATGGATTGTGTTACCACAAGAAGGATAATCAATCGAGGTGACAGAAGAATGATGCCCATGCTGAGTCAAGATGCCAAGCGGACCGTTTCTTGTGTTTTCTTTTGCTCGCGTGCTCACAGCCAGGTGACTTGCTGATTTATCGGTCGTTAGCGGGACTGGGGCATTAACCGGACGGCGTACCTAATGCGTTGGGGCTGGCGGGGACGAGCCTAGACCTTCTTCACCAGCACTGACAGGCTTGACAGCCAGGCCCAAGCCAATCGAGGCCATGCTTGCATGCAGGTCGGAAGCGGTTGTCAAGCGAAAGCAGAGCAAGCACCTGATTCATTGACACAAGGCATTGGCGGAGGCTAGATGCAGCGCAGCACAGGACCAATACGAATGCGTCACCTTTCACCAAGAAAACGTCATGTAAGAATGCGCCGCTTCTAGCCCGAGCCGCCAGAGTGCGCCTCAGGCGTTGTAGTGCCCTACAGGAGGGGCCAATAGTTGCTGTGGTCCTCTGAAGTGGATATGTGACCCAATCCCAACCAATGGCAGACCCGGACCGCTAATGGCCGGTGACCCAGCACAGCCCCACAGAGCCACAGGCGAATGGACAAAGGGCCAAGGGCCGGGCCTAGCACCACCGTCGTCCTCTTTCCTTCATCTTCCACCTCGACAATCACATGTGAATGTCTTCAGCATAATCTTATACATCTCCAGCAGAGGCACACCAAGCGGTCCAATTAAAAATTAAAAGCCGCATCAACTGCGTGCTTAGAAAGTGTGGACTAGATTCAACTCGTCCCGCCCGACTATCCCCAACAAACCTGGCTGTAACACGGCCACACCCAGCTTGCAGCTACCAAGCGGGGACTTCTTCCGGCCGATCCCAAAGCTCTCTACTCGTCCTTTCTTGTTTCCATTCGTCCTGTTCTCTTCAAACATTTCCTGTTGGCCTTGCCTTGCCATTTCCGACCCAATTGACTCCTTCATTCTCGGGCTTAGTTGCCCTTCTGATTCTTTTCCTCGCTTTGCATCTTGAGATTGTTTTGGACACCACAGTCAAATATGGCCTCCACAGCTAAGGATGACCTGGGCCCAGACTCGGGAAGTCTTCGCCAGAGACACCATCCTCCCGCCAGCTCCAAACAGGATCTCGAAAGTCCGAAACAGCCAGTTGACGAGCCACATGCTAATGTGAATGCCCAAAACAAAACGTACGGGCGCACTCCCAACGGCACAGGTATGAATTCATTCCCTTTACTCCTCCTCTCAATCGTTCCCCGACTGTCGACTGGTGCCCTGCTCAAAGAATTGATGCTCACCTGCAACTGCCTCTATAGTGTTTGTTGTGGCTGATACTCATGACATGGTCTCGCAACTCCTGGACCCTCGTTTGCCCAAGAATGTCTCGGATCTTCTCATTCTTTCCATTATGGCTTTGCATGTGTTGGTTGCCTACTATCTCCCTTCCGGTCTTAAGAAACCCGTGCTTGCCTCAATCTTCGTGTTCTGGAGACTCTCATACAATGCCGGTATCGGTATGCTCCTTCACGTCCAATCGCACCACCGGCGCATGGTCACATGGGCTCGAAAGCAGAAAATATTTGAGCCCCCTGCTGACGGCAAGCCGAACCGGCTGTATGCATTGGTGAAACGCGAATGTGAACTCCTGCACGTGAATCTTGAGGACTATGATTTTGAAAAGGCCCCGATCGAGTATAACACATGGCTCGTTTTTCGCCGAGTCGTCGACCTGATTTTGATGTGTGACTTCACTTCTTACTGCCTTTTCGCAATCATCTGTGGTCATGTCCCCCATAACGAGAGCCTCATTGCCGGGCTTGGTCGCTGGGCTCTGGGTATTACTTTTATTGGTATCAACCTCTGGGCCAAACTCTCGGCTCATCGCACTCTGACCTACGCATGGCACTGGGCCGATTTCTTCTACCTCATTGATCAAGACCTGACCTTCGATGGTATCTTTGAGCTCGTGCCACACCCCATGTACTCGATCGGTTATATTGGCTACTACGGTATCTCGATCATGGCTGCCAGCTACGAGGTCCTCTTCATCTCCATCTTTGCTCACCTTGCTCAATTTGCCTTCCTCGCTGCAGTGGAGAATCCTCACATTGATCGGACGTATAACCCCCCTGCACCGCGGGCACGGAGTAAATCTGGGAGTCAGAATGAGCTGCCTGTGGGCGTAACCCAGTCGCCTGGGCCGAGCTCACCGGATCAGCCGCCAGCGAACAATGCCACCCTGGAGCCTCCAATCCCGGTACACAACATGGTGGGTTTGAAGAACATTGACTTGTTTCGGGTCACCGATTGTGTTGTCGTCATCGTGCCCATGTATATTGCCGTGCTTACCTTCGCTACTCCCTCAAATTCCTTCTGGCAAGCGATCTTCGTGATCCATGCTTTCTTCTGGCGTGTTTGGTATCATCTTGGATTGGGCATCATCCTGGACAAGCAGTCAACTTCGAAGATGTTCACCCGGCACTTTGTCAAGTTTGGAGAGAGCCTAGATGAGGCCTGGCGGCAGTGGAAAGCGATGCACCATGTCAGTATGGTCATGTGCAATACAGCCTTCGTCGCCGCCTGCTGGAAGATGTATAGCTTCCCCGAGGATTGGAGCTATGGCCTCGTCTTGCTCAAGCATGTCATAGGGTTCAGCCTAGTAGCGCTGCAGATTTCTGTAGCCATGAGCATATATTCGTCTCTAGGCGAATATGGCTGGTCTTTTGGTGACTTCTTCTTTGACCAAAAAGCCAAACTGACTTATCAAAACGGGGTATATCGGTTCTTGAACAACCCGGACAAGACCCTCGGCATCGCAGGAGTATGGGGTGCGGCTTTGATAACCTGGAGCCGGTCGATATTCCTTCTCGCGCTTACTACTCAGCTGCTGTCGATCTATTTCATCGCCTACATTGAACGGCCCCATATGCTGAAGATCTATGGTGATAGGAACATGCGGCAGGAGGCCGGCATCACCAAGTTTATCAAGCGGTCGCTCCCCGATCCTGTCAAGGGCTGGCAAGAAAGTATGGACAAGGTAATTGATGATACTACGCATTTTGTTGAGGAGTTCCTGGATTCCGCCAGACCGAAATTTACTTCCGGCGTCAAGACAATTATCAAGGATACCTCGGCCTTATTTAACACAGCTCCGGCACGGTTTACAATTACCAGAATCAGTGCTGATCTAGAAGGACTGGACCCGAAACAATACCAGCTTACCATTGATGGCACCCCTTCAGTTGATTCGCTCGTCAGTGAGCGGGCGACTGGGAAGGAAAGCATCACGGCTCGGTACCCCAAGGATGTTAAAACGAAGACATACGAATATGGCACACCGCTGCATGTCAAATGGAGAGCACCGGTTAACCACAGCAGCAAGGACTGGATTGGCCTGTACATGGTGACCGACAATCGCTCCAGGGAAATAACAGAAGTCCCATCTCTCGGTCGATGGTCACCAACGAATGCTGGTGAATATGACCTATCAACTGCGGACACGAGCATCGTAGTGGCCGGACGCCGCACCACCTCTCCTGAAGGACAGGGTTCAGATGTGGTAGAAGGTGAGGTTGTTTTCCAAGGAGACAAGCTCTGGTGGACGCAAGGCGTGTTCGAATTCAGATATCATCACGGTGGGAAACACACTGTTATGACCATCTCGGAGCCATTTGAGATCCGCATCAGCAAGTTTGAGGAGGAAGATGTCAGTGCTGATTTCAAGGGCCTGTATGAGCAAGCCGTTGAACACGCCATCCTACCTGTCGTGGTGAACTGCCTTGACCGCAACCCAGATATTGCGCCGACTAACGTCGAGGAGCCGTTTGGCGGCCACGTAGAGAGGGACAGCAAGTACGCTAAACGAGTCGTATACGCCATCAGGGAGATGTTTGGTATCGAATTCGCACCTGCTGTTGTCCCCGCAGACGGAAACGTCAAGAAGTTGGCCTGGAGGATTTGCAATGCCAAGCAGGTTCTTGTAAGTTGTTGACAACATTCTTTTGTTCTAGGTATGGATCATTCGGCTAACATCTTCGACTTAGGCGCCCTATAGTATGGCGGCATCAAAAGGAACCACGACACCAACTGGAGAGGACGATATGGTGCCTTTGAAAGCGTAAAAGGATCTTGTCATGGCGTTTGCAATGATCGTTAGATGGTCGGGTAAAATTTGCTAAGATTTTTTTCAAAAATAAAGAAGACAATTGACAAAGAGTATACATCAAATCTGAGTATGCGTGTACTAACCAGAGCAAGCAGCCCAATTGCTCGTTGTCGCAAGAGCGTGCACACCCTAGATCTCCCTACGCAATCATTTGTCGTCATCCAACGAGTGGCAATGCGCCGAAAGCTTCATCCCAAACTCCCCGGCGCCTCTGTTTGGCTGGGGACCTGTCAAGTTGCATTCTGCCGATCCTTTGCCCACTCGGTCAGCCCGGAGATGGATGCGCGGATTTGGAGTTGCCAGTCTGGGTTCCCCGCAACTCTCCCTCCGTGACGCTTCGAGGAGTCCCCGTAACACACGACGAAGTCCATCCTCCCCTCCTCACTCCTTTGGATCGACGAGGAATGGCGAAACTGGGGTATTACCCCGCCATTGCCTCCAAACTCATTCGACGCCGAGGCGATTGGAGAATTTCGCCATCGTTTGGTCCCCTTGCCCTGAATTAGGGATCAAAGGAAACTAGCCTCATAACGATCGTCAAACATATTGAAGGGGTTAGCGACATACATAGCAAGGGTAGAGCAAATTAGCCGGACCACACGGCCCGTGGACGGAATTTCAGTAAGAAAATCCGTCGCCTCGCCGTTTCGTGAGCGGTTTTGTTTTGTTTTGTTTCACGAAAGCCGCCTTTCTTCTACAACGGGCTAGGGACAGGAAGAAGAGGTATATAAGCAAGAGCTTGTTGACTATCTCTGTTTCGGATAGAGGCTATTGGCATTGGGGCATAGCGAATTTCAAGAAAGCTGTAAGATTTTCTGACGCAGTTTATCGCTCCCCTGTTCTCAAGTGGCATCATGCATTCCAAGTCCTTTATGCTGTCCCAGCTCCTGCTAGGGCAGGCTTACGCCACCTACCTCTACACGTCGTCGTACAGCGGCGTCGTCCGCACGCTCCAATGGACAGAGTCGGGCCTCGAGACCATCTCTTCTACGACCGAGTGCGGAGGCAGTGCTTCTTGGCTGACCTTGGCGGACGACCTGCTGTATTGCACGGACGAGGCCTGGAGCACGCCAGAGGGGTCGGTCTCGACCTTCAAAACGCTGGCTGACGGCTCGCTCGAGCTCCTGGGGAAGAAGTCCACTCGACAAGGCGCTGTAAGCGCCGTGGTCTATGGTAAAGATGACAGTGGCCTTGCGTTGGCCTACTAGTAAGTCAACCGCCGTCAACGTCCAGATATTATACTGCCCACGGCATCATTCTCTTAGCTCTGGCTTTTCGGTGAATAATACATGCTAACCTGGCCCGTTTGACAGTTCCTCATCGGCCTTTACCACATGGGACCGAACAGATCCCTCCGCTCTGGAGCTTCTCCAGACCGAAGTCTATGAGCTGGAACAGCCTGGAGCCAACCCTGAGCGACAAGAGGCGCCACATCCACACCAGGTCCTCCTGGATCCCACTGGACAGTACATCCTCGTCCCCGACCTGGGTGCCGATCTTGTCCGCATCTACAAGACAGGGACAGACGACCTCGCTGTCACCGCGGTCGAGCCGCTGCAGGTTCCTGCCGGCAGCGGCCCCCGCCACGCAGCGTTCGTCAAGGCCGCCAACGAGACATATCTCTACGTCGTCACCGAGCTCACCAACAGAATCCTGGGCTACATCGTCACCTACAACGAGGGCTCCCTCGGCTTCGAGCAAGTCTACGAGAGCGGAACGCACGGCCAGGGCGTCGAGGTGCCCTCGACCGCCGCCGCAGCCGAGATTCTCGTCTCTGTAAGTACATCGTAACCCCCACCCAACCCCCCCGGGGCTACTTTTATCTCCCCGCCCCCCCGGCCTCTCTCCATGAAGTTAAACTATATGAGCACTACGCTATAAGTTGTCTTGTACTGACACCATTTCCTACCAGCCCGACCAGAAGTTCCTCATCGTCTCATCTCGCTACACGAACGCCTTTGAGATCCCCAACTTTGATCCCAGCAACAGCACCCAGATCGTGTCGGACACGCTCATCAACTTCTCCGTCAACCACAGGACGGGCGCGCTCAAGGCCATCCAGGCCGTACCCGCCGGCGGCAAGAACCCCCGCCAGTTCTCGTTCAACAGGGATGCCAGCGCCGTGGCGGTAGGCCTGCAGGGGGACGGCCGGGTGGTCATCATCGAGCGTAGCAAGAGCAGCGGGAGGCTGGGCAGGTTCGTGGCGAGCTTGGAGGGCGGTGGCGAGGTGTCGGCTGTGATTTTCAACGAGGCTATCTAGGTACATAGACAAAAGTGGGTGACACGAGAAATGACACACCCCAGCCAGCACCGTTTCTGGATCCAGTGCTCAAGAACCCATCACTTTGCTGCCCTTCGTTACCAGCTTCAATGAGGGGAAAATATGTGAAAAAGGAGATAAAAAAAATCATTCCTTGACTAAAGAACACTTCTATCTTTTTATTTTATTATTTTCCTCATGACTTTAATCTTCATTTATGAAGCTGAACAAGCCAGTATTTTGGTGTCTCATCTCTCCTGCCACCCACTTTGGTAGAACAAGAAAAGAGAATTCCGCCCTTGCTTGAGGCAAGGATGTACTACCTCCATGAAGCTCTGTTCTTCGTAGTAATCTGATAACACGGGATGATATTCCCCCCGGTAATGTCCGAGTGGCAGAGTCGCAACCACGAGATGAGTTTAATCACATCGGCCCCAAAGGTCCCATTTGCCCGTATCCCGCTTGGAGCTTGGTAAGCCGGGGAGAACGTGGGTAATCTGCTTGAAGAAGCAAGCCTTTCTCAGCGGGCGGGAGTGGCTAGGGACGGACTTGGCGGCGGTCTAAGGAATCGGCCCTTCCCGACAATGTTGGTGACAGTTGGAGCAAAGGGCAGCGTTACTTTGAGGAGGGTGATTGGTTTGCAGCGGGTTCTATTGGTTCAAGGTCGTGGCAACGAGCCAAGGGTAGAGATCTACGCTGGGGACGAGAGCTTGTGGCCCGGATCGACCAAGAGCGTGCATGTTATCTCGGGCTGGTATAGAGTTCCTCGGACCTCCCCCCCCCCAAGGGTTCACACAAGATGCTACTGTGATCATGCCGGCTGCCCTGCCAATGTGCCCAATAGTGCCCAGAAAAGCAGCGATCACTGCATGGGAAGCTGGTATGTGAGCCCTGCAAGGCCCTCGGGACTATCGACCAAACGTCACCCGTCAATGCTGAGAATCCCTGAGCAATGCATTGGGTATGGGCCATGTATGGGGAGCATTGTGTATCACATCGCCTACGTCACTTGGCTTTAACGTTCGCATGGAGTTTCGGCTGCTGGGAACCGTTGGAGCACCCGGATGTGGCGATGCCTTCTTTGGAACAGGTACTAGCTGCGGCTCGGCTCATGTAACTGTTATGACGAAGGCAGGTCGAAGTCTTCTATTACGGGCCTCAATTCCCGAGATTCTTGTTACGAGGTGGGAAGCAGAGTAAGGGTCCGATAATCTTCGGAGGCTGAGAGAGCCATATGCCCTGTAACGAAGGGAAACGGTAGCTTATTCAACAACGAAGAGAGTATTGGACATTTGGCCCATTTCTCGATCAAGGCCTTTGGGACGCTGAACACTCGCTTGCTATACATTGCCCACTGCTTCAACGACTCTGGTTCCTGTGATAAGTATCCGTGAGATAAGGATCTATGTGGCTGGTGGTTCTATTGGAACCCAATATCCTTGAGCATAATAAACTCATTTATCAACTGTGGTCATTTCAAAATTACGTTTCATCGGCCTCTTCCCCAGCTAGGCGCCTTGGGATCATTCTCAATTTTAGAAGTGGCAATGCCAACGGGCCGGGTAGCCTACACTTATTAGCCTTATCACGCAACTAGCTACCTTGCGTTTTCTTTCTTGAAAATACAGTAGGAAGCTCCTAAAAGAAAGAGAAATGAAACGGTGATTGTCTCCAGAGGCTGAGCCGTGAATGGACGTTGAGCTGAAATACCCCTGCTCACCGGCTGCCATGCGTTACATGGCATGTGCAAATCATCACATTGCTTGAGAGGAAGATCACGCATTGTGGCAGGCTACCGACGTTACCCCGTGATTCCTTTTGCTCTCCCTTGAACATCAGACGCTAGAAAGCACGTTTCTGAGCTATCACAAATAATGGGAGGGCAATTCCCTAGCGGTGTAAGTAATGTTTAGCTAAGCTCTGTGCCTCGCGAGGATGGTGAGCGAATTTAGCCTGAAATCCAGCTGCAATCCTGCTTAATGCATGATCCTGCAAGGACCCAGTTGAAACTGGGCATCTTGTTGAGACGATCGAACCGGAGATGGGTGGCAGACAGAACCGGACCCATGGCCACTATGCGGGGAAGGGCTTTAGACGGTAATAGCTTGGTGCAGGGTGTGCTCATGTGTGACGGCGTGCTTGGGGCTACGAGCTGAACGGTGCATCGAGGGCGGATTGACTGGAGGGTTGCCGGGCCGTGATACAGTCTCGTTGTCCCTTATCTGGGACGAGGAGCTAGGCATTCCGTCAGATTGGAAAACCTATTTGACAGAATCGACCATCGCCATGCAGAGGCGAATATGCTATGCTGACGAGGTCCAAGGCTTCGTCCGCCATACTCAGAAGTCGAGTCCGGTTCGAATGGGTAATAAATAGGACCGACTCGCTAAACGCGTTATGGCCCTGGCGTGATGGCTGAATTGTTGCCACTTGCGCATAGACTTTTGAGGAGTGGTTTTGACGGGATTATCGTAATATTGGCGTTGTATCCTCGCCGATCCAATCAAACCCTTAGAGAAGGATTCCGTGCTGGAAAGTCTCCCAGAGGCTTCAGGTCAGGCCTTTGATGATCATTAATTTGGCGGTGGCGGCGTATACAAGCCATTTCTTACAAGGCTTTTAAGGGTCTTGTGCAAGGATCATGATGGGCGAGATGAGCTTGGGGAGCACTCGTACGGCAAAGTGAAAGAGCGTTGGGAGCTGTATGAGTCACATTATGTCCTGGCCATACCAGAGCTTCTTCGTTCAATTGTCAATGAAGGGCCGGGCCGAATCCGTGGGTGTTGCACCCTTTGAGCGAATAGCTAGTGATGTGTGTGGCTCGTCGAGGTCATCTATTGACCGGGCCAAGTCCAAGAAGTCTACTTTAGTGAGCAAGCCGGACCCCTGTTTTCTCGTGCAAACAAGTTTTTCCAGGCATGCAGCAATTAGCTGGCATATTCCACTTGACGGGGCGGGCCGGTGAGAGTTTCTTATGCAAGGCTCATGCTCTCATCTTCGCTCATGGGGCGCGGTCGTTCTCCTCAAAGTTTATAGAGCCGTATGGGGCTTGTGCTACCATATTCTTATGCGAATGCAATGCGAGGTCAAGGGTTGGCCCAGTGTGGCTCGCTGTGACGACCGGGGCAATCCAATGCGACGCCATCAGCGAATGATCGATAGGGCACCGGATACTTGACGTTTACGGTCTAGATAGGCAAAGACTTGCGATTCTGACGAGCGTTTTGAGTGTTGACACTAGCAACCCCAGATACTCTCTGATGGGTCTAGCCATATGACCGAGGCGTTTACCCCAGGGTCTCGGCTCGTGGCCACCTCATAGCCGATATGCTGCTGATCCCCTCTTCCCCTCTCTTTGTCTTGATGCCAATGTGGACAAAAATGACTGAATGGTGAGTGGGTGGATGGGTGGCAGGGTCTCGAATGTGTCTGCCACAGCGTGTCAAGCAACAAGATTGCGAGCGCTGATTCGTACCAAGGCAGGGCAGGGAGGAGGGCGATGGAGTACCCTGGCAGGGGTTGCTGCAGGAGATCCGGTGATGAAGTGACCCCCCTTGAGGGAAACGACAGCAGAGTACCTCGACGAGCGCGGTTCACGCTGGAACCGGCTTGGACATAATTTCAGGGTCGGCCTTTATTCTGGCGAGCGGGACAAGTCCCCTACAGCGGCCCGCGCGATAGATTTGTACATACGTCGTCTATATATACGTGTATGTGTACCTGTGTATGCGCGCGCATGCGAGCGTGTTGCTCTCGGTGGGTGCAAAGTCCATGCCTAGTACGTGCGAGGTGTGAGAAAGAAGGGGGGGGAGATGATAATCCAGGGTCGGGGTCGGGTCCCCATGCTCAATCTCATTATTGAGGCTCCCAGGCCCTTCCCAAAAAGACCCAAAAAGCCTAAAACATACGGGGAGATGGAGAGGGAAAAAGGTTGGAATGGGAATGGGCTGGCCAGGTCAGAGGGACTGGCGCCTGTGTCGGTCGGTGTCGTCCAGGAGGCAGGCGCCGGGCTGTATAAACGGAAGTAGTACCTGCCTTGCCTGCCTTCCCCCCCAGCTCCACATGACCCATTGCACCCCATCCCAACGCATCCCCCACATATTACACACTGGCAGTGGCCGTCGCCCATGATCCCACCTGCCGTCGTTCTTTTTGTCCACAAGCTGCAGCAGGCCAATGACCGCCCATCCAGTCGTTGCGATTCAATTCTGTGCTTGGCTGGCTGTTTGCGCCCTTCGCCCTTTTAATCTCTTTTGTTTCGATGCGTTTCGCCTTCCACCCACTGCTCCGTGATTACTCCCAAGATTCCGACTGCTGCAGGATCGAACGCATCGCGGCCGGACCAGCCTCCCGTTTCGTTTCACCCATTCTTAATCATCTCACTCCAGCCAGCACCTGATGGGCCGAAGTCTGTCTGTACCGTGACTGCGATGCCGCATGGGGCGTTGGAGTCTTGATGCGAAATTTCCCTTCATTTTCCCATTTAATATTTGTTTTCATACATCCGACCAACCTTCCTCTCTCTGCCGCCACCTTTTGTTTCTCCCCATCCACCGACCCGTCTCCCCTCTGGGTGTGCTCCCTCGCATTTCAAGGGGCACAGACATCAGTTTCACTTTTCTAGCTGCGACTCTGGACCGAGGCACTACCTGAGCCAGAGGAGAACACAGTCCACATACGAGTTCCTTCCCCGGGACTTCCAACATGTCCCCGTCGCCGACGGGCGACTCCCCGCCCACAGCCCTCAACCACTCAACTAGACCCTTCCCTATCCCATCCCGTAAAAGCTTCCATGTCGATGTGCCTGGTGCATCATTGATCTCCAATGGCGCAAGTCTCGGACTCAAGTCTCCATCGGATTTGGCGCCGCAAAGAGCGGCCAGTTTCTCCCGGGACGGTATGCTCGGAGCAACAGGGGCTGGCCGTCCCGTCGGGTCTTCTCAGGTCGCTCTCACGGATTCTCTCTTGAATGGCCTCGCAAAGTCTTCAAGCGATGAGGGATCTAATCCCCTCAAGAGGAGAAACACCGATGTTGGAGTCGACTATCCACGCCGGAGGGCCACAATTGCTGTAAGTATCATGAATTAAGTGACCGGATTACGTTTGCTCATCCATGTCTGACTGGCTTCAGTGTGAGGTCTGTCGATCAAGAAAGTCGCGCTGCGATGGGAATAAGCCCAAGTGCAAGCTCTGCTCCGAGCTCGGTGCTGAATGCATCTATAGAGAGCCGGGGATCAAGCTGGATGCTGGCGACAAGTTGATTCTAGAGCGTCTCAACCGTATCGAGACGCTCATTCAGTTAAACATGGTCAATAACTCAGCGACTGGGATCAACCTGAGTTCGGACTCGCCCTCAATGAGCAACGGCACAATGAACGGCGAGAGTGCATTGTTGAACCCGGGCAGCCAACATGCATTCACCAACCTCATCCCCAATGGTGGCTTTGGGACTTGGACGCAACAGCCCACCACAACCAACATCAACACTATGCCCAAAATCCACACCAATGCAGCCATGCATCTACTGCAATGGCCTCTCATTCGTGATCTTGTTTCACGCCCCTATGACCCTCAGATACTGCTTCAACTGGAGATGGCAAGGGAGCCGTTACACTCACTGACGAAAACGCCTTGTGTGGATTTATCCAATACCCAGGCCTATATCGAGGCCTATTTCGAGCGTGTTAATATTTGGTACGCTTGCGTCAATCCGTATTCGTGGAGAAGTCAATACCGCACTGCCCTGTCCAACGGGTTTCGAGAAGGCTCTGAAAGTTGCATTGTTCTTCTTGTTCTGGCTCTTGGCCAAGCAAGCCTTCGAGGAAGCATCTCACGAATTGTTCCTCAAGAGGATCCTCCCGGTTTGCAATACTTCACCGCAGCTTGGTCCCTTCTTCCGGGCATGATGACTACAAATACAGTATTGGCTGCACAATGCCACCTCCTGGCTGCTGCTTACCTGTTCTATCTTGTTCGCCCCATGGAGGCGTGGAACCTTCTTTGTAGTACGAGTACGAAACTTCAGCTGCTTCTCATGTCTCCCAACCGGGTGCCGGCTCATCAGCGAGAGCTCATCGAACGAATCTATTGGAATGCATTGTTGTTCGAAAGTGATCTACTGGCAGAGCTTGATTTGCCCCATTCTGGTGTAGTTCAATTTGAAGAAAATGTCGGTCTGCCTGGCGGCTTTGAGGGCGAAGAGGGCGAGAAGGTCGGAAAGGATGAGCTGTGGTACTTCCTTGCTGAAATTGCACTGCGCAGGCTTCTCAACCGAGTTAGCCAACTGATCTACTCGAAAGACTCTATGGCTACGACCTCGAGCCTGGAGCCTGTTGTGTCGGAGCTAGACTATCAGTTGACACAGTGGTACGAAAGCTTGCCCCTTGCGCTCCAGTTTCCTTTTACGCGAACGGTCCTACAGGACCAGGTGCAAACCGTCTTGCGGCTTCGCTTCTTTGCCTGCAGAACTATCATCTACAGGCCTTACATTCTGGCCGTATTGGACAATGAGCAGGCGGTCCTGGATCCAGTCGTGCGTGAGAATTGTCACAAATGTCTTGAAGCCTCCATCAGGCAACTCGAGCATATTGTAGAACAGTGAGTGTCGTCCGGCGGGTTCTTCCAGTTTCTCTTTGTTTGATTTGTCGCTGATGATGCTAACGTAATTAACCTTATAGCCATGCCGGCCATATGCCCTACATTTGGCAAGGGGCCTTGTCGATGGTATCGCAGACACTTCTGGTTATGGGGGCTTCGATGTCACCATCTCTTCTAAATATTATCCTAACGTTGCTTCCGCACCGCGAAGCACTCGACCAAATGATCAACGACGTCATTATCGAGGTTGAAAGTTACGCAATGCTTGCCCCAAGTCTCAGTCTTGCAGCAGAAATCATTAAAGAGGCAGAGTTGAGGAGGCGAACGCTCCTCAGCACGTAACCCGAACCGCTACATGTGTGAATAACAGATCGGACGCTAGGGCACGCATATTCTACGCACCTCTAGGGGAAATAAAAGCTGATGGGGATGACACTTGGACATAGCTGGCGATTCTGTCCAAGATGTCCTCGCCTCATTCCGTCAGGCCACAATGGGTACAAATTTGGCCGATTGGTCGGACTGGGAGACGAAACCTACCTGCCTCACAACCTCGAATCTCGAAGTCTGTTCTCTAATTAACTTAACGTATACGAGAATCATACCAACCCGCTACTGGAATTGTTCTGTTTATCACATTTTCAGCCTTTTACAAACAAATGTCGCCTTCTTTCTTTCTGATCATCGAGAGAATTTAACATGAAATAGGCGGTCGGACAATTCTAGCCCGGCATTACTCAGCAGAAAGAGATCTGACATTGAAACAATGCGGCATATCTCCTCTTTGATAGAGGGATTTTCAATACTGCACCGAACGAGAAGGTGAGCAGACTTATGGAGAGGGGAATCATACCCAGTTGGAAGGGGAAATCGAGCAGCAATGTGCCGCATGTACTGAATTGTTACTGAATCATGTATGGCTACAATGCAATGTTTCAAATGGCGGATTTCTTATGATTTGAAGCGCAGGAGTCTGATTGGCCTTGGATATACTATTGCAGTTCTGGATGGGCATATTAGAATGCTCTATAGTGATGCCGAAATGTACATTAGTGCTTGTTGGATGGACTCAAGAAGACGGAGATACCCATTGAAACCAATATGGAGGTGGACAGCAAGGAGCAATCCTTAAATTACATGTTACCAATTGCAGCACCTCTAATGGTCACACGGACCCAATTGCAAGACCAACCTGAGGAAGCTCGAGGGTACGATGCGATAGCTGGAGTGGTCAGTCGACCCTCGGCGGAGCTTGGCCTGGCAACCTGGCTAGCAAGGGGTGGCGACGTGAGAGAATAGACGACTTTGCATCGTGCGATTCCGGTGCTAGTCGTGTTTCAAGCGCTGAAGGACGGATCAGGAGACTGCGAGGTGGTAACGGCTGTGGGATGGGATGGGAGCAGCTCAGCAGGTGCGGAGCAGACACACAATAATCGTAGCGGGAGTGCAGTAGTGTAACCACTAAGCTACCCACCCACACGGCCCAATGGGCGCCCTCCAATGGCACCATGTTCCGACTGGCATCCGACACGCCAAAGCCCCGATGAACGGGTCGGCGATGGATGCAGATGCAAGACCGGACCTGATGCTTTGGAGTGGCCGCAGCGAGACCACTTACCCAGAACGTACGCACCACGTACTATTGTGCTCATTTTACCCCTCTTCTTGTTCCCTCGTGTTGTTGCCACCTCCTGTGCGGCGTGAGCTGAGCTGCGATGTTGACCTGGCCGGGCCATGTGTCGCTTCTCATTCGGGGTTTAGCACAGCTCAGGTCTCACCTGGTGGAGATGGAGCCCACACACGTGACGGTACATTGTGTTGTCTGTTTGCATAACTGCGGGCATATCCTGTTGTGCAACGTAGGGAGGGGGATGTGGTTCGCCCAGGCCATTGCCTTCTTGTCTATATCCAGGAGAATGAGCTCGATTCCAACAATTTGATTGGGAGCTCATGTCCAGAGAGGCACAACTCATCCAGGAACGGCCCGGTGAGGTGGCTCTTGGGGGGAGGGGGAAACAACACCACTTGACAACATGAGAGCAACACAACAAGAAGAGAGAAGCGGGCCAAAGGTACGATTGTTCGTGCTGGGACGGGATTGGCCGTCGTAGGTACCTCTGGTGCTGTATGCACACATCCATTTCCCCTCTAAGCGCAAGTAGGTACGCGAGCAAAGCTAGGGCAGGCAGGTATAGCAATTGGCTGCTATAGGCGGATTAGTACCTACCTACCTAAGCTACGTACGTCTACACCTCCATACTGTACACAAGACACAAGACACAGGACACGAAGGAAGCTACTACGTACCTGGTCAGATGCATCTGGTGATGCAAAGTGGGAGTAGGGATTGGTACTCTGTAATAACCGGTACCTACCTGCCTTGGCATTCCTTTTTGGGGCCAAGCCAGGTACAGAAGCGGCTGGTCTGAGTCGTTGGTTGTGTGACAGAGATGCCCCCCATTGACGCGCCTTGCTGGGGTTCTGAGCAGCATCACTTGACCATAGCGGCAGGGCAGGCATTAGGGGCGATTGAGCCTCTATAACCCCCCCAACCCCCTCCCCCCTCTGATCGTGCCTCCCTCCGTCAACAACCATCGCGGTCTCTTGATCCGCGGTTGGAACTCATCTTTACCACCCCTTCTCTTCTTCAAATTGGTTCGGTGTTGGATCAGGGCGGCTGTCTAGGTATCTAGCAGCCCAACGGATCCGACGCCTCGTTCTTGCCCGGAGGGTGGGATGGCCCATGTGCGCCTTGCACACCCATCTCCAACAGCTCCCAAACTAGTCGGGGTGGATGCGAAAACCTCGACAACATCGTGGACGTTCTTGACTGGCCAGCACCCTGCCTGTACGATTGCGTTGCCCAATTCCAGCCCAAGGTCCCCCTCCCCCCCGGAAACCAGGCTGGGCCGCAGATAAGCTATGAGGCAACTTAGAGAGGACCCCGACCCACGACGACGACGACAGCAACAGCCCTACTATGGCGAACCTGAGAGCACCACACGAAGCTATGGAATGCCACTCCAATCGTCGTCGTACGACTCTGGCCGGCAATACCACCTCTACAAAGATTCGGAAGAGAGGGCGGCGAACAGGCGGTCTAAGGGACGGCGCTCATCAAACGGGGCCAGCAGCGAATTCCATATGCCGCCGGCGGTGCCAATGGCCGCCGCCGCGCCCCGACCACCTAGGACATCTGGGTTCAGACAAGAACGGTCTTTCGGTCATGAAAATGACATGGAACCGAGGAATTCCACTTCCACTCGCCGACGACATTCAATGAGGGATGAGCTCCATACCCGGCCTCGCACGGCAGGCCGAATGGCCGAGGCGGCCCCGCACTTGGGAAACTTCTCTGATGAGTCACTTGATACCAGTAGTGAGGACGACGATGATGACGACGACGACGAGTCTGATGAGGATGAGAGTAGCGACGTCTCGGATCCCTCAGACAAAGAATCCGAGGCTGATGACGAAGCTTCGCTGAGAAGGGGCAAGAAAGCACGGGAATATCTGTCGGGGACGTCTGAGGATGATGATGACGATGATGATTATGATTATGAAGTTGATGAAGTTGATGATGAAGAAGACGAGGTACCTGTTCCGAAAAAGGTATATGCTTTGCCGGAGAACACGGACGACGATAGTCCATCTCCCCGTCCCCCAAGGAAACTAAGGAATCCCCGACGACAGGCCAGGAAGTCAGTCGAGGATCACTCGACCCCTAGAGCGATTGAGCCCTCCTCCCCCAGACGTCGTAGGAATGCCTCGTCTCCTCCCAGAGTCCCGTCGTCGCGAGCGTCGACCGCTGCGGCGGCGGAGCTCATGTCGGAGATTTCACCAAAGAAGTGAGTCTGGGTGATTGCCGATGTATAGGGTGACGGTCTGGACCTTTACTGACCCGAACTTTGCAGATCTGCTAAGAAACGTGATGCCGCTCGTCAAGAGGCCCGCCACGAGGCCCGCCATGATGCCCGTCATGAGACTCACAGGAAGGCCAAAATGGCAAAGTCGAGCCGGGGAAGTCTGCAGTCCTCCAACCGCCAGTCTAGCGTCATGCTTTCCAGTACTAGCCAGCCAATGACCCCAGATAGCAGAAGGGAAAGGCCACGTAAAAGGGAGAAACACAGAGAGGAGAAGCCTGTCAAGAAATCCTCTGCGTCGCGTGAGCCGCGAGATCACCATGAGCACGACAAGCCGGTAAGACGCCAGCGGCGAAGAACCAACGAAGAGGATGACTACCGCCACCACGGCCATGATGAGGACGCCATGCCACAAAGATTCATGGACATGACACTTCATGAAGAACCATCTGATATGGAAGACGACGATGACGAGGCTGTGGGGCCAGGGATGGAAGTTGGACTCGGCATCTCTCCTACTAGCCGGCACAGGAAAGAGCAGCACAAGAAGCGCAGCAAAGGGAAATACAGAAGTCAACAGTCGACTTCCATGCAGCCGCCGCCACCGCCTGCTCCAGAGCCGCCAAGGAGAAAGTCGGTTGATGTGTTTGATCAAGAGCCCGCAACATTCCAGCGAGCCGACACTTTCCCATCTCCCCAATCAAAGTCATATGAATCAAAGTCATACGAAAGAGGGCCCTATGTCACAGAGGTCCCTAGGGCCCGAGGCTCCAGAGGGGGCTCTATGGAGAGACGCCTTGCTGATCGGTTCTCTGAGAACCGGCAAGGCATGCCTCCCCGACCAGACATCCCACTCGCACCGACCGTGCCCATGTCTCCGATGATGCCTGGGGCCCCTCCTCACTCACAGATGCCAGGGGCACCGTTCGGTGCCCCTCACATGGGGATGCCGATGAGAGGTCCTGGTAATGTGCCACCGCCCATGATGATGCCTCACATGGCACCTCAGGCGCCATACAGCACTGCTGCTTATGGCCACTCATACGGAGCCGTTCCAGCGTCGTCAAGAGAGCACATGCATACCTATGAACCGGAGCACAGGCACCGGCACGAGTACGATGATGTCCCCAGATCATCATCCCAGATGGCAGGGCTCGACGGAACCGGGGCCGGAATGGACCGTGTTGATGAGTGGCGGCGCTTCGTTGAGACAGGAGGAGGGCAGGATGAGCTTCGCACATGCTGATCCAAACCTCTTGTCAATATTTATTTTACACACTGATGACTCGGATGACCTGGCTTTTTCATTTATTCATATGTTTGGTTTGGCTTTTTCTTTACTTATTCGGATCCATTTCCCTCCTGATACGAGAAGGAGTAGCCAGAATGATAGTTCCACCCACATGTAGGTCATCAACAACTACCGCACTGATTGATTGATTGATTGCATCTACAGACCTCCTGTCTCGACAGACGCTGCATTTTTAGAATATATACAAATAGACGCATAAGTAGTACTAGGAATACTATCCATATTTTACCGCATTTTAGCCCGATGAGCGAGAGCCATGGTCCACGCCTCATGCATCAGGCCTCTTTGGTTCAGGATGTGCCGCCTGCATAGACACCTGACTGCGCAGACCGGCCTGCTTTCCACAAGCCATAAGCCGCCCAGTCTGACGGGCGCCCATCCTCCCGATGCTGGAGGCGAATGAGGGCACAAGAAGAGCTGCGGCACGCGCATGTTTCGGAATCCTCGCTGGACTCCTTCGCCGAGGCCTCCTCTCGGTCCACGATGGCACAGCACTGCCATGATCACTCGCTCACTCTTCCTCAGTGTCTTTAGCGGGGTCGGAGTCGCGGGAGGCGCCCAAACCCCGCTAGCCCCACCGCTATGACGGAAGGGATATTACCTTAGACCGATGTGTCTGCACGAGAACAAGCACATCTGCTATCTGGGAAGCCCCTGCCAGCGCATCGACTCGGACATGGAAACGGCGGGAGGGATCAATGCGAGACGAGATGCTCTGTGTGCTGGCCCTGCACTCAGGCAAAGTCCATCGATCTGCGCAGGTCGGTGAGGGAGGCCCGCTTGCCACTTGACTGCGCTCAGGCAAAGCCGGCTCTTGATCTGGGTGGGGAATTAGGTGCGTAGATAGATTGGTAGGTAAGATAGTCTCGGAAGCGGCTGTGGCGGTGCAGAACAGGAACCAGTGCGTTCAACATGCAATCTAACCTGTTGGATGGATTTCAACGTGAACCTACGTAAGTCGGGAGTAGAGTGGGAGCACCAACGGGGGCCGACCAGGGCCCGGCAATCTTAAAGTGCCCGGGCAGGTCCCCTTTTTTTCTATATTATCCAGATGAGATAACGAAGGAGAAAAAGTAGGATCAGCCTCGAGAATACGTCTATGTAACTGTACTTGCTCATGTAGGCGTGCCCATCGATTGTTTCATTCCGTGTATCCCGGGTCTGACATGTGCGTAGCGATCATGTTGTCAGAAAGCCAGTAGCTCCCCCCCAACAAACATTTTGGCCTTTTTTTCCCTGGACACCCTAAAACGGGGTCACGTCACACGAGCTCGCCTCAGTACTCCACGACAACCCGAAACCGAGGAGCCCGTTCTTCGTCCTGCCCTCCCGTTTCCTGCGTGAACGGGAGGCATTCCCATCCCTTCCTCGAATTTCCTCGAACTCGAATTGCCGAGACTTCTCAGCGCAAGAACTGGAAGAAGAAAAGATGCTGCTCGTCTACCAGACCGGGAGCGTCAAGGTCGGCGAGGTGGTGCGGTACACCGTCACCTACACCCCGTCGCGGGACCGCATCCTGCCCTCGCCCGAGAAGCTCTACGTGCGCATCCGCAACACGTGCGCCATCGCCCTGCGCGCCGCCTTCGTCCACGGGCCCTATACCTTGTCGGTCGCGGCCTACCCGTCCAACTTCAACCCGAACGAGCGCTTCGCCAACCCGCGGCGGTACGGGGTCCCCGAGTTCGAGCCCATGCTCAAGGCCGGCGGGTCGTGGGAGGGCGAGCTGACGGTGCCCGACGACGTGAGGCAGAGCGCGGGGACGGGCGCGCACGGCGGGTTCGGCAAGGGACCCGGGCATGAGGGGGAGTGCGCGACCTGGGTGATCGAGGTGTCGTCGCAGATCCTGTTCTCGACGTCGGCGGCGGTCGCGTACGAGGTCATTGTCGCGAGGGACAGGAAGTCGCTCGACCTGGGCGGGGTGTCGCTGCCCGTCGTTTCGGGGCAGAGCAAGGTGCCGCAGCCGGGAAAGCTAGAGGATTACCAGCAGCACGGGGCGACGGCTGCGACGGCTGCGCAGAAGCATCATCAGGAGGAGCACCACTCGAGGGGAGTCTTCTCCCGCGCGGTGCAGCTCAAGGTGGAGGATACGGAGGCTTTGTGGAATACGCCGCGTGCGCCGGTGTGGAAGGATAAAAAGAAGAAGAAGGAGGCGGAGGCGGCTGCGGCTGGGGAGCTTGCGGGAGGGAGCGAGGACCAGACGGTCGAGTCTAAATCAACCGAGTCGAAGTCAGCTGAGTCGAAATCACAGGAGGAATCTGCTCCCCGCGTACGGCAGAAGAAAGTACATCTGGTTATTCTTACGCATGGGCTGCATAGTAACTTGGGGGCTGATATGCTGTTTCTAAAAGAGAGCATTGATGCTGCTGTGAAGCAGGCTAAGATCGATGCCAAGAAGAGGAGAGCCAAGGAACGAGCTGCTGAGAGGCAAGCTAGCGAGACGAAATCAGAGTCCGGTGTGTCTCAGCCAGATTCGGCAAATGGCGATGGTGCTTCCGAGAAGGCGGACCAGATTAATGTTGATGATGATTTCTCTGACGATGAAGACGAGGACGAGGAGGTCATCGTGAGGGGATACTCTGGCAACGCCACGAAGACAGAGCGCGGTATCAAGTACCTCGGTAAGAAGCTGGCACGGTATGTGCTCTCAAACACATATCCGGATCAGCCTTACCTCCCCCTAGGGAAGGGTGTGCCAGCGCCGTATACGACACAGGATCCTAAGAACCCCAAGGATCCCAAGGATGCAAAAGCTGAGGGCGAGGTTCCCGAAGATAAGAAACAACATGGCACAGGTCACCCAGGAAGTTGGCATGGACATCATCCCCAAACACGCCCTCGATCATTCAAGATCACCAGCATCAGCTTTATTGCCCACTCACTCGGCGGCTTGGTACAGACATACGCGGTCGCCTATATTCAAAAACACTCGCCCGAATTCTTCAACCTTATTAAACCTATCAATTTCATTGCTCTTGCTACCCCCTTTTTAGGACTTAGCAACGAAAACCCGATGTATGTCAAGTTCGCCCTGGACTTTGGTCTGGTCGGGCGGACTGGAAAGGATCTGGGGCTCGCCTGGAGAGCCCCGACGCTTGCCAGGAGCGGCTGGGGGGCTATCGTTGGTAACCTTGGCGAGACGGCGCACAAGAAGGTCTATGGGGAGTCACAGCCAGAGTCGAAACCACTGTTGCGGATTCTTCCAACTGGGCCTGCACATACAGCATTGAAGAAGTTCCGAAATCGGACCGTGTATTCGAACGTTGTCAATGACGGAATCGTGCCACTTCGCACGAGTTGTCTGCTGTTTCTGGACTGGTATGGTCTTGGCCGGGTTGAAAAGGCTCGCAGAGATGCCGGCCTGGTCGAGACTGTCGTCGGGTTCGGGTGGGCAGAACTTACCGGGACCAGCATGGCCAACTCTCGCCAGAGGCAGCTGTTGTACGACGAGCCGGCGGCCGTTGCTGACGGGACAGAAATACCCAAGGAGACTGGAGAGGATATGCGCCAGGTGCCTCAGCCTTCCGAGGATGCCGTTCAAGAGGACGAGAGAGCCAGTATTAGCTCGGTGCGGACACCATATTCTGAAGTTGTCAAGTCGGAGAATGGGGAAGGTGTGGGCGGTCCCTTCTCATCCTTCTTCAATCTATTCAAGAACAACGATCCACCGAAAGAAGAGCCTATATCAGAGAAGCAAAAGAGGATATACAGCATGAGCCAGACGCTCCAGATCACCGACGATTCTTCTTCCGCAGTGGCTTCAAGCGATACAGAAGCCCCCCCACGCCCAATGATGGTGACTACGGGACATGAGCTAGAAGAGGATGAAGGCGGTATGAAAGCCCCCCCTCGAACCACCGTCTTCGAATCTGCGGGCGATCTTCTCAACCCCAAAATCCCGGACATGGATTACATCCTTGACCCTGCAAAACGGCCTAGAACCATCTTCCATGACCGAGTCTATCATCCGACCGACATTCCAGCACCTCCTATCAAGGCAGGTACGTCTCCTTCAGTACGCAGGAGACTATCACGGGTAAGCACATGGGGTTCGTCCCAGAAACCACCAACCGTCAGCTCACAGTCGTCATCCTCATCAAAGCAGGAGTCATTACAGCAACCCTCGGAAGACAGCGAAAACAGCGCCGATACTGCAAAGAGACGGGATTCTGAATCATCGACCATGCGTGTGGAGGAAAAGATTGCACGTGCCTACCACTACGATCTCTCATGGCGCAAAGTTCTCGTGAAGCTGGAGCCAGACGCCCACAACAACATCTTCGTCCGCCGCATGTTTGCCAATGCGTACGGCTGGCCGGTGGTCAAGCACATCGTCGATGCTCACTTCAGCGACTCGGCCCTCGCTCGCATGCGGACTGAGGATGACTTCTTGGGCGAGCTCTCTAAGGACGTGAACCAGCCCCCCGACGAGCATGGCGGCGAGACCATCTCTACGCCCCGCCTCACTGCGAACTTGGACAACCCACAGTCACCAGGTACAGAGACTGACGCGCAGGAAGCGCTGGACAAGGTATCCAACCTTCCCGAGTCGTACCAAGAACAACCTAGGCGGTTTCAGTTCTCACGGGCCGATTCGGTGACGTGGAGCGATCGGGACTGGGTGGACAGCGAGAACGAGAGCGACCTCGATTCTACGGCGGAGAGCAAGGCCAAAGCCAAAGCCAAGAAGAAGGAGGAACAGCAGCAGCAGAAGGAGGAGGGTGGGAGCTCGGCGGCGACGGACTGGAATTGGAAGGAGAAGATTGTCGGCAAGGGCAAGAAGAAGAAGAGCGTCTCACTCTCGTCAGAGGGGAGCAAGGCCAGCACCATAGATAAGCGATAGATCACACATTAGGCTCGGGGCGTAAACGGATTGGGGTTCGGAATTTTCTAGCTGGCCTGTTGCTTCTAATACTGCTATTACCAATTCATCATCATTTTCTTCTCCTCGGTTGATCCCTAGGGGTGTTTAAACACCCTGTTCGATTCCATACAGGCTCGATCTTGTGCCTTGCTCTCGAGTTTTTTTGCTTTGCTCAAAATTCAAACTACTACCGCTGCCAGTACCGCCAACGCTTCATCCTTTTCTTGAGTCGATCTCAAGGAACTTTTGGCAGCCTTCTTCACGTCCTAGCTCAAGAGCTTTGCCTTCCTTGCCCTCGAGATTCAAAAAACCTTTCGTAATCGAACCGCCCTGTTGTTTTATGTCTGTGAGTAGACGTCGGGTCTCTTCCAAAATTGAATGTTGCCTTAAACCCGACCTCTCCCAGCGGTTGGTTGATCCATTTTCCTGGTCTTCGTTGCTTTCGAGGCGACACCTCCTGTTGCAGTAACATTTTCTAGTTTATGCTTTACAACCTTGACCGCCTCCATGATTTCGTCGATCAACTTGTCCACGCCTTGGATGCTCTCTTTAATGGCTTCGAGCTCCTTTTCTGCGGACTGACTTGTGGGATATTGTGATGGTGGGTAGAGGTCCTTGGTATAATCCCATCCTGGATACTCTGGCGGGACGACTCTTTTCAGAAATTGGCACCGCTTGATCCTTTCGGGTGGGAATAAGACTTTGAGCATCATGATTCTTATGAAGCAGGGGTCGTGGGGAAACATCTTTGCCAGCTCGTGGTGAGGAGTGCCCGTTTGATAGAGGCCATAGATTCCATTAAGCCCGCCCATTAAATCCATGCATTTCTTCTGAATCTTCACGTTCCACTTTTGGGACTCGATGGCCGTGTCCATGATAGTGACGAACTTAGTGCAGAACAGGTGATGGGCCATATCCTGAGCCCGTACGTCCCAGGTAATAGAAGCGTGGAGATGCTTCGGTGGCGCGACGTTTAGTGCATCGTCCTCATCGTCGGAGCCTGGTAATTTTCTCTTAACTCGACGGGGAGGGAAAAAAGGCGATACGTGAACCATCTTGAAGGTTTGGAGTTGTGTTGTAATGGAGAGAGTTAGGAGGGGTAATTGAAAACCTGTGCCTACCTATATATTACGCTTCACTGACAATAATCAACACAATATTAAGTATGGAACCCCTTGTCTTATTGTGCGTTGTGTTTGAATTTAGTTTCTTCTTATGCTAATTGTTTTCATCTTTTATCAAGGTACAATGTTGGTGGTCTTGGGGTGACAAATTTGATGTCCTGGAACAGGCTGACGACAGATCGTATGCCTGTTTATGAGCATCATTGCCGTATATAATCTTTATTGAATCATTGCTGTGAAGAAGCAATAGAGGAGCATTTGAGGTTTAGAAATGGGGAAGTTGTTGATAAGTGTGGTTTTATTGGGATGTGATATGCACAGGTGGCTTTATGAGACGATCTCTTTGTGTTTTGGCTCCAGGTAAGAAATAAGAATGCTTATCAATGCCTGTCTGAGATCAGTTGCATTAAAACTCAGACATAGCTTTTGATAGAAGAAGATGTAGTCTCAGGTGTTCCTCAGACGATATATCAGGGGCCGCAGGGTGTTGGAAAGAAGATGAAGCAGAATGAATTATGCTTCCCCAAAGTCTCCCTTGCTTAGAAGCCTCAAAACGAGGCATATAATCACTGGGTACCCATAAAAAAGAGAAAATGATGCGGGTTCTAGTGTATCTTATTGGCATTTAAGGAACAAACTAATTATCTGTCATCCCTCTGTGCCCTGACTCCTTCTCAATCCTAACCTGGCCTCGATGATCTTCACGATTTCTGTCCACTCCATCATGGCGCCGCTTCCCAGATCACCGCATGCCAACTTCTTGGTCGCCTGCGGTTGCAAGACCTCGATCCAGCCCGTCTCCTCCCCCGTTTCTTCGTTCGTCCTGACTCCCCAGTCTTCCTCCAACACTTTTATATGGCGCTCCGTGACAGGATGACGCCACATCGCGGTGTTCATAGCAGGAGCAACCAGTATACGTTTCCGCTGCCCATCAACCTGACCATCCGTATCCCATGCGCGGCACACTGAAAGTGCGAGATTATCACTCATCCCGTTGACAAGCTTGGCCAGGCTGTTCGCGGACAGGGGCGCAATCACCATTATATCGGCCCATCGCCGAAGCTCGATGTGTAGGACTGGACCCCCGCGACGCCACGGTTCTGGCCCCCATTCCGAAGCATCGTCGTAGATGGCTTCCACTCCCGGGTAAGAGACCAGGGAGGTATAGTGTGGCTGCTCCTTGGCTTGCCCCCCCAAGAAATGTTTGGCATTAGTCGTCAGGATGAGTCTTATTGAGAGTCTATGGGTGTGGGGGGCGAGAGCCTGGATGATATTGGGAATCTTGATCGCAGCGACGGAGCCTGTGGCCACGAGGAGGAGATGGAGGCGACCGTCTGTCCCCGACGGGGCAAACTCGGAGGCGTTACCACTCAGTGCCTGGCCGCTCTCGTTTTGGCTGCCTTCTGTTTCTCCCATCTTGAAACTGTGATTTTCACTTGAATGGTATTGTTTTGCGATGCTTCGTGCGAGATGAAGATGGAAGTAGTCTTGCAGTCACGTGATTCTTCGAAGCGTGCCTGAGTACTAATCTTTTGAGTTCATTACTCTTCCTCGGAAAGAACAATCAAGAGGAAAATAAGGTTTGATATAGGTACCGTAGGTACTCACATGGTCCGTTGAGAGGTTATGCTGAACTAACATATTGGGTTTGTCAGCATCTTTGGTCCAATGGTTACGAAGATATTCCCACCCATCGCCACTTCAAATCTCGAGTAGAACAGGATTAGTAGAATATGGCCCGCATATGGAGGGATTTTAAACTTCTTCTCGCTATTGCTCTATCTTTATTGAAAGCCGGCTACACAGTTGGTGGCCATTAGTCACAAGTGGTTTTCATTTGCAGTCCTGTACGGTAGACATGCAAGTGAGTGACATACATGATTAGATAGAATAGGAAGTGAACCAACCTCTATTAGTACAAAGGCAAATACAACATTAATATTATGATGGTATTGAACACAAAAGGATTGTCACGATCAAATAATGGTACGTCCATAAGCTACCTATCCAAGGTTAAGCGAGGTTTTTGGTATGACACGGTTCATGCCACTTGCTCCTAGGCGATAGAAGCGAGAATAGGTTCTGAAAATGTTGAGATAGGGAAATAAGTCTCTCTATGTATTTCAGGTTCCGCTTGTTCCTTGAAAGCAACTGGGGTGAAAGGTCACGCTCACTTCTGAGGCTGGTTGACAACTTATACGCTTATGGCCCACCCAAGACCAAGTTGTAATCACGATCTACTGAGGGGGGTAGACATGACACTTAAAGGAGTCACTGACGGAAGACCGAGTATGAGACAAGCCACGACATTTTCATTCATTAGTCGTATCCATGAGAAACAACTGAAAAACAGAATATAAAAACAATCTACTGAGCCTTCTTGGCAAACTCCACCCTGAGAATGAGATGCTTGAAACCGAACCCGTCCATTTTGTTGCATGCCTTGACAGCGTCACCCCGGTCTGCGAAGCTGATGAATGCGAAGCCCTTGGCCATGCCAGTTTCTCTGTCTTTGGCAAGGAATACACGTGTGACGCGTCCGAACCGCTCGAACATATCCCGTAGCTCGCCCTCCTCTGCCATCTCGGAAACCTGAAAGAAGGATGTTAGCCTGAGGGGTATCCTGAAGCCGGCCCAAGATGATACGTACGTTTGTGACACGCAGCGTCGCGAGGTCGTCCCTCTCCCCGAACTTTGATCCACCCATGCGTTCGCCGGCACCGCCACCTCCGTTACGCAGAGCAGGGGGAACGTAAGATCCCTTCTTGCCAGCGGCAGCAGCACCAGGGCCCTGGGCGGCGGACTGATCGTCACCCATACCTGCCGCGACATCGGCGCCGGCGTTCTCGCCGACAGGCGCCATGGTGTCCTTGTACGGACACCTGGCAGTGAAATGTTCTCCGCTGCAAATACGACACTTGACCTTCTTGTCCTTGAGCTTGTCCTTGAGCTGGTCCTGTGCGTCGCCCTCCTCCTTGGCGTCCTTGCGCCAGTTGAAGCTAGGTCGGAAGATGATGTTCTCGCCAACGGATGTCGTATCGGGAGCCGGGCCAGCGCCGTCCTTGGCGCTCTGGCCGAACTTGCCCCATGTTTTTCGGTCGGCTACGCGGGGGTTGACGGTCTCCTTGTGGGTGATGTAGCGGATTCGGCGGGTGAGCTTGACCTTGTTTCCATCCTCGTTGACGCGGAAAGAGATGATGGTCTTGGTTCCGTCCTTGTTGGTGATGGTCTGGGGGGGAGGGAGGTCGGAGGAGGTCTCCTCAATGTCATCATCGTCGGCCCAGTCGTGCCTAGCAGGAGGTTAGATATGTTTCCTGAAGGTAAGAGCAAGAAACGCGGCAGGTCTGGCTGAATGGATACCCAGGCCAGAAACATGCATCGTGGTTGGTGTGGGCGGCAGGCGAGTGAAGGAGGGGGTTTTTTCCCGGGATTTCTTACTTGGGCTTGTTTGCTACGGCAGCAGCCATGTTGAAAATCTGAAAGTTGGAATCCGTCTATATGTCCGATACTGTCGCGCGATTCGAAAGCTGTATTTCGCCGTGGGTCCTTGTCCGTATCGCGGGGATTTCGTCTTGAAGCGAATTTATCAGTATTTCGCATTTGAAAATTGTATGTGGGCATAACCACGATAGTGGGGTGAAGCGATATCCAGCCACATCTAAGCGTGGCTGCTGTGGCGGTATAAGTCACGTGATGTATGCTTCCAGATGATTCAAGAAATCAGTCAGCTTCTCTCCCTCTTTCGCTTGCCACAGGAGCTTTGCAACTCGCAAGTACCTATCTATCCTTTTACCTCTCGATGTTACTAGAACCGTTCAATCCAGAGGAGTCTTGCCGTGCGTAAGCTACTGGGGCAATGTTGTCTTGCTATGGCCGCACATCCGGCCAGAGTATCGAATTTCCCCGGATTGAGGCAATCATCACCGTTTTCAGTAGTTCCCAAACTCCATTCAGAAGCTTTTCTCTCAGATGCTGAGTTTGTATTTGCACTTTTGTCATGCTAATTGTCTCAAATCGCTGTGTAAGGGTGTTGTGCGTCATTGTTCGATTTTCCATCCATAGCCAAGACCTCGGTGGCAATCGGAGATCGGACCAGCACCGTGAAGGGGAATGCAACCTTGCGCCAATCCTGGAAAATGAATCTGCATCAGTCTCTGTAAAATGATTCGGCCAGATTTCCAGATGTACGAGGCAGACTCCGATTTCCACAGGGAAGATCGAGGTTTGTCTTAGACTTACTGGATCCGGAGCTTGCACCTCTTTGAACTCGACATCGCGAAATCCTTTCTCAAGATGCTAGGGAGCTATAGCTAAGAAAGGGCTTGCTTGTGCACTCTTCAGCTCTCTAGCTAATAGGCGAAACTGCTATCTGTTTATACCCTTGTCTCTGGATCCCAGGAGCAGTCTAGCCAGATATTTGGGGACACATAGTCTGTGGCACAGACAGCTGGATACACTAACTTCAAAGCTGGCAAATCTTGGCTGTGCGTGGTACAACAGGTAGTGGCCAAGATAGTGCGTATGATGACATCGCGACTGTTGGGAGGGAGGTGTCGTCAGCGGTCACGATGGTTGGGTGCTGATCCTGGATGAGAGCGAACCTGTGGTGGGGCCCCGAATGGCGTGGGCGCGTTCCTTGCTCAGCGCCAGGCAACGTTTCGGGACAGATCCGCCCTGGCCTTAGCCCAGTAGCATCCCGGACAGTGTATCTTGTCGCCTGGGCTGGGCGAGTATCTTGCCTAGATCTATAATGTTTATCTTTGGGGACGTGGTTTCTATTTCGATCGTGGGCGCATCAGGCATGAATGAATGAAAATTGCTGGGCGGCTAATTCACAATGGAAGCGTGCAAGCCAATGGACAGCACCTCCCAGGCTGCAGGGCGCCTGGCATCCTCCGTCGCGGTACCCAGACAGTGGGTACTATCAGCGAATGTCTGGGACTGGAATGCTGGTTAGCGAGGTCTTGGCGGCGCCTCGCCTTGAATCACCCATCGACAGCAAATCAAACACTCCCCACGGCAGCTGATAAGGTACCTTCGCGCGTTGTTCCTGCCGAAACGGTACATGCAAGCCGCCTCCTGGGGAGCGTCTCATGATGTCACAGGATGCGCCAATCATTTTAGCCTTAGTGTCGTTTGCTACCACAATCACTTTTTCTTGTTAAACATGCCAATGTCTCGCAGGCGAGATTGACCGGTTTGTTCGATCGTCTGTTCTCCCTCTCTTTGTCCACGACATTGTGTGCCTTCACAGGTGTACATCCTTTAATAAAAGAAGGATCTATCTACCCACCGTGGCCATGGCCAGGGTCCCTCCCACCGCACGATATTAAATACCAATTCCCCAGACAGACAGACAGACACCAAGCTCGATTTATCGCTCAGCTCTCAGAACCTCCTATCCGCCATGGAGGCTCTCATAGGAGGCACGCCGAAGCAAGTCCTTCGCGCGGTCCTCAGCACACCTATAACAGCGTCTCTCCACCAGCGAGCGGACGATTCTGAAGCCAATAATGCCGCCAAGAAAGACCAAGGGATTGGTATAGTGAGCTTCCTCACTGCCTTCTTGGTTGCCGTGATCGTTTTTTCAGTCCAGACACTGCTGTTTTTACTATTGCGCAACAAATTAGCCCGCATCTTGTAAGGAATTGCACTTGCCCTCATCTCCTTGACATATTTTGATGGCCGAGACTAACATTTGCATCGCAGTAAACCAAAGACATATCTTGTACCTGATCGCGAGCGCACAGAATCGCCCCCTTCTTCAATATTCGGCCTCGGTCGAACACTCTTCAAATTAAGCGATCGGGAAGTCATTCAAAAATGCGGACTTGATGCTTACTTCTTCCTCCGCTACCTAAAAACGCTCCTCGTAATCTTCATACCGATATGTGTGGTTGTTATGCCCATCCTAATCCCGCTCAACTACGTGGGTGGCAAAGGACAGGATATCAACGTTGCTAGCGACGATGCAGCCAGAAACGCAACTGACACGGTTGTTGGCCTCGATACTCTCTCTTGGGGAAATGTCCAGTCAGTCAATACCGATCGCTACACAGCCCATCTCATCTTGGCCATCCTTGTTATTGTATGGGTTTGTGCTGTGTTTTTCTTTGAGCTCAGGGTCTACATCAAGGTTCGACAGGACTACCTTACCAGTGCTGAGCACCGACTTCGCGCATCCGCCACTACCGTCCTGGTCTCCGAAATCCCGGGCAAATGGTTGAGTGAAGAAGGTCTCAGGGGCCTCTTTGACGTATTCCCAGGTGGTGTTCGCAATGTGTGGCTCAATCGCGACCTTTCCCTCCTTCTCGAAAAAGTCAACTTGCGCGACAAGATCCACAAGAAGTTGGAGCAGGCCGAGACTGATTTAATCAAGGCTGCCAAAAAAGCCCAGTTGAAAATGAAGAAGGCTGAAGATAAAAAGTCTAAGAAGCTATCGAGACAGGAGAGAGCAGCCCTCGACGCTGAGCAAGATGCTCAGGCTCAGGAGATGGCTAATAGTGGACAGGGTCTCAACGCCGGAGACGATAACCGATTTTCTCGTATTGGAGATGATTATTCGGGCCTCCAGGAGAGTACTGGTCAGACCGAGAATGGACAGGCTGCTGGAAAGGGCCTCAAGGTTATTGGTGACCCCCTTGCCAAGGTTGGCCACGGGTTGAGAGGTGCCTTCAACAAAACTTCCAAGGATTTGAATGACGAGCTGGAAACAACCAATGGTTTTCTCGGGCTTGGTCTCAGTCGGGATCCTGCGGCAAAATCACGCGTCGAGGAGCTTCAGAATGACCGAGAAAACGGTCCGCGCCCATCCGTCACGGAGACACTCCGGACTCAAACACGCACAATTACCCCTGATTCATCCAAGGCCGTCCAAAGCAACGAACATCAGCGCCCTATTGGGAATACGGTTCGGAAATTGTCAGATTTTGATGAACTTTACATGAAAGGTGAAACTAGGTTTTGGCAATTTTGGAAACCACCAACTGGAGGTTATGCCTCCCCGGTTCCACAAGGACAAGAGGCAGCGGATTACATGGCTAGCCAAGAAGCCAACAAGAAGACGTTTTGGGAGAATTTCAAATCCTCACTCCCGTTTATGGGTAAAGAGGAGGTGAAGCCAGTCGAGTACGAAATTGCCCACAATGCCGAAAACATTGAGAGTGAAGGAGACCAACCGTTGTGGCAAAAGTATTTGAAAGAAAAGAACCGACCAACACATCGCCTACCCCTCTTTGGGGTCCAAGCTCTGCCTGGGCTTCCACTATTTTCGAAGAAGGTCGACACCATTTATTGGTGTCGCGAGGAACTTGCTCGCCTAAACCTAGAAATTGAAGAAGACCAGAAATATCCCGAACGCTATCCCCTTATGAGCTCCGCCTTCATTCAGTTCGAACATCAAGTCGCAGCCCACATGGCTTGCCAGAGCACGATGCATCATGTGCCTAAGCATATGGCACCCCGAGTCGTGGAAATTTCTCCGCGCGATGTTGTGTGGGACAATATGAATCTTCCTTGGTGGCAAGAATGGGCTCGAACAGGTGTCGTCGTCATCTGTATAGTTGCCATGGTTCTTCTCTGGGCGATTCCTGTGGCTTTCACGGCGTCTCTGAGCCAGCTCGATGAATTGATTCGTCAAAACGAATGGCTTAGCTTTCTCAAGGCAAACCCTACCATCACAACTGTGGCTACAGCCGTTGCTGGTGTCCTCCCCGCCATTTTACTTTCGATCTTGCTGATTCTGGTGCCCATTGTTCTTGACTTCTTTGCCAAGTTCAAAGGGGCAAAAACTGGCTCACAGAAGACCGAATTCGTGCAAGTCTTCTATTTTTTCTTCCTGTTTGTTCAAGTTTTCCTGATTGTGTCTGTGGCATCCTTCTTTGCTACCTCAATCGACAGGCTCACGGCAAACATCCAGTCGCTGCAATCTGTCACCGCAGTTCTTAATCTCCTGGCCACCAACTTACCAAAGGCGGCTAACTACTTCTTTTCCTACATGATTCTACAAGCTTTGTCAACCAGTTCTGGAACTCTACTTCAGATTGGAACGCTCTTCGTGTGGTTCATCTTGGCCCGGATCGTCGACAGCACTGCGAGAAACAAATGGAGGAGAAACACCACCCTCAACTCCGTTAATTGGGGAACCTTCTTCCCAGTCTATACGAACTTTGCCTGCATTGGCATTATTTACTCCGTGATTGCGCCGTTGATTTCTATCTTTGCTATAATCACTTTTAGCCTTCTATGGGTTGCTCACCGTTATAGCATGCTCTATGTCACCCGCTTTGAAAAAGATACCGGCGGTGTGCTATACCCTCGCGCAATTAACCAAACTTTCACTGGGGTTTATTTCATGGAGCTCTGCATGGCTGGCCTCTTTTTCATTGTCAAAGACGAAAATGATAGGAATTCGTGCACGCCGCACGGAATCGTCATGTTGGTGGTACTAGTTCTCACCATCTTATACCAACTTGCCCTCAACAGATCATTTTCACCGCTTTTCCGCTATTTACCGATCACCTTTGAGGATGAAGCTGTTTTGCGTGACGAGGCGTTTAACAGAGCCCAGAGACGACGCTTCGGGCTAGACTCCGATTCGAGCTCAGAGGATGAGGAAGGCGAGGATGCTGCTGATCAAAAAAGCCCGCGCTCAGAGAAATCCTCTAGCCGGCTTAGATCTCCAGTCATTGGCACTGATGGTGCTATCGAGATGGAAGATATCGGCCGGAAAAAGAGCTCCAGGCTCCGAAATCCCATGAGACAAGTCGGAAACTGGGCCAAAGGCGGCGGCAATCAGATTCGAAAAATCACAGCCACAGACCGCAAGGCAATAGAGTATCGACAGAAACAGCGACAAAAAGATCTAGAGGCCCAGCGTGCGATAGGTGATGCATTGTATGGGGGGATGAATGACGAAATCGAAGATCTAACGCCTGACGAAAGAGATTCGCTCATTCGCCACGCCTTCAAGCATGCTGCTCTGCGTGCTCGCCGCCCAACAGTGTGGCTGCCCCAGGATGATCTGGGTATCAGTGATGATGAAATTCGCAGAACCCAAGCGTTCAGCAGCCATATTTGGATCAGCAATGAGGGAACTGCTCTGGACAGCAAGGTGAGAGTTGTGTACGGGACAAACCCCCCAGACTTCTCGGAAATCGATGTGATCAACCTGTAAACATTTTAAGCAGAGTTAGAATGGAAAGAATGGGGCGTTGGGTATGGTGGAGTCAAGGCACGGAGGGCAACCTAGAGCCATCCCTAGAGACATGTTTTAAGCATCTTCTGAGATATTTTTAATGATTAACGAATTACTTTTAAGACCTTCGTGTTTACTTCCTAATGTACATACCAAGTATGACGGTTTTCATCTTCATGCATGCTTGCCGCTTCGCTTCTTAAGGTGATAGTGAAAGACATGAAACAGAGACATCGCAAGATAGAATGCACCAAGCTGATATAGCGGATACAAGGTTTGACAGATGAAATATTCTAGTGTATTAATGTAAGGAGATCTAATGTCTTTCTAAACAGAATTGGCTTTAAATCCGAGCCGTCTTTCCATATAATTCAAACCCCTAAAGATCCAGGGTCTTATGCCCATTACAACGCCGACGCCATTGCTCATGCTTATGTTTCGGAGTGTTGCGCTCATCTTGATAATATTGTTTTTTGAGGGAAGAATAAAGATTCCAATTCTTTCCGTTTTATCCTGAGAAGGATTATGAGTCGGACAGCTGAGCTCTCCGCTTCCTCTCGGACGCCTTGGTCTCCTCCAGCTCCTTGCGGATGACGTCGTTGAAGTTGTCCGCGTTGTCGAGGTACAGGTGGTGGCCCGCCTTGGGGACGATGACGACCTTGGCGCTGCCGTTCTCGGCGCGCTTCTCCTCCTCGGTGCCGTTGAGCAGGATGTCGAGGCGGGCCTGCTTGAGCTTCTCCTCGGCGGCCAGGCCGCCGGCGACGTCCATCCAGTCGTTCTCGCCGTACATGAAGACGACGGGGTAGCCGGTCTCCTTGGCGGGCTGACCCGCCTCGGGTTGGGGGATCGGCTGGCGACCCAGGTGTTGGACTCGGTCGATGATGGGTCGTCGGGCGTAGGCGCCGGGGGCGAGGATGTATCCCAGAGCGTATTCGCCGCTTCCCTTTTGCTTGAAGATGGAGAAGGAGTAGTCGTGGAGGGCCTGGGCCTCAGTGGGCTCGAGGTGGTTGAATCGGCGGGAGGTCCATCCCGACACGAAGCGAGGGCCAAGGGGACCAGTCATGCGGATGATGCTGAAAGGGGAGATGTTTTGGTCCCAGAGCCAGACAAGCCACCCTGGCAGTGGACGTTTTGGCTGAGCTGGGGGTGTGGAGGTTTGTCTCGCGTTGCCTCGGGATGGCTCGGTGACGGCCTGCTGATCTTCCGTAAACTCCTGCTCCATTGTCGACTCTCCGGGCTCAGGCATCGCAGCGGTTGTGGCGAAGGGATCCTTGGGGATGCCGACGGGCGATGCGAGGATGAGCTTGTTGAGATGGCCGGGGTACTTGAGGGCGTACGATACAGCGAGGTATCCTCCCAATGAGTGGCCGAGAAGAGTGAATCGCTGGATCTTTCTCTCCTTTCGCCACTCTTCAAGAGCATCGACGAACCAGTTCTCGGCCTCAATCACCTGCTCTTCCCTCGTTTTGGCGTTGATCTTGAAAGGTGGTCGCGATGAGTTGCCCATGCCCAGCATATCGAGGGCATACAGCTTATATCCTGATACTCGCGAGAGGGGCTCAAAGTTCTTGTAGAAGAAACCGAGACCGGCACCGTAGCCATGGAGCATGACCAGGGTTTCCTCGTGCTCCTCGCCTGCCCGCTCAACAGAGACTTCGTTCAATGCGCGGTTCTTCCCCGAGAGCTGGACCATGGACCGTTTCCAGATCCTGGTGCCCAGAGGGTACGTCGTCTCGGTGGCATTGGGGTTCGCAAGGCTGTCGGCGGCTTCTTTAAGAATAGGCATGAAAGATAAGACATTCCTCTCTGCCATAGAGGGTGTTACGCTGGACCACTGAGCACAAGCAAGTTAGAATTAAATATTCTTCAATGCACCGAGTAGCGGGATTGGGTCACTCACCCATTGGTAGGCGGCTTCCTTGTAACCCAGAGGGAAGTATGTGGCCGGCCCCCGCGAGGGCGGCTGCTGCTGCTTGATCTGCTCCGGCGCATGGTCGGAGGGCAGGTTCGGCGCCTGGTGGACGCGGACGGAGCCGTCTGTCGTCGACATGATGCTGGGCGGTGGAGGGTGATGATAGAGTTGGCCGGTATTAGACGCTGAAGTGACAAATATAATGCGGGACCGGTGCAAGACTGCGGTGGCGGCTTGTTGTTTAAGCAGCATCCTGCCAAGCACCACCACAACAGGGACGCCCGGTGCCTTTTAAAGCCCCAGGCACCCAGCCGGAGTACGCAATTAACTAGCGGAAAGAATAAGCGAATTCGAAATCCACGGGCAAAGCCACCTGCAGCTGCGTGTGAATCTGCCGGACGTCGGATTTAAGCGACCGGGGTTTGTATCTTCCCGGATCCCGACCTGAACGAATTGGGGAAACAATCTCAGTGTGGCATGAAATCCAGCGGATTTGAGCGGCGGTCTTAGTGGCTATAGTGGTGGTAATCGATAATTAGCTCCTAAAGGGGAGGGGTACGCGGAGCGGAGATTGGGGGGCACTGCCTGTAATCATCGACATCATAGATAGACACTACAGGCGCTGAAGCACGGAAGCACAGAAAAGGAGAGGGGGACGAGGGGAGACGGCCGGGACCAAGGAGAATTATATACCCTTCTGACCGGCACAGCGGATAAGTCCTTTACTCTCTTAGAGGAACTAGGGATTTAATGTTGAGCCTGACCTGGCGGCAAGAATCTCGAACGTGGTGCCTCGCTGGCTGCAATTGGACGCCTGAGCCACCTGACGGATTGAAACCAAACTATACCGCGTGGTCCAGCCACAGCCGTCTGGACACCTGGTAGGCTGGTAGGCTGTCATCCGAGCTGCAGGTGGCTCGGGAGCTGGGACTCACCCGTAACACCGCCTTTCCACTGCGGCCGTGCAGTTGGTGCCTGCCTCCACTGTAATGCAGCGTTGTGCCGTGCTATGCTCCACTATGTGGGATTCCTGCCCAGCACCCGCTCTAGGTTAGGTGGTCTTAGTTGAGCTACGGAACATGTGAGAAAGGTCAGTCACAAGCCTCGAATTCAAGCCCTGTCCTCAACATCATCATCATCCACAGTCCATGGTCGGACCCGCCCTGGCGCCCTTTGCGTCCCTTCCATACCACGACCTGTAGCTGGCGTCTCTTATAACCGTCCTCATTCACGCAGCCAGCTATTCGTCCCTCCCGTGAGTGCATGGCCGTGGGCCACCGCTAAAAGCCTGCTATCCAGGCATCGGGCCATCCGCCAGAGCCCTTTCTTCACCGAAGCTACGCTACCATTCCAATCACGACACGCAATGCCCGACCTAGACTCCATCGTCAAGGGAGCTGCTGTCCCGGAGGACAACTCCAATCCAGCCGCCGGAACGAACCCGATCCTACCTTTCCCCGGCAAGCAGGGCGACCCGACAAACAATGCGCCCAATTCCCCCTCCATGATCTACCTCAATCTCCTCATCCTGGAGGCTTCGCTCAGAGCGCAGTACCTCGAGCTGCGCGCCAGGAGACGCCACCATACATTCTTCTTCATGATTCTGGCGGTATGGATCGCCTGGTGGGGGTACCAGCTCTTCTACGCCCCTCGAGAGGACGGCGTGGGCGTAGGCGGCTCCATCTACTGGGCCGTGGAGGGTGCGCAGAAGGTCTGCTTCATGGGAGGCATCATTACGGCCATCCTCGTCTGGGCCGTCGGCATCTGGGAGAGGGGCATCCGCTGGCCGCGCCGGTGGTTCGCCATCTCCAACCGAGGCCTCCGCGGCTTCAATTGCAAGCTCGTCGTCATCCGCCGCCCCCTGTGGGCCGAGGCCTTGTCTACGATCGGGTTCTTTCTCACATACGGTCTATTCTCTCACACCGCAAGCTCGTCCTACCGTCCGGTAGAGCCTTCCCTGCTGCGGGAGGTGGAGAAGGAGCTGCAGCTGTCCAACGACAGCCATCCTACGCTTATACTCCCGCACGACGACGAAGAGCGAGGCATTCATGAGGAGGACTTGGCACCGGGTGGAGACTACGTCAAATTGCTCTTGCTCGCAAAGCCATTCTCGTCGACCTTCCGTGAAAACTGGGAACTCTACCGCACTGAATACTGGGAGAAGGAAAACGAGCGCCGTGCCCTCCTGCGCAAGAAGGTCAAGGAGCACGACCGTCGCCTGGCGAAGCAGCAATTCGGGTGGTTCTGGTGGCTGCCTTGGAGACAGGTCCAACCTCCTCACCATGCTCACAAGGCGCATCGTCCAAACCCCCACTTGGATAAGGATCGAAAACGCCGGAGCAGCAGCGTTCGCCGCGGGTCCACAAGCTCGTCCCGCAGCCAGACTCCGGGCTTCGAGATGGATGATGGAAGCCTGCTTTCCAGGAAAGGGAGCACCGGCTCTACTTCAGCGGCTGAGAAGCGCCGCAAGAAGAACGCATCCATATCCCGCCCCAAGCGCTCAACGACCGACTCCCGGTCAGTCACCCCCGAGTATCCCACCTCGCCACTGGCCAAGGAGAGCACTCCGGCCCCGGGCAAGCCAACGGAGGAAGGTGGCCGTGTACTACGAAGCGCGTCATCAAAGATCAAAGGTTCCACTGCGGCGGTGGACAGGTAAGGGTGGGTTTCAGGGCGGATTTGTTTGGGCAACGATAAACCGACGTCTTCACGACGATAGCGTAGTCATACGTTGATCAGTAATGTACACCAAAACATGATACAATTAGATCCCATGTGCTCCAGTTGCCTCGGCAAGCTTTGAGTTCCAAAACTCGCATGTGCCAGTCAATACGCAATATCAAAGCCCAAACAAACCCTGCCGAGCACCGAAAACTCAATGCATACCGGCGCCACAGCTATTATCCACAATTCCAAACGGCCCACGGTGCACGGTTTCGAAGATACGATCCTCCTGGCTTGCGCAAGGACCAGCTCGATCTGCCAAGAGTATCAGGAACTGTCATATTGAGATCTACACAGTGTGCAGATGTCTCCCATTCAACGACCAGGAATAAAAAATGGAGATGATTGAACTCGTTCCAATGCGTCACAAGCGTGGCACACCAAGGCTGACTTTGAGTTTCGATATGTTAAAGCAATTGACTCGATAACAAAGTACATTTTGTACTTGATCTGCCAAGCAATGAATACTCGATCGGGAATATATATACACATGAACAGCGAAAGTCATAGAACATCACCAGGGTCAAGCTGAAGATCGCTAAACCCATCATATCAAAGCTATGAGAAGATGTGTCTAACAGAAAAAATTGGGTGTCTAAATCCAAGGAGAATCATAAGGGAAATGGAAACCATTGATTTCATAGGTATCTTTGTTTCATCAAAAAGATATATGTCGGTACAAAAATGCTACCCTTCTCACCATCCATCCGTGGATACATCTGATACACGTTCCCCATTCCATCGTTGGATCAAACAAAGAGAAAATTCCTCCAAGACGCCGTAGACCAAGCAAATATGAAAGAAAAAAAATGGTCAATATAGACAATCAAAAGTTTTGTTCGGTGGCGGGGATATTCATGTGTCGTGTCCCCCTTTAATGATGATATAACGGTCGGGAAGCTTATAACGCGCTCTTTGCCTGCTCCCAAACCAAAACAATAATGGAATCTTTTTCGTCGGCTGAATTGCCTTGTTGTTGTTGCTGTTGTACGTCTCGAGCGGAGTTCTTCTTCCCTCTCTTCAGATAAGCCTGCCACACTGCTCCGTCTTTGCTCACGGCAGAGTCCACAAGCTTCCATGCGTTCCTTCGTCCTGACCACGAAAGTGTGGCCCGGTCCACGGATCCGGAGTCGTCGTCGATAAACAAACGCCTGCTGAGGGAGCTCGAGACATCTCGCTCGGCCTCCTCGGCCTCAAGGTTCGACCGTTTTTGTTTATCTTCCTTCTTCTCCTCCGTAGGCGCACCGTTGTGGGGGTCTTTGTGCTCTATCTTCACACCGTCAGGGTACTGCGTAATCGAAATTCCATTGACGAGAACCCAGTTATCCTTAAAAAGATAGCGTTGCATGAAACACGACTCGCCGCAAACATTGGTAACCAGGTGAGCCTTGTTAATGTTGAGTAGGTGGCGGTGAGCGTAGCGGCGGAGAAGGAGTGGCTGTTGGCCGGTCTCATAACTATCCACGTTCTCATCGATCGTTTTATCGTTGGGCGAGTAAAACCCAGGCAGTACGTGCATCTGCAAATCCGTGTGCTTCATCAAGCATGTGTGTAGAAGTTCGTCCCATCTCTTGGACTTGAAGGAGGTTTTCTTTGAATGCTCTGCTTCGAAGCAGGGCAGGTTTGGGATTCGTGTAAGTGCGCTCAGTGTGAGAAGCACGGCACCGCCTCCGTGGGTCTGGATCTGCTCGTTCTCCGACGTGTCCCAATCCAGCTTCTCACTCGGCAAACCGATATAGTGCTGCTGATCCGTGTTGTACGTGAATAACCTATCACGGAGGTAAGACAAGCTAGGGAAAAACACGTCGTCCTCCACAAGGCCAAACCACCGCTTGTTCTGGCCGTTGGCCGCCAGGTTAGCAGCAAATGTCTTCAGAATCCGGGTAAGCTCAAAATATCTCCGGGCCATTGACATGGGCTCCTCCGTTGTCGTGACCCAGCAGTCGAGGCCTGATGCCTGGAGAGCGCGGTCCACCTCATCGAGCTGGCCGGCATTCGCCTGGTCCAGCACTACCACCATACTGGCCCCGTTACTGTGATGGTGGCCATCGGTGAGCCAACGGGCCCACGCCTTGATCATAGCATAATCACGGTCCGAGATGCGCGCATATGTCGTGGAAATGCCAAAAAGAAAGTCGGAAGCGTCGACATCCCCCAGCTTAGGGCCCGTAGGCACAGGCAATTCCATTCTCTTTTTCGCATACAGATCCATCCGGTCGGGGCTCGCCAGATTAATGGTCTTGGGGGTGACAGCCCCAAAGTTGAGTTGAACCTCCGTCACACTCGGCCAAACCTCAGACTGCTCGGTGGGTTGGATCCTCCATGCCAACCAGGACGCCTCGTGGGACAGGCCCAATTCTCGGGTGAGCCGGCCCAGATAGAGCTCCTCCGGTGATGCATTTCCCTCTGGAATGATTTCCGCATCTTTCAAAAGCGGGCTTCTCTTGCGATCAGTGGTTATGCGGAGAGTTTGTACGAACAGCCCGAGAAGGACCAGTGCCATCAGTATGTGCGCCGGGCGCGAATGCACTGAACAGGGGCCCTTGAACAACATTTTGATGTGGTTTGCGCGCTGCTGCTGCCTGATGCAGGTGCAGATGCAGGACAGATAGACTCAACGGCCACAGACAAGTCGGTCCCGAAGCCGCTGGGATTTAGGGGAGAAAATGGAATCTCCAGCAGATAAAGAAAACTGGGGCTTCTGGGTGACAAACAACCTCCCACCTTTACCAGAACCGCTGTTGTCTTGACGTAGGAGGCGAAAACCAGCCAAGTACGCCCTCTAGTAATGAATGAAACTGCGATCTGTCGAGAATCCAGAGACCGTCTACAGGCCAATGTCCATCCTTAACTTTCCGACCAATTGAGCGAATAAGTAGACGTGAGAACGACGCCCGTGAACGTCCGTGTTTGCAGCCTTCCGGATGCTAGGTATAAAAAATTGATTGGGTGGCGGCCGTTAGTAAGTAGGTAGTGAAAAGAAACAAGGTAGGGAGAAAGTCCAGGTCGAGACAAAGACGGCCACAGAGCCAGCTGCAAGAAAGAAGAATAGATGATGACAACAGTAAAACAGGAGAAAAGAGTGTGAGAGCAAAAGTGAGCGCGCGCGCGAGGGAGCGAGTGAGCGGCTAGTAATTTAAAGAGGTAAGAGAGTTCAATCAAAAGGAAGCACCGAAACCAGGGGAAGAGGCTGTCAGCCAGGTGCATGGCAATTAATACGGACCAGACAGCCCCGAAGGGATCTAAATAAGTGGTAGTATCGTCAATCTGGCCCCTGCCTCGTCCCCTCCTACTGCTACTCACTGCTCCATGCCCCCATTCATCAATTCGTTGCCATCTCCAGCAGCTGCGATCAGCGCAATGGCCCAGTTAGGTTGTTCAAGCCCTGCCAGGTCTCAGGAGGGCAGCGGGGAAGGGGCTGGTTGATTGCCCGCTAAAACGCCTGTTCTTCTCTTCTGATACGGGACCGTCCATCATCCAGACGGTCCTATCCGTTCCAGCAAGTACCGTCCCATGTGCTGCGTACTCGGACAGGTATCTCTCCAGCGACAGGCCCTGACGCAGGTACCTGCTGTGACCTGGCTGCGCAATTGACAGGGCTGATCACTTCGACGGTCCACCTGGTCCAAACCCTTTTGAAACTCTCCTTTCCCACCACCTAATGCAACGATAAGATCCTTACTTACCACAGTCAAAACAGCCTTCTCGTACTGGCAAGTATCCCCCTGCTACCCCATCCCAATCCATCTCCATTACGTAGGTGGGATGTACGGCGTAGCCCCTGGTATCATTTTCTCGTCCCGTCCAAGCCTGGTGCAATATGACATGACCAAAACAGCAAATCCTCACCACCAACCAAACAGCCAAGCTCATGGTGTCTCTCACTCACCCCACCCACGGGCCACTTCGAAACAATTTGGCAAGGGGGAAGAGCCCACTCAGTGGTATAGGCTAAGATCTGTAACATCATTCTCCGTTAGCTGCTAGCTAGGGTTCAGGTTTTGTTGATTTCGATTCGGCTGTTCGCCAGTCGAATTCAACCGGCTCACACCTGAACCTCTGCCACCTGAGAACATATCTCGTTCTCGCACCGAGGCGTGGACACCTGGTGTGATGTTCGTATAAGTCAACAACCTCCACCCCAATATGAGCATATCAGGCAGCAAATGGAGCCAAAGTTCTAATCTGACAGGCGCTTATCCACCAAGCCATGCCTTGCATGCAGGTCACGAAATTCACACACCTTTACGGCCAGGGTTCCGAAAGCTAAGCAGGCTATTTGAATGTAATTTCGCGTCATTCTAGGCAGGAGACTGACCCCATATGAAAAGCTGGGCGCGTTATTAATTGTCAAGACCGTCATTGACCATTGAGGATTCCATCTATTTAGTGGCCGATAAAGACTACCGGTTCCGCATCCTGCATCAATAGCGTATGCGCCATGTCCAATTTGTTGCCGATGCGGGTAACGTCTGGTCCATCACCTTGATGCTGACGAAGCTGCCATGGTCTTGTCAAGCCCCGACGTTCCCGTATCGCTCTTTGGCTTCAAAGATCCATCGCGCTGCTGAGGTTGATGCCCCTCCTTCTCGTTCATGGTCGCGGTGTATGTGGCGTTCCCCCTAACCGCCCGCAGCTGGTTTTTCGAGTTGTAATTCGCCGGCATGTTGGCCGCTACAGTAGCTTTGGCTTGATGGAACAGGTTGAAGCACTCAACCAGTGTTTGGTCCATGGCACTGTCGGCTGGAGCGAGGCCTGTGTCCAAAAGTTCCCGAATATGGTCCTCGAGCTCCTCAAACTCGAACATGTTGTATCTGTATCGGTCGGGGAGACCACTATTATGGAGCAGCGCAAGCAGCCCAGCAATGATAGTGTTGAGTGCGCCCAACGCCGTGATTGGCGGGCCATGATGGGCAGGCTGCGGCCCCAGGGCCGTCAGGGCAGCCCCGAGCAAGAGTTGGACGATCATGAGGCTCCATCGGGATACACTAGCTACGTGAAACAAGTAGCCGTAAAGAGTCCGCTGCTGGACCACATCTCGATAGAGGCCTCGAACCATGCCTCTGGGTGGCCACCACCAGCTGGTTGGGTGGACTGGAGCGTGGTTCTCGTGATCTCGTATCGCACCTAGTCCGCCTGCTAGGGCCGTCCACTCAGAAGATGTGAGGAAGCGGTGTCGAGGTATTGGCCTCGTATTATTTAGCCTATCGCCTTCCTTCACTTTGTCCTCTCCATTCTTGTGGTCGTTGTTTGATGGCTGAGGTGCCGCGGTAGAATTCGAAACCGATTCTGCAGGCAACTCCGGGTCTACGGGTCTTGCTGCCTTGGACATGATCAGGTGAGAAAGGTTACGATCTGAAGATGGCGTGTTTCCTTCAACACTTCATTAGCCACACGGACTTCCAGTTGGGAGAGGCTTTCGTACTTATTGTCATAGGAGATTCGTCTTCACAGGGTTCAATCACAGCTTAGCAAGGCAAAGCTTAAGCTATAATGTGCATTGCTTTAGGGAATGGTATGTATGAAAGGACGGGCATCAGAGGAAATGGAGAATGGAGAATTCGCTACAGGGACATTGGTTCCAAAGAAGGAGACTATGCAATACATTGCCATTTGGTAGGCGCGTTCGTAAATCCATCAGAAGGCTCATGAGCAACACAAGCAGGAAGTCACCATGGACATGTCTCGGCCCATGCAAGGCAATCGTCACAGACCCAGACATGTAGAAGTTGGAAGTGCCTTATTACTTACCTACGTATCTCGACAACTTTCACCAAGCTTTGAATCGCAAATTCGAAACTGCAGATCTCACTGTTCAAGCATCGAACACATAAAGCTTAAGACTCAAAGACATAAAACATGCACCTCACAACCAACGATGAAAATTCCAATATTGATGAAACAATCCTGCACACTATACAATCAATATATCAGTAGAATAAGAAGAATAAGACTTACTATCCTACAATTATTTGATTATCATTTCAATTAAAGAGTATCGTGTCCCTCACTTGCATCAAGGGAGGTATCAGAGCCTCTGTAGGTAGGTGTTTGGTGTGCCACTTTTTATGTCGCCCTGCTGGGACCACCCTTGAAGAGCACAGTGGGGTGGATCTACACCGCCCGCGATTAGCAGCGGCAGAATAAGGAAATTTTGAGAATTTCCCCAATTTGCGATGGAGAATATCATTTGCTTGGAATGCGCCTCCAACCATATCATGCCCGGATGTTGCCTTTCCGCACTCTCTCGAGGCAATTTCACCGACATATCGCTACAATAACCACCCTAAACAGATTTTCGATATTACCATCCGTGACAAAAGTATCGCAAACGCATATTTTACGTCAACAGACCTTGCCTACTCGGAGGGCACTCTGCTCGCAAACCCTCGAGATGGCCGACAACAATGCGTCAGCAGCAATTGACGCAAACCAGGACGGCGAAAAATCACACAGGACGATAAAGGAAGGGAAAGCTACCATCCTTGTTCCTCGGGGAGCTAAGGTTGGGGAGGATAAGAGCGAGGTCCAGCAGGTTTTCTACAACCCCATCCAACAATTCAACCGTGACCTATCTGTCCTGGCAATCAAGGCATATGGAGAAGAAACTATCGAGCGGAGAAAGGCGCAATATCTGGCCAAGTCAAACAAGCAGAGCAAGAAGAGGAAGCGCGGGACTGAAGCGAACGGAATCGAGAACACCGCGGCTGTACCACAAGATGCACCGACGACACACCAAACCCAGGAAACCACATCCCAGCCCAATCCCACGAACTCCTTCTCAACCACCTTCAAAATTCTTGATGCGCTCTCTGCTTCAGGCCTTCGAGCGCTGAGGTATGCGCACGAGATCCCATTCGTCACTTCTATAACTGCGAACGATCTTTCGGCCTCCGCCGCCGAGTCAATCAAGGCCAACGTGACTCATAATGGATTGGAAGACAAAATAACCGTGACAAATGACAACGCGCTTTCCGTCATGTATCGCGCCATTGCTGATGATCTCTCCAAACTGGATCGTCTAGGCAACCCTGGCAAGGCTCACAAGTTTGATGTTATCGATCTCGACCCATATGGCACTGGCGCACCGTTTTTCGATGCAGCCGTGCAGTGTGTTCGTGACGACGGCGGGCTCCTCTGTATAACCTGCACTGATAGTGCCGTTTGGGCCGGCCACAGCTACTGCGAGAAGACGTACTCATTATACGGTGGTGTCCCTGTGAAGGGTGCTCACTCGCACGAGGTTGGCCTCAGACTGATTCTGAATGCTATTGCCACATCCGCAGCTCGATATGGGCTTCACGTAGAACCCCAGCTATCTCTCTCCATTGACTTTTACACCAAAGTATTTGTCAAGGTCACAAAATCCGCTCAAGCTGTCAAATTCCTGGGCAGCAAGACAATGTTGGTGTACAGCTGTAGCCAGGGATGTGGCGCCTGGACTACCCAGTATTTGATGAAATCGAAACCTTCTCCGAATAAGAAGGGTGACGGATTGTTCTATAAGCACGGCATGATGCAGGCTCCCACTAGCGACAGGCTTTGCCAACACTGCGGTCTAAAAATGCACCTCAATGGGCCAATGTACGGTGGCAGAATTCACTCACAGGAATTCATCCAACGACTTCTTGACCAACTCCCCAAGGCCGACAAGTCTGTATATGGCACTCTTCCGCGATTGGAGGGTATGCTCCGAACAGCTCTAGAGGAATATATCCCGGGCCCCGATATAGAGGAGGGCGTAAACCCCAAGGATGCTGCCGCTGCTGCTATTGACCCTTACCCCTTTTACGTGGTTCCCAACCGACTAGCAAGTGCCATCTCATCCGTGTCGATACCGGATGATATGTTCCGAGGAGCTCTGTTTCATCTTGGGTACCGAATCACTCGAAGCCATTGCAAGCCAGGCAGTATGAAGACAGATGCTCCATGGTCAACCATCTGGTGGGTTATGACTGAATGGGTAAGACAAAAAGCACCCGTGACAGTTGCCAATATCAAGCCCAGAACTGCCGCTCACGCCATCCTGTCGAGGGCTGGCCTCTTGCCGTCTGAAGACAGCTCAACTGCCACCAACAACGGGACTATAGATCCAAAAGACCAAGACACTACGATGGAAGAGGCTCCCAAGGGGGCAGATGATGCAACTCCCGACCCGCAAAGCAACGTGGCTCACGACCCTGAGTTTTCGGCCACGGCGACAACAACGGCCGAATTGGAACTCCGCAAGACAATGATATTCAATGAAGATCTCGCACGGCTCGGCTGCCAGGGCCTGGGTCAAAAGATGACCAGATATCAGATGAACCCAGAAAAGAATTGGGGACCTTTAACAAAGGCCATGGCTCAATAAAGTCAACGACCTGTAAAACAATATCATCTCCTCAAAGCTTGGCAGCGTGGATTTTCATAAAACATCAACCTAGATTTGCTATATATGCATTTTTATATACTTGAGAAGAAAATACTACAACCTCCAGGCGACAACAAAGCGAGTTGGATCGTGGCCGTAGTGTTCATTTTTGCAGCATGTACAGCAGAGGGTAGCGGGAGTTTCACATGAATAATCATTCAAAAATGCGGAGTTGGGTGAAGCATGACTAAAGCGATCTGGCGTAATGCTGCTGAGTATTACACCACCAGGATGAATGATAAGCTGCAACATATCCTCATACACATCAACTCATCCCTAGCAGGCAATTTGGCCACCATAATACCATAAGAGCAACACAGTTGATTCCATTAAACTTGTGTTACGTTGTGTTTTGGCCCCGATCCAGTCTGTCTCTGCCTTGCTGGCCCATCTCCAGGCTCATCGTCATCATGGCATCGGATCACCTCCCAAAGGTGGTCAAGGCTGAAGATCTCACTGTGCGTGAAGGGAAGCTCACATGGTCATCACACGGTGTATCAAGCGAGATCGATGTTGGAAGCCTCTTGTTCGCTCTGAAGCCGCCGGCATCAGCCCACCACTACATCATTTGCGGTCTGAAAGAGAATAACTCCGAGTCCGCCGCAACAACATTCGAGCTTGTGCTCCTGCAAACCAGCTCGATACCGGACCAGATCAGCTCCCTGCATCTCGTCAGCCAGATCCCCCCTCACCTCCGGCCAAGTACCGACAACCTCGTCGACATTGTTGTGTCAACAAAGGCGGGCTCCGGTCTCGCTCTGCGGTTCTGGCAAGCTGTACTACACCCCCTCCTCAGGGTGGCACGAGCAGAGCTTGCGCAGGCATCCCCCGGCACAGAGGCTGCGGAACTCGCGGGCAGCCAGCAGGAGAGCGTGCTGGTCACAGAAAACGCCGGGAGCGTGCCGCAATTCGCCCAGCGCCTCTGGGCCGGTCACCGCGGCCAGGCGCACAGAGATGGTGGGAAACAGTCTAGAACCGTCATCCTGCTGAGTGGGGACGGCGGCGTCGTCGACATCCTCAACAGCTGCGAGGAGGATCATGACGCCCAAACACCGGCCGCGTCCTCCCCTCCCCAGCCTCTGGTTTGCCCACTCCCCTTGGGCACCGGCAACGCGCTGTTTCACTCTCTGCACAAGCCCGTCGCCTCCGCCCGCCCAGCCTCCTCGCCATTGGTCCTCGGTCTGCAGACGCTCTTCCAGGGCGCGCCAGCAAACCTACCCACCTTTCGGGCCTCCTTCTCTGCGGGCTCTCGCGTCGTCGTCGCCGCAGCAGCAGAAGAGCAGCAGCAGCAGGCAGCAGCCGATGGCGGCGGCGTTACAGACACGCCCCCCGAACTGCAGGAGGAGGGGGGGAACAACAAGCCCGTCTCGTATCTGAACGGTGCTGTCGTGGCCAGCTACGGCTTCCACGCCAGCATCGTGCACGAGAGCGACACGCCGGCCTACCGCGCCCACGGCCAGAAGCGTTTCGGCATGGTCGCACAGGAACTCCTGCGCAGGTCTCACCCTTACACCGCCCAGGTCGAGATCCGCCGGCCAGGCGCAGCAGCAGCCTCGTTCGAGCGTGTCCCGCGCGAGACGCACGCCTACGTGCTGGTCACGCCGCTGTCGAACCTGGAGCGCACTTTTTCCATCTCGCCCGACAGCCGGCCCCTGGACGGGAGGCTGCGGGCTGTCCACTTCGGCCCTATAGGGGGTGAGAGGATCATGGATGTCATGATGAAGGCATACGACGGGGGCAAGCACGTGGGCCTGGCGTGGGAAGAAGACGGTGAGCGTGTTTGGTATGACGAGATCGAGGAGATTCGTTTGAAGGCGCTCGACGCGGATGGGCGGTGGAGGAAGGTGTGTATTGATGGCACGATCGTCGAGTTACCCGTGGGAGGCGATGTGGTGGTCAGTAAGTCTAATCATACGCTCTTGCGGGTGCTCGCACCGAAGGAGGTCCTACCAGCCTAGAGGACGAGTTTACTTTGAACAGCGACATAGACAGTTACGAGTGGATTCGCTTTTTTTTAAAATGAGTCTATCATAGGGTAACTTAGAATGAGGCGAGGAGCTTTGCCGCCCGCTTCTCCATAAGAGCCTCGAATGAGGAGACGCCATTCTCTAGCACAGACAAACTGCCCCCCTTTAGTCGATATACTGTACGTCTTCTCACAATCTCTGCTTCATCGTCACTCTCATTACTTCCCTCATCCTGGTCATCCACCACACCCTCCACCGCTCCGCGCATGAACCACCTGTCGTGGCTCACCAGGACGACAGCTCCCTCCCAATCAGATAGAGCCTCCCGTAGTGCCGTCACCGTCTCGTAGTCCAGATGCGTAGTTACTTCGTCCAGAACCAGGCAATGGGGCCGTCGCCAGAACAGACGTGCGAGCTCGCACCGGACAAGCTGCCCGCCAGAAAGCTTCCGCAGCGGCACGTCAGAGGCGATCCTGCCGGGAAGGCCCAGCTGGCCCAGGAGGCCGCGCACCTCCCCCTCGCTGAGCTCCCCCCCCACCTCGCGCGTGAGGAGGCCCAGGGCCGTGAGGGTCTCGTCGGCCCGCCCGAGGGACTGCAGGTCGTCCACCGCCTGCTGCGAGTAGTAGCCCAGCTTGAGCCGGGGGTGCGTGGTCACCGTGCCCGACGTCGGGCGGGACTGGTCGACGAGGAGCTTCACGAGCGTGGATTTCCCCGCGCCATTGAGCCCCAGGATCCCCACGCGGTCGCCCATGCCGACCGAGATGTTGATGTCCTTGAGTACAGGGGCCAGCTTGGCAGAGTAGCGGAAGGAAACCTTCTCGAGCGAGATGAGGGCTCCCGGGAACCGCAGGTCCGGGGGCTCGGGCAGCGCGATGACCACGGGGCGCTGCTCGGGGGGGATGTCAATCTCCTCCCGGGCCGTCAGGTGGAAGCCCACCAGGTCGCGGTTGAGCTTGAACCGGCCCCCGCGCTGCCCGACCTCGAGCCCCCAGCGGTCGTCGAGCTTCTTCTGGCGGGATTTGGCCTGGCGCAGCTTGTTCTGGTCGTCGCTCTCCTTGCCGGCCTTCTTGTTGGCGGCAATGGACTTTTCAATGTGTGCCTTTTGCTTGTCCTTGGCCTCCTTCATCTTGGTGAGCCAGATCTTGCGTTCTGACTGAGACGCCTCGTAGGTTGCCAAGTCACCGTGGAAGTAGGTGAGCTGCTTGTCCTTGAGGATTAGGAGGTCGGTGCAGAGCGAGATGAAGTCACGGTCGTGGGAGACGAGGATGAGAGTGGGGGGCTTGTCGCTGTCTTGGAGCGACTTCAAGTATCGCTGTAGCCAGATGATCCCAAGCAGATCCAGGAAATTGGTAGGTTCGTCGAGGATGAGTATATCAGTCTCCTGCAGCAGCGCTGCCGCCAGCGCCGCCCGCATATGCCACCCACCAGAAAGGCTCCTAATAGGCTTCTCCATGTACGCATCTGTGAATCCCAAGCCTGTGAGGATACTTTTGGCCTTGGACTCTGTCTCAGAGAGGCGGGCGGGCTCGACCTGGATGTGTAAGTCGGCAAGCATATCAGCTGCTTCTTGAGTCTCCTCCTGCAGAGCACTGGCCGATATTTCCTCACTTGGCTGGTCGATACTGAATAAATAATTAGCAAGAAATATTTGGAAAAGTAAGGGGTCAGTGTAGAATCTTACAGAGCTTGGGACTCGGCCACGACCTTTTCAAAGGCTACCAGCGCTTTCCTCGCTTGTAGCCCCCTTGCGCCGCTCCTGAGCCGGGCATCTTTGTTTAACTTGAAGAGCCGATGTTGTAGGCGCTCATGTTTCAGCCGCCTGAGTGCTTGCACTGGAGCATATGGATCCGCTGCATCTACGCCGTCGGATAATGCTTGTGGAGAGTCAGCCAGGAGAAGCGAGCCTGTATTGTATTGAGGAGATGCAGCATACCTTTTATATCTTGTTCTATGTTATCTTTCGATATCGTCTTCTCCACGACCTGTTGTAGAACAGTCAGGTCCGGTTGGGCTTGATCAGCCGATTTCAAAGATTCCCCATCCTCTGTGATCCTCGTCTGTTGTAACGCTGCAATCCTCGTCTCCTCGGGTATTCCTGGTATCAACTTTTCCGCAATTGCTTTCAGAAGAGCTGAATCACGGGAGAGAAGTAGGATCGTTAATCAGGGGCTGCCGATTTTGGAAACGAAGATGCTTCAAGACTTACTCGACTTTCCTGTGCCGTTCCGCCCGACTAGGGCATATCGCTGGCCTGGCTTCAACCGTAGTTTCGCATTGGAGAGAATCTCAATGCCATCTGATTTTCCTTTACCCTTTCCCTTGCTGGGACCTTTCTCTGTGTCTGCAGATTTAATGGTAATGGTCAAGCCCTCAATATCTAGCTGCACAAAATGTGATGACATGGTTAGGTCTCTGGTATGATATGCCGTATTTGTCGGACACATACCTCGCGATAGTTGGGCGAATCAATGTGAAACCGAGTCTGCTTAGAGTTGCACAGAATAGATGTAGCAGATTCTGACCCAGCTGCGGTCATCGTGTGCGAGGCTGGCGAGAGATGTTTGTTGTTGAAGGGGAGGTGATTAATGATGCTCTAGGGTAGGTAGTGCTTGTGGATTGCCCTGGACTTGGAGTCGCTCTTGTTCAATTGATAATAATTCCAGCGTTTCAATCCCGTGGGCTATGGTTGTGATCTTGGAGGAAGTATTTGATTAGGATCTTGTAAATTTCGTTTAGCGAACGAAGTAAAGTCATCCCTGGTCCCGGATCGGGCTGGTTATTTTGGTATTTTACGATTCGGGAGCTTTGCGCTAATCATCCACACTCATGGTTACTCATAGTGAGCCTTCGCCAAACCGGGTAAGAAATGGTCTGCTAAATACATCATGGCGGGGTCTCCGGGGCCGAAGAAAGAAAGGCCACTGGGTTGGATTTGATGCTCTTTGCCCATTCTACCACATGGGTCTCAGACCGGAGAGTCTTGTAGAATATCCTGATCACTAGGCAGAAACCTGGGAGTATTTGTGCATCACTCATTGAAGAGCATTAATATACTGTATTCATTGATTCTAGAATGAGAGTAGTTATCACAGAGGGGGCACTCCTCAGCTAGTAATACATTGAGAAATGTACATATTTGCACTAGCCAATATCGCATCATTATTCACGAGATTGACATCTTTTTAGTCGACTCTGTCTCGCTCAACGAGGATAAAATTCCCTTTTCCTGCCCTCATGGCTCGAATGTGCCGTTCCGCACTAGCGGCGGCCTCGTTTGCTTCAACGTAGGCAATCTGCTCGGATGTTGGAGAGTCTGCATCAGGTGTCCACCCCGGGAGCAGTTTGATGTGTGTCATTTTCCCCCAGCTTCCGACCCAGTCTACGTAGTCATGGTCGGATGTCATTGATAACGCCTTGAACCACGACTCACATCCCGTCAGGTCAAGATACTCGAGCTCGTAGAGGTTGCGGCTGAGCATCCGTAGAATGAGCAGGGCCTCGCTCCAGTCATGGTCAATAGTGTGCGAGTAGTGGTTTGTCCCACCGTAGGCTATGCGCTGGCCTTGTGGCGAGGTGACCGTTGAAGTGCGAGCCCTGGGTGTGAAACACGGGACAGGCCAATGAGCGAGGCTCAGGTGAGTGATCGTCGTAGCTTTGGAGGATAGCGCGAGAAGCTGCTTCCACGATATCCCGTCCCGGCCTTGACGGTCAACCGCAAGGGAGAGATGGGTCAGGTTGGGGAGGAGGCCCCTTGGAGGGCTGGGCGCGCTCACTTCGGCTTCATCCCAAGATTCTTGGGGCTCGTCGGATTTCATATCTGGCAATGGAGGGAACAAAAGTTCTGTGATTTCTTTCAGCTTCAATGATTTGCCCACGGAACCAGAAAGATCAAGGCTAGTGACCTCTCGATTTACAATGAGATCACTGCTGTCGCTGTTGTCGTCATCACCATCGTCCTCATCGCCACTGCTCCAATAAGCATCTACTGGCGGGAGAAGTATAAGCTTCAAATCAGCTAGGGATACGCCCTGGCTGTCCACCAGGCCAATGAAACGTATCAGAGCCGACTTTAGGTGGTCAGGAAGGTAGTAGATATGATACTGGTTGTAGATACGCTGAACTTCCCAGTCCAGTGCGATCTTCCTTAGAGTCAGGTAAATCAGGCTTTCCTTCTGCGGTAGATATGCACCAGGAAGAGTGGCGGTTGCGAGGCCCAGCGAGCTCGCACTCAGATGGCGGGCGGCCCGTCTACTGGATGATGCATCACTGCCTTGGGACGACACCCAGCTCTGGGGTGGAGGGGGCCCGGCTGGGAGTCTACGTCCGCTGCTGTCGACTCTGGCCCTGACTGGGCGACGAGGCGACGGGGCAGGAGTCTCGGGGATCTGGAGGATCTCACGGATGGCTGGAGGTACACTGGGTGTGTTCACTGGCAGCTCGCGGGACGCCGATGGGCCGGCTGACGTGCGGCGGAGATTGGCGAGGATGTCATTGACGTTCCTCGTGGGTTTTGCTAAACCGCAGCTTTGTGAGACTCGACATGCACATCCTTCCTGGGGGTCCGGCTGGTCCAGAAGTGCCGGGGCTGGGAGACTTACTGGTGTTGGAGGCCGGGGTGGCCAGCGAGGTTGGCTTGAAGGTCTTGAAGGGCTGTCTTTTTTTAGGCATGCCAGCAGCAGCTCGGGTCAGCTACGCGTGTAACGAGGAAAGAGGAAGCGAAGCAAATGATCTTGTCAGTCGAGACCATCTCTTTTTAAGGCTTGCTGAAGCCGATCGATCATGGGGCCTGTCGAACCTGGCACAGCGTACGTTGGCAGAGGCTTATTGCGTTGAGTCACAACCGACGAATTAGTCAACGAGCCTTGGGTGGGAGAGCGGCATCCCACAGTCGCAGTCGCTGTCAGCAATTTCCTACCTTAGTGAATTGTTCGCCCCTCGTCCTTCTCTTTCGTCTCGCCCGCTGGAGTGCCGCAAAACATGCATTTGGTGGGGACGGGTAGCAAGGGTGTTAATTAGGTAGTGGAATAGTGGCGACCATGCGACGACCCTGCGCATTTGCAACACCATTCACTCATTAAGACTCATCTCTCAAGATCTTAATATAGAAACGACCTTTGGGGGGATAGATGATGCTTCTTTCGCCTCGCTCCAGACTGCAGCTTGGGTGCAGGAACCAAAGACCCTTCTGGCTCAGGGTGCTGCTCTGACGCTACGCCACGGACAGCCTAGAACGGAGCTCACTCTGCAGCAAGATTGATGAGCTCGCTTGCTGGCAAGTCGCAGTGACGGGAGGATACTTGGCTTCAACAATTTTCTCGTGGCATAGCCCCCATGGGTTGTCTCAGCCAGCGGGATGCCTCAGCATATACGCCCGAGCTCCAAACCCACCCCCTCTCTCCTCATTCTGTCCGTCCTTTTTCAAAAGGCCGCGACGTCCTCTTCCCTTCAAGTCCTCGCCGTGTGGGCTGGAGCTCATGGTGTGTTGTACAGACATGCGCATCTAAAACACTGGAAAGGTCCCGCTTCTCCTCTGATCGGGGACAAGACCACTTTGGGTGCAAGCGCCTTGCACCCATGCACGGGAGTCGACGGTGCAAGCATTTGAAGTTGAGTGTGCGTGTTGTTCGCTCCTAAGATGCGAAAGTCCGTCTTCTACCCACCCTGCGAGTTGGCCGGCAGCGCGAGGGTGCCCATCCGCCTCGAACGAGGCCAATGAGAGCCTCAAGTGATCATCCGGCTGTTCCTGTCACCCGTGAGCTATCTATATTTTTATGGAGGAGCAATGGCTGAACTGCCGAAGATCCTGGGGGCGCGTTGCGATTGGGTAGCCAGGCATGCCTATCAACCTTGGCTTATACATGCTTCCCCGTGTTCGGGATTTGGGAGAGAGGCATGGAGATAGAGTATGATGTATACCAAGTCGCTGTGGGGAGACGGAGAAAATTTTACCTTCTCGTGCGACGAGGCCATCAAGCAGAGAGATGGCATACCGCCGGCCTCGACTGAGCTCCTTTGTTGAAGGGGGACCAAATTCCTCCCCGAATGGCTTGCCTAAGAGAGCACATGCGGGAGAGACTTTCTTTGCGCCTGGATGACGGCTGTGGGCGGACCGAAAATGCCTATCACCACGGCCGCTGCTCGCTTTCTGCCCTTTCCGTTCTTTGTCCGACCAAGACAATGGCTGACTGGCCTGATTCAGGCAAGAGAAGCGAACGGATTTGGAAATTGACGTGTTGGATGGGGACTTGGGCTACACCTCCATCACCTCTGCCCAAGTCGCCAATCGACCATTCCGCTGATGACATGGTGTAACGTGAGTTTTTACCAGCTGGGCGGGACAGAGGCCCCGTGATGCCATCTGCCTTTCTGAAACTCGAGCACTGTGGCACACGCGGCCATACGACGAGGCATGACTGAGGCCGGGCCGGTAATATTATGCCTCATCATCTGTAGGCATACCTTGTTTACCTGAAAGGATAGTTTTACAGAAACGATGGGTTCTACGAGCATTTTCGCGTCGAGGCTCGATCTGTCAAAGGGGTCGCCCAACTTGGAAAGCTCCTTCCAGAATGGAGGCTAAGGGTACTTCACTCGTCTGCTTGAGGACGAGGAGTAATACAGCACGGAGCAGCTATCTGACACCTGGCGCTCCTTTGCTAGTAGTAGCTTTGTTGGTTGCTCCTGATTAAATGCTCCCTTAATAAACGCTGTAGAAGGGGTGCTGGGCTATAAGAAACCAAGTTGGTTGAGCAATCAGTACCCCAGAACGAAGGACAAGTAAGTGATTCGAATAGCTGCCCGTCAGAGGATATCAGATCCACTGAAGGTCATTGGTTTTTGGAAAGTTTAGAGCGCCATAAACTGCCCCAAAGACGCCTATGTGTCTCGTTATCTACGATAACCCAAGATTTCCTTAATTGTTTCTCTGTTTCGGCAGAGACCTCCTAGTTCGTAGGCTATCGTAGTCGGCACTGGTTTGCTTCGGGATATCCTTTCCGCTAGGAGAACTAATTCCATGCTGCTACACCTTCCTCCGTCTGCTGCCTTACCCAGATGTGAAGCTCCCACAGCAGCTGTCACTGCTCGGTCGCATGTGAGTGCGGGCTGTACCTACCGCAGTGCTTGTCGCCCTGTGCGATAATAGGGAGGACTCGCGCATTTTGTGCACGTACCAGCTCAGGCACAGCGAGACAGCTGGGTCGTAGTTGCCTCCCGGGCAGGGCATGAAGAAGGTGGTGAGACCGCACCTGCCTCTGGATCAAGCCACCACCTCATAGCCTGCCGCCCTGTTTGACCCAAATCCAATGGATTGACCCCAAACCTTACCTCAGATCTTGGCACAAGCAGCCAACCTGCTCATGGCGGGCCTTGCCTTAGTCTCCTCTCTCTTTCTCTGTCACAATAGCCATGTGGATTCCGCTTTGTGTTCGGCCAAGACTGCTCCAACACTGTCTGCAACTCACCCCTCAGCGTCCGAATAGAACACAATATTACGGCCTTTGGATCAGATTTGGCTTGAGGCGTCGAATTCCAGAATCCCTTGGCGTCCGCGACCGCAATTATGAGCTCGGAGCCCTACGTTGAACATTTCCTCATCTCTCGAGAACCAAGGCAGCGGTGCGACCCTAACTGCAAGCCGGCTGCCCCCCAGTAGCGATAACAACATGCGCAGGGCATCGGGCATGAGCCCGGTTTGGCATTGATGCTCGATAGACTATGCTGCTGAATTTACTAGGAAGCGATCGGCCTGCACGACATTGGCAAACCCACGCTTGCCATTCGCATGCCACCCACCCCATCCACCAATCCCACGACTCTACTTAATGACCTGTCACCTCGCACAGAGATTTTGATAGGTGCCGAAAGGGCTTTGTATTCCACGCGGTCGACCTCCAACACTGCTTCCACGAGGCGGCTTCGGCCTCGGCCGAAGGAGCAGCGTTTTGTGACATCCAGCCACTTGACATGTCTTGAATTGTATTTGTCGATTCCATCTTGAAATCCGTTCATATGCATAACCGCTTTCGTTCTTTCGATACCATCCCTGCCCCTGCGGGAATGAAGTTCGGCTGGGCCATTCAATGCGTCGCTTTGCCTCTCGAATTTCCACCCCGACAGGGCTTTCCTATTTTTATTTGGATCTTCTACCTAAATTGAGCCGCATCGGACATTTGCCTGATTTACTCATGGGCGTGTATTCCTTAGCGTTGCGATGTTGAACTAGTATGAGAGAAGACAAATGCCCGGCGCGAGGACTCACCGACAGAATAAAAACACCCATATCAGGCCCAAGCATGCAGAATCCTAACCGTCGTTGGAATCTGGTCCGAGCAATGAGGGAGGGGGGTCTCGTCCCTCCTACTCGGGTAGCTGCTGCTATCATTGGTCAGCCTCGGGTTGCACAATCATCATTGCAGAGCCATGCGCATGCAGAGAAGCTACCGCAGACTGGCCAGGATTTCCTTTCAGGCTGCGTTCGCAGCGGATCCTCATGTCTGGATATGCGCGTTTCCAAGTCACTGTTTCACATTGAGTAGGCCACGAGGTTGGAAGCTTGCCTCATTGAGACTCAAAGGTTTCCCCCCTCTGAGGCCATCATTCTCTCTTCAAGGGGGATGAGGCGGGCTATTTTTGGGGGAGCAACTACTCTTCAGCTGCTTGGATATGCTGACCAAATGTTCTACATTTATGATCATGGGAGTTGACAGGAACCAAGCAGATTCTCGCGTAGAAAACCCGCCCACAAGCCAGGTTCCCGTCTCCAGACCCAAACATTACGGGCCGTAGAGCGAGGGAGCGGTGAACTGGTAGAATTTTGCTTCCAAGACCCAACCGTCCATGTCTGGCAGTTGGCAAACGCACTGACTTTGCCGGGACTTTGCATAAAATCGAGATAGCTCAACTCAACTTGCCGGATAGAAGGGCTGGGTACTGGCTATGGAAGACTGGAATATCGAGGCCCACCACTCTTTTACTCGTTGGGCCTAGCGATGCCATGCGATATCCCGTCTTCTCGTCAAACCAACACCTTGCCAATCAAAGGCTATCGTCAGGGTGTGCCATGAAAGGCCTTACACAGCGGGCCAGACGGCTAGTTGCATATGTGTTGCTGGCGAGCAAGGGTGTGGGCAGACACTATCGGAGGAGGTGCGCCGAGTGAGCATGGGCACTGCTTGATCCCAGATGTGCTTGTACATCTCCAGGTTGTATATGGAAAGTATCTTGACCTCACAGATGAACCGGTGGGTCTCTTATACAAGGGAAGGGGCTTGATTTACCTCATTCTTGGACTTGATAGGTACAATTGTACTGACTAATTTGAAGTCAGAACAATGGCTTTCTATAATCAGAGCCATCGCCTGCCGCAGTATTGCGGCCAAGCTGCAAGCGATGGGCTCAAAGCATTTGTTTGGTCCGGATGGCGAATCCCATGGCCGCATCCACGCATGGGGATGCAACTCGTTCGGCTTCTTGCTTTGGAATTCAAAGATGGCCTCGTCAGCAATGCCAACACTTGATCTTGACTCCCACACCCCAAGGTGTCGTTTATTTGAGGTGCCCAATGCTGTCAGGTACCGTACACGGATCCAAGTTAGTACGGGTGTGGTGACTTAACCCCGAGGATTCACCTCAAGTTGAAAAGGCCAAAGGTTCCTCAAGATTTCGAAGTGCCCATTTGTCGTTGTCTCAGGCTCTGCACAACCTTCTCCTCTTCACATATTTTCCAGCCAACTCTTCGAGCTTTGCTCTCCAGGATTTCCAGATATTCACCTGGAAAAATTGGTTTCCTCATAAGCTCTATTCTTTTTGTGGTACTGATATTCATCCTTGCCTTCTTGCATCCCGCCCAGGCATCTTCGGCATCGTTCTGTGCGATCCTCCAAACAGCCACCAACACTCTGTCGCAGACGTAGTATATAGTCTGCCACCATCCAAGATCCAGTGCTCTCACAAGCTTGTGGGATATCAAAACTCCGTGCCTTCATTACTAGATCGCTCGCCCTTCGGATCGTCTTTGCCAGTCCTTCGCGCAACCTGTTGGGCTGCTGGTTCATACGTCGCACCAATATCGAGTGTCAACGCCCTGCCGAACAGGCGTTCAGATTCATCATACACCTTCTGATAGTCGCCGCAATTCTTTCACCTGGAAGCACAATTTACTAGAGGGTCGAGAAGAAAGCCAGTAAGTGTACTGACTCCCCTGTTATCGAATGCTGGGGGCTGGTGACGGTGAACATTTCCAATTGTTCAAATCACGCTCTTGCTGGGCTCTAACATTTATAGATAGAAAACCCGTTGGGATCCTACAAGGCCTTTGCCGGACTGTTGGAGCAAAATTGACACTGAATCAGGCAGCTCAAGTCCACCCAGAAGGTATGATGGTGTGAACCACGCCGGCATGGCTGTCTCTTTGCTAATCACATCCACAGGGAGTGAAACAGCGCCGACGAGACGTGTATGTAAGTCCGTCTGCCCTAGAAACGCCCCGAATCTTAGGTTCAATATCGAGACGAGGCATCAACAAAATTCAGCGTCTTTGGGACTGGGATGGCCATCGGCAATCTGTAGCCACCGATACCGGCTCGACCAAGACCATCATTCCGGTTGACATGCCAAATCGATTAAGACGAATCGATACGAGTCCGAATTGGCGACTAATTCGTTATAGACACGCTTCACAGGAAAAAGAAAAAAGGAAGATCGTCGCAAGAGCAGAGGAAGGCCTCAGTGCGAAACCCCCCAGTGTAAGTAATAGTTGGACAGGGGTCACACACGCAGGCCAAGGCCTAACCGCCAACGCTCTTCGCTGTATGGAATACCCCGGACCTACCTATTGGTGAATCTGCCCACGGGTGCCTGCAACAACAGCACCGGGAAGGAAATTAAGCGACGCAAGTCGATGAATTTGCTCTCGTGCGCGGACTCAGCTCTCTTATGAATGCAGACTAACACGGGTTGCCTGGCATGGCGTGCATAGATTCAAAACAAGCAAGCAGAGCCTTGCGTTCTGCGGTTCCGGGTCGATCTGCAGCCAGGGAGGTTCTAATATCTGCACGATATACCCTGTCAGAACACACGCGACGAGGTTGTCGCTAGGCAGTAGCGTATGAATTCTCAATTTCCCAAGGTATTTATCACTTCCAATGCCCTTGTTCTGCCCCTTCCCTCTCCTACCCTCTTTTCGCCCTTGAAGCACCACCGATGCCTCCATCGTCATTGCGGCGGCGAACTCAGCGATGGTGGGAATGGCAGACATGCAATTCTAGGGGGCCATTTCCAAGAAATTGAAGAAAGAGCCTAAGCCCCAATTTCCTCCGCCAAGTCCTGCGGTCCCAGCCATGTAGCATCATCTGCAGCTATCCTTTGAACTTGATCGAAGTGTGGAATAGCAGCCTGCCGCCGGCCGGTCAGTCGAGGTGGCTGCTTTGCTTTTTCAAACGCTCTCGGTATGTATGTTTTCTTTTTATTCCTTTCGATAAATGGACCCGAGACCTACAGGCCCTATTCGTTGGCTGTCCACTCTCACTCGAGTCCTCCGCGAATCGCGCCTCCGTCTCACTGATTGATTGCTCTGAGCCCATCCATCCTTCTCCCACATTTTCCCCTCCCTTCTTAAACCCCCCTCAGCCTTCCGCCTGCATCGAGAGCTGCGGGTACGACATATTTTCAGGTGCTTTGTCAAGTTCGATCCCCTGCCGTCAACCAGGCAACGCAACACGCGCATGCAAGGAATGCCCTGGGTGACGATGAGTCTGCCCTCTTATCTGTAGTTGGACCTGATCTGGGGTGCTCAGAGACACGGCATGCAGCCGAAGCCACCCTTCAGGTACTCTGTGCAACCATCCAGAATACCCCGGTAGCCGCAGGAAAAGGTGGCGCTCCTGTTCCGACTGGCCTGGTGCACTGTCCGAGGTCATGGTTGGTGACTGGTACTTTCTTGCGTGTCTCGAGTATCATCTGGTACTGCGTGCGACCTGGCCCGGTACTATTTGTCTTCTCACTCCATTCGCCTGCAGCACTGCTGAAGTCAGCGCCCGCTGTGCTGATTGCGAACCTCTCTGCCCCGTACCCTCTTTGTGTAATATGGTCCCGGAGTTGCTATTTAGTGTGATTGGGGCCGGACACAAATCATGGATACTGACTGACACTTTTGACAGGATCGTCATGGCGTAGCTGTTATACGATTACATGCAGGCCATATTCAATGCGCGCGCCGTCGAGCAAACCCAGCCATCTCGTCGTGACCCCGAAAGATAGCATCTGCTTTGGAAGATATTCTCGAGATCATGCCCATGCCCCTCATTGTCTACTCATTCACTTTTTGTTCTATGCCTTGAACAGCGTGTATCAAACTAACTAGATTACCATCAGCCGGACTACACCTCTCCGGGTCCTGGCCCAGGTGCCGGACTTGGCTCTGGTCCTGGGATTGACGGCTGCTTTGACATTCAGACCCAACCTGGGGATATAAGGTGAGAGATTCCTCTCCGGTTGGCGATCCATCCCCCCCCCCTTATCCCCATCCTATGCTGGACACCACCAAATGGCCTATCTCCACAACCTGCACACAACCGGTGGTCGCTCGTCTTTGGGTCTGGTGCTCCCACAGAATCGGCGCCCATTCAGACGAGCTTCCGCTGAGCCACCACTGAGAACTTCATCGGCTAGCGGCCTCCCAGCCCAATCGCCCATTTAGTACTGTAAGGCCTCAACCATGCGCCTCAATGGCGGGCCGAGGGTCACGGAGACGGGCAGCTGGTTTTGACCTTCAGAGGAGGCTTCTCATTTCCCCATACACACACCCCCTCTCTTCCACTCCCACCTACTTCCCTTGCCCACGCCAAGTTATGAGTTTCGGGACAATGAAGCCTTCCTGTTCGACGCACGTTTTGTTGTGCGACCACCAAGTGGGCAGTAAACCTTGAAACTTGGTGGTACTTGACGCTTGTGTATCATACCGGCGCGGTACAGCGTTGACTTGTGAAAACGCATTCGCTTCCTCTCTGCCCTGCGTCTTTTCTCTTCTCTTTCTCCCACTGATTTAAAGATAGATACAACCAGGAACCTACTACGACTACTCTTTCTCTTGATCAGTCCCACCAACAGCCACCACCACCATCTCTCTTGAACCTGTACCATCCACCAGTTATAGACACAACAACGCAATACCACCCAGACGGCACGAGCTATTATCCTCCACCAAACCATCACGTCTTTACTGGAGGCTTAGACGTTCGGCCTCGGCTACCGACCAAGTGAGTTTATCCATTCCTTCACCTTAAGGCCCTAGGCAAGCTTGCTCCTTCTTGCGCGCTCAGCAAGGCCGCTATTTACTGCGTATTTCAAGCAAAGACTCACCACAATCAGTACGGGACCCTCGATGGGAATAGCTCATACCCCTCGCACTGCATCGTTACCACACCCAGGGGGGCAACCGGGAACTCAAATCAGTGCCCGAGACCAATACTCTCAACCAACCCCATCCTTCAGGAGACAATCCGAACACGCCCCGTGCCGGTCTCCGCCCTTCTCAACATCTGGATATCGCCGCATCCCAATTTCACCCAGTCCCAGTCTTTCAGCCGGGTTTCCTGGCTCATCTGGTAGGATGGACTCCGGTCAGTACGGGCATTCTTCATCTCAAAACAAGATTCCTCCTCTCGAAGACGTTCAGACCCTTGGCACCTTTCATTACCAGGATCAAAATCGCACACCAGCCAAGATCGGTGTCAATGGCATCATTGACAAGGGCTTCTTCCAGGCTGACGGCGAGTGGACTTGTTATCGAAGGAACTACTTCTCATGTGTCTGTTCGTTTACTATTACCCCTTATTTTCCCGGCGTCCCCGTCAGCTTCACTCCATCAGGCTCAAACAGCCAGCCGTCAGTCATCCATGGCTTTGCCATGTGCATCTCCGCCGTTGTCTCCGAAAACGACCAGCACTCCATCGAGCTCGTTCAGCATACTCCTAAACGAGACAAGGGTCCTACGAAGAACCCTCCTAAGATCCCACTGATGGCAAAACAGGAGACGGGAGCAGGCCACAATCACATTGGAATATTCGGTGCCAACAGCAATGTGGGCCATGGAAACTCATGTTCTTACCCCGACGGCTGGGTCATCTCTGATACCAATGTCAATACACCGCAAACGGAGTACACGTTTGAGCGGATTCAGTTCAAGCAGGCTACCCAGAATAATGGCAAACGAAGAGCTGCTCAGCAGTATTATCACCTCATCATCGAACTCTGGGCGAACACAGCCCCTCCGGGAACCAACAAGGAACATTGGCTCAAGATTGCTTACCGCAAATCTGCTAAAATGATTGTCAGGGGGCGCTCTCCTGGACACTACCAGAACGACCGCCGGGGCAGCTCCAGCAACGGGCCATCCGGCAGTGGAGCCGGCATGGGCAACAACTACCCTCACATGGGCAGCTCAGGAGAGTACGGCAGTGCCAGCTCGATGCTTAGCAACTACACAGGCTACAGCAACGCCACAGGAACGGTATATGGAAGCCATCGTCATCACCACGGTCTGCCGGCCGAGACAATGATGGCTCCTGAGGAGGAAAAGGCCGTCGAGAGTACAAAGGGTTACCAGTACTACCCTGGTGCCCTCTACGACAGCCATGGTGATCAGATGTTTAATCATCACAGCGGAACCGATGCAATGGCGACCCACGTGACAACTGATATGTCGAGCAAGGTCAAGCATGAATATGACAGCTCCAGTAGCGCGCTGCCCCGCCTTACTCATGCGACAACCGACCATAGAAGGTGCGGGCCTTTTGATGGCAAGCCTACGTCGAACGGATACTATCCTCATGTCATCTCTCCAACTGGCATGAGCATTACCATGACCTAGTAGGGTGAGGACGAGAGACGCCAGCTCACTTTATTTGAGCTCATTGACTTCTCGAATGTCTACTTGAAGTCAGTCAACTATCGTATATCGTATCGCATGAGATATGCTTTTCATTTATTCGTTCGCAACCTGTATCTCAGAGGAAGGTCGGTCTCCTTCATGCGATCCTGACGAATCTGGTCAACGTGGAGATGTCACAATTTAACTCAAAGGGCCAAGAAATCTTTCCCAAGGCGTGTGGGCTGGGAGAAGAGGAACGGCGTATGGAACATCAAGAAGCATCACGCCATTTACCCTAGCTAAGAGGTTCGGACACGGCAGCAACGAACTAACGAAACGCTTACCAAGGGTATCCATGGGCGGATTCTGGGGCGTTTTCTTTTCCTTCAGGGGACCTTGCTGTCTCTTCCACGGGATGACATAGGGTTCATGGTTTCTGGTATTGATTTCTCACCTTCCTTTGTTGATTTCCTCTATCTGCGTTTCTTTGCTTGTTTCTGCTCTCTGCGCACCTCCTTGCTTTAAAGCTTCCTCGTCTTTGCCGCTGTTGTGGCAACGAGGTTTGATTTGGAGGAATATGAATTTCTTTGCCGGATAGCATTAACGAAGACTTCATCTGTGAGCTTTTGTATTTTTCCTTCCTTTAGCACATTCGCTCCTCAGCATACATGCCCAGTTATGCTTGGTTTCTGGATGGGAAGCTTCAAGAACAGCTATGAGCAACGACATACTCGGATACATTGTTTGGTCAGCCGCCAGCTGGGGACAATTTTGGGAATTTGGGTTAGGGAGAACAAAAGTACGGCTAAGGACAGGCGTTTAGGCAGGCGAAGGGAACATGAGACGAATTAACGGAACCCTGGTATCATAAGTGGAAACCTGTCATGTCAGTAGGTAGCTTTTTTGGTTTCTTTTCTTTGCGCTGCACTCAATCTTGTTTCTATTTCTTCTATTTCCTGTTCCTTTTTCCTTTTCCCAGTCTCCGCTCGCTCCTTTTCCTTTCTTATTTCATTTAGTCAACCCAGGAAGAAAAGACAAAAAAAAGACAAAAAAAAGAACAGGGTATTATAGCTACAATGACCAAAGTGCCGTGAATTAAGCATCTTCCGGAATGCCCGGGTTTGAAATGAACTTCCCGACGCTGGAAGGATGGCCCTCGCCCTGGGATGACTGCCACCAATTCTGACGAGGTGCAGGCGGCACAGAAAGTAGGAGACAAACTTGCTCCTGTCCCGTTGATAGCTGGAGAGGGTAGGGGAGGGGACTACGTCAGAGGATTAACTGGGGTGTCGTGAGATGGCCAACCAGGCACATGCCAACCAGGCTCTCAGTCTGTTCGGCTCTACGGTCTCAAGGGACAGTCCGAGGCCATTCTACGTCCGTCTCCTCAGCCAACTACGGTACGATTGCTACACTGTCCGGTGTATTCTAAGAAGAAGGGCATGAGCGTTGCCTGGGAGGAATACGATTGATGCCTGTGTGTGTTCAGAGCTCGCCAGCTATTTAGAGAGGGGGGGGGGGGGGGCAGAGTATGATGAAGCAACGTCAACTGCCTGGGGAACGCGCCGTGTTAGCGATAGCAACCTAACTAAACGGGACTAGAAAGGAGCGGGGGTTGCCCTCGTGAATACTGTCGAGAGTGAAGTAGATGTGATCTATCAGTTCTGCATACACACATAATTAGGACGGCGTAATCGTACCCGGGGTATTACGTGCATGATGCCGGACCCGCCAGGGTACGAGGCAAGGTTAGTCCGATAGAGTTTGGCTCTCATTGGGGGTCAGATGGTCGGCGGGTAGCGGGGAGGGCATATACGAAAGACGGAGATGAGAGGGCGGCGGAACAATAAAGCCGTTCGTAAGTGATGGGATTTTGTTGGGACGAGGGCCTGGAGCGTTTTGCTCGAGCTCGAGTGAACGGCTGGACATGGGTCCCTCGGGGGCAGGACAGCAGCAGCCTGGAAGACGTCACATATGGGCCAGTTCAACATGTAGAGACGAATCAGATCGGCTTTAAATCCACCACGGTACCTGGCAGAATGTCGAGTCTCACAACAGGTGAGCCCTTGTCGAGCCTGGATGCTGGGTATACTGTGATGGTATTGGGAACGGCTTGGGGGCATCGGTTGCTGGCTCGGCACATGGCAGTAGCTGTTGATCTCCCTTTCACATGCGCCCGGGAAATTGGCTGACGAACTTTCAGCCATCCACCCCGTCCACCCATCTGCCTGCAGGTCACGGCGTGGTCGTTATCTTGTCCTGGCTTGTAGCATCATGTACTCCCAAGTACGACCCAAGTCCCTCCCCCGCGCCATGATGGCATTCTCGGACTCGCAGCCAGCTTGGCTGCTTATACATAACCCCCCTCCTCCTCCTCCCACCGGTCATGTCGAGGGCACAGCAAGGCGCGGCGGTTAGAGGGGTGGTTGGGATGAGGATCAGGCTTCAGGTGCGATTGTCAACAAAGAGGACCACACCGGTGATCGACAATGCAGCTGCTGCACTCCCCCAACTGCACTTTTCCGTGCAGTATTCCACCAACGATATGGGTCGCTGGCCCCCGGGTCACTGGTAAACAAACCACGCCCCCTTGGCTCCGCGGTCAATCAAGTTTATTTTCTTTCCTCGGGGCGGCCTAGACCGGTCCTTGGCCCAGGAAGGGCATAGGCCAAGCCGTGCATGAAGAACGGCATCAAGATAGGGTCGTTCAGCGAACATGAGTCGTCATATACAGGTCAGCACTTCCTGCGCCCAACCCGGCTCAGCCCAACCCAGGCTCACAACGAAGGCCACGGTGTAAGCTGGGAAAAAGCCACGCAGCCTTGCCGGAATATGGTTACCACACATCAGGAGTTCGACGTCGGGGGAGGGTTGCAGAAGGGACGATTCATATTATTCACCGCTGGTCGCGTGCCAACTTGTCAGACACACCGAGGCTTTCGAGCTAGATGGAGGATGGGTCACGATCCCCGTGATGTGGTGGTCTCCCATCCAATGCGGAGGCAGAGCAGCACAGATCTTCCCTTCCCTCTCACTCACTTTTCTCTCATCCTTTAGCATCTCTCAGATCCTCCAGATGGCGTCTGACATCCTAGCAACCATTCCCATTTCCGAGACATCGTGTACGCGCACAACATCGGCGCCACCTTGCACAGCCGCTGCTACTGTTGCCGCCGTTCCCCAAACTCGTTCGGCCGGCTTCTCCACCCCGGTAATTCGACCCACGAATCGCTTGCGGCTGGAACCTACAAGCCAAGGTAATCCTTGCAGGCCAGGCCAGTGCCTGAGCTCCTCGAGGCTCCGCAGGAGCTCCAGGTTCTGGTCCTCGGTCTTAGCGAACCCGATGCCCGGGTCAAGGATGATGCGCCACCGACGGATGCCTGCAGCCTCGGCGGCTGATACTCGTGCGAGAAGTTCCGAAGCCACGGTAGGGATCAGGCCCTCGGGGTACGAGGTGAGCTTAGACATTGTTTGTGGCGTTCCGCGCATGTGCATGAGGCAGATCGATTTACCCAGGCGGGCTACGGTGGGCAGCATGTCGGGGTCTAGAAGCCCGGCTGAAACGTCGTTGATAATGTCAGCGCCGTGGTCAATGGCCTGGCTAGCCACCGACGCCCGGTATGTATCGACGCTGATGACGATATCACGTGCCTCGGGGATGGAGCGGATGAGCTCGATTGCGGGGAGGACGCGGGCTGCTTCCTCCTCGGACGATACCTGCTCCGTGCCGGGAGCGGTAGACTGCCCCCCAATGTCGATGATGGAGGCTCCCTTGTGCACATAATCCAGGATGACATTGGTGAGATTCGCAGGGTCGTGAAGGCCGCCATCAGAGAATGAGTCTGGTGTCAGGTTCAAGATACCCATAATCTGCGTTTTTCGTGTGTGCACAAGAGGCGTTAGATTTGATGATGAGGACCGCAAAGGCGTGACAGACGAAAGGGGCGCGGCAGGAGGAAGCTCGTTCAGGTAGTCCTGGACCAGTCTCCATGGCTTTGAAGGATCTATGGACTTGGATGGTGCAAGTCTGGGATTCTCCAAGGTCAGCCTCTACAGCCTGGGAAACGAAGGGGCTCGCCGTGGATTTTCCAGATGAACTCACTCTGCAAGTGGTCGCAGCACAAATTCCCTCTCAGGAATGCCAATGTGCGGGACACTAAGCCTCTCATTATGCACCTTCTCATCGCCGTAGAGAAGGATATCCAAGTCGATGTTTCTTGGTCCCTTATCTACTACCTTCACCCTCCCCATCTCCTGCTCAATGGCTTGCAATGCGTCAAGGAGAGCAAGCGGCTCGAGCTCGGTCTCGACCTAGACATGCCATGACATGTCAGCTCGCGGGCTCAAAATTTACCAAACATGAGGGCTCCTGGCGATGTACCTACCTCACAAGCGCCATTCATGAACAGATTTTGATCCTTGACATACATAGGCTCGGTCTCCCAGAGGCTGCTCGTCCGCTTCACCTTGATCCCCCGCTCGTCCATCATCCGGCAAGCACGCTCAATCTCTGCGACGCGGTCCCCTAGATTACTCCCCAGCGCAATGTAAGCGGTCCTCTTGCGATTTGCAGGGCGGCAACCACATCCTGAATGAGCCCGGATCTGTCCGTATATCGAGTGCGTCGTACTTTGGCGCGGCGTGCGCGCATGACGAGCCGGTGCTGCCGTGGGGTTTGAATGGGCGCACAGAGGAATTGGGGATCTTGTGGCGGCGGGACTGCAGGTGGAATGAGGCAGGCGGTTCCTCAAGCTGCTAAAGAGTCGATGGGGACGCATCGTGAGCTGGACAGGCGGACCTGGTGCTTACAAACCGAGGGCGATGGTTGGCGTATCCAGAGGCATTGGCTCGATTGAGGTTGCCATGATGTCGCTATCGACGAAATTTTGCCGCGATAAGCTCCAAGTCCAGGCGCTTGGCAGCGGGGGCTGTCAATCCCCTACGGCCCAGGCTCCGCCACCCGTAGCCCCCAAGCCCCTACGGCTCCAGCTCGCTCTAGGTTCAGGCTAAGGCCACGCGCACGAGCGGCCCTCACTGTATAGAATAACGGCGTCAGAGTTAGGATCAGTCAGATGGCCACGATTCATTCAGCACTAAAGTTAATCTGGAGTAGATTTGCGCGTGCCTTAGTAGAATCGATCTATCCCACATGCTTTTTTTCTCCCATCAGGGACGTCGGCAGTCGAAGGCAGAAATCACATCTCCGTCTCGGAACTGCTACCTTGGACCTCCGGGGAAGCCTCAAGGTGCCGTCTGAATTCGGCAATACTTCCGTCATCCCCAACAGTTGCAGAACCGCGCAATGCGACGGCGAGAAAAAGCAAAAGCATGGGGAAGGTTCGCGCATGAGATCGCATCACCAGCAGCACCGCAACAGTCAATGGGGTATGGCGCTGCCTCGGCAACTTCCCCAGATCGCCCCTGATGAGAAGACTGGCCCCTAACGGCCAATGGGGGATGCCCCTGTTCAGCCGGGCACAGTCGCCTGACTGATGCTGGGACGTCCGCCAATTATAGCGCCTCCCGCACCGCCGCCATCCCCACCATCAACAGGTGCCTCGGCATGTGCTAATCGGTTCAGTCGCTGCCAGGCGCAAATCGAGCCGACCCCAAACCCATTTATACGATCCTCCCCTACGTCGGTCTCCTCCGTCCAGCTGACTCCTGAGGTCACTACTCTTCTCTTCTTCTTTCTGTATCGATTTCACCTGTAGATCCCTCTTTCTGTCTCTCTAGGAATCCAGCTGCTCCAAGATCTCTAAAAGTTTCCCGATTTCCAACCCCTTTTCTCCTCGTCTTCCCTCTCATCAGTCGTCGACCATGGCATCCCCACGTACGTACACCCCACCCCTCAACTAGCTCCCTCGTTGGAACCAGACCAGATTAGACCATCCCAATGGCAACAGGAGTCATGATGCTGACAGCTGGTCCGTCCTCACAGAGAAGATTCGCACGCCCATCACCGACTTGTTCGGGATCAAGCACCCCGTCCTGCTCGCCGGCATGAACGTCGCCGCTGGCCCCAAGCTTGCGGCCGCCGTCTCCAACGCCGGCGGTCTTGGTGTCATCGGCGGCGTCGGCTACACCCCCGAGATGCTCAAGGAGCAAATCGACGAGCTCAAGAGCTACCTCGATGACAAGAACGCGCCCTTCGGTGTCGATCTGCTTCTCCCCCAGGTTGGCGGTAGCGCTCGCAAGACAAAGTACGTTTGCTCTGCAAAATGGCGACATTCAAAGCCAATTTTCCTCCCTCAGCTGTTGGCTGTCCGGCTTGCTTAGGAAGATGACTTCAGACGAAGACCCATGCTAACAGATTGTCTCCTTCTTTAGCTATGATTACACCAAGGGCAAGCTGAACGAGCTCGTCGACATCATCATTGAGTCCGGCGCCAAGCTGTTCGTCTCCGCCGTCGGTGTCCCCACCAAGGAGGTCGTCGACAGGCTGCACAAGCACGGCATCGTCTATATGAACATGATCGGCCACGTCAAGCACGTCAAGAAGTGCCTCGACCTCGGCGTCGACATCATCTGCGCCCAGGGTGGTGAGGGCGGCGGCCACACCGGCGACATCCCCACCACCGTCCTCATCCCCGCCGTGGTGGAGGAGTGCCGCAAGCACAAGTCGCCCATCACCGGCGGCCCCGTCCAGGTCATCGCTGCCGGCGGCATCCACAACGGTCAGCTCCTGGCCGCCTCCCTCATGATGGGCGCCGGCGCCGTCTGGGTGGGCACCCGCTTCATCCTGACCGATGAGGCCGGCGCCCCCAAGGCTCACAAGGACGCCGTCCGCACGTCGGGCCACGACGACAACATCCGCACCATCATCTTCACCGGCCGCCCCATGCGCGTCCGTAACAACGACTACATCAACGACTGGGAGGTCAACCGTGCCCAGGAGATCAAGGACCTCGCCGCCAAGGGCGTCATCCCCTACGAGGCCGACCTGGACAAGTTCATGAGCGCCGACGACGAGAAGCCCTCGATCCCCACCAGCGGCAAGGAGGAGGATGACGACGACGAGGACCCCTTCGAGAAGTACCGCCCTTACCTCATGGGCAAGTGCGCCGCCGTCGTCAACGAGCAAAAGCCCGCCAAGGCCGTGGTGGATGAGTTCGTTGACGATGCAGTCGAGTGGATCCAACGGGGCAACAAGATGATTGCCAAGCTGTAAAGTGAGTTTCCAAAGATAGTAGCGAAATATGTCTTTCTTCTGGGTTTGGAGTAACTTGCCTCTGCATTTTATTTTTTATTTTTTTGTCAACGAGGGCATTGCTTTCCGAGTACTGTAGATTTGAGATATACTATATAGCATGGCAACGACTGATGCATGAGAGACGCACGCGTTAAACATAACATTACACATTCCAATCTGGCACCCATCTCTCCATAAACTGAAACATCTTCACGTGAGTTATATAGGGGGATAATGGACGTCTATTTCATGCTAGTAAAATACCTAACCAAAAACATCAAAACCGATTGCAAAAACTCGTAAATTCCGCGTCGCCACCACATGCCAAAAGTGTACCACAGCCATCTCTTTTTTTACTTTACGCCGCGCCAAGGAAACGACATCTTGTCCACAATCAAGCAAATCACGAGACGGTGATGGCAGGGAACAACTAGCACCCTCGTGCTGTCGTAGATGAAATTTCCCCTGCCTCCTCCCATCCTTCTGCGGTCCTCCTGTACACACATGTATATATGTAGTTGTGTTATTTAGCTTCCGAGGTAGGCGCGGATGGCGCCTTGAAGCCGAGTGGCACCCTCACCGAGCGATGCGGTGATGTTCTCCAGGTCATCGCCGGCTGTAATACCGAACTGTCGGATGAAATCCTTGGCGGCAGTCTCGAGATCACCATAGTCATCTGCCGGCTCATCCTCCGGGCGGCCGAAGTAGGCATTGGAGGAGATGGAGGTGGCACCCTCGAAGCCTTGTAGGCGGTTCTTGGCTTCAGTTTGGGCGTTGGAATCGTAGTTACCACGGCCAAAGTACTCGTCAGAAGAGATACCCTTCTGAGCACCAAACTTGGTTCGGGCAAAATTATCAGATTCATCTGCAATCATGTCATGTCAGCAATCGAAATCCATAGGTATAGATTCTCCGGGAGCTCTTACCTTCAGCAGCGGCCTTGACTGGTCCCACGGAGCCGAATCCACCAGCATTCTTCTTTACTGGGGCAGCGGCAGCTTTGTTGCCGCCAATCTGGCCGAATCCGAGTCTTCCGAAACCCATACCCAAACGTTCGACCTCCGCGTTCGACTTGTTGCGGGTATGGGGGCTTGTAGGTCCGGCAGGAGGAGGGCTAACAGGTGTTGGCGACAGAATGGTGGCGCCGGATTGTCCCTCCTTGAGAGTTGGATCCTCTACAGCGTCGGGATCGTATCCAAGCTTCGCGATTCGTTCGGCTTCCTCCTTGGCTCGCTTTTCGGCCTCGTCGAAGTCAATCAGGTCGGCGGGGACCTTCTTAACGCCCAACTTGGCAGGCTTCTTTGCCCCAAGAACATTGGCCTTGCGAGGTGCTCCAGCGGTGCCAGTCTTTCGCAGTGCAGCGGATGTCGTGATACGGCTGGCAGGTGGCTTATCCGTAGGATCAGTCTTGGATAGCGGTGAGGCTGACCGAGTTACATCCTTGCCATTGCCGGCGCTGAGGAAGGGGGAAGGGGTTCGGCCCGTCGGGGTTCCAGTCCGTGAAATAGGGGGTGTAGGTCGCTTGATCGCGGGTTTGTCCCAAGATGAGAAGAAGTCGTCTTCAGGCTCGCCGGCGGGAGTAGAAGAGCCGTCCGCATCGACACCGTCAACCACGACCTCAGTAGGATACCTAAGTCAAGAAGGTTAGGGGCTGGATGGATATGGAAACAATCTTGAGTGAAAGGATAAACACTGACTCTTGAGCATCTCGAGCAGCCCGTCTCTTGAGCTCCTCCTTGTACTTTGTTGCCGCGTTAGATTGGTACTTGGTCTTGGGGTCTTTGCTGTTCAGGGCAGCAGTGCCTCCGTTCTGCTGGAAAAACTTGGTGGCAGACTCGTTGCCACCGACTTTCATCACTCGGAGCTGTTCCCATTGCCACTCTATTAAGTGTGAATTAGCAAAACCGCGGCGTCGAAGGATCCAGCATTCTGGCACATACGGTCGAGGTTGGTAGATCGCACAAAGGAGATATGGACACCCAAGTTGCGATGGTTAGAAGAACAGTCGAGGCACAGGTAGATACCGAAAGGTACCGATGTCCACGTAGGGTTCTTCTGACCACAGTCGAAGCAAATCTATATGCATCCCCAAAGTCAGCCCTGACCATAAATACGCGATCCGACACTCGACGCGCCGCCCACCTTATTTGCCTGCTTGGTTTTCAGTTTATCGAAGATCTTCAGCGACTGTTGTTTGGTCGCGAGGCCGCTCATTCTGGCGTTGTGCTCCCCGTGGAGACTCGCGCTCGGATACCAGGATTGAGTATGAAATTGTCACAGAACGGAGACTCGGTTCTCTGCGAGACAAGGGCGAATTCGCGCCGCGTTGGGGATATCACAATGATTGGTGTCCAACGAGGAGTTCAGGAGTCAATAGTTGATGTCGAGGTGCAATTGGTAAAGTGGCATGTCCGATGCGCTATTCCCAATTTGGATCAGCATCTTTCCCCACCTCGACCTTTCTGCCGAGGGCGGTGACAGCCCAGTCAATAGAAATGCAGCTGCATGTGTAAGTCACCACAAGATGCCATCGCCAAGCGCATCCGGCCGCATCCCCCAGACTTGAGCAGATCTACGACAATCCTCGAACCGATCGCATAAAAAAGGGCTTCATATGGTCCTCCGAGAAATGGCTCCAACTTTCCCACAATGAATCCCTCAAAATCATTGGCAGGGTTACGACCTGTCTCCCGCCTAACCTCCGCAACCTCGATCCGTCCATTTCTGAGCGCCCGACCGTACGCCACCCAAGGCAGCACGAATAACAATGCCAAGCCTACATCACGTAGGCGCTCTGTCACACCATTCAACGATACTGGGTTTGTGCCTTGGAGCGAGCTCTCGGTGAGCGAGAAAGCCGCCCGGGCCACCCAGCAGAGCTTCAACTTTGGCATGGTGATAGTTGGCATTGTGCTCACTGTCAGTCATTTGGTTTATTCGCAGATCCCCCGGGCGTTAGTTTCTGATTCTTAACAGGGCGGTGTTGGATACTTCCTCTGGCATGATGTGTTTTCTCCCGACAGCAAGACCGCACAATTCAACCGAGCGCTAGATAAAGTCAAAGTTGACCATCGATGTATCGAACTTCTTGGGAACCCCAAAAAGATCTCTGCGCATGGTGATGAGTCGTCAAACAGCTGGCGACGAGCTCGCCCAGTAACGTATAGGCTTCCTTCCAAAACAATGCAAATTTCAAGGCTCCTACTAACACCCAAGGCAGCTCTGTTGAGCGAACCGACCCAGACGGAACGCACCACCTGATAATGCACTTCTATGTTAGTTCAACAATGCATTCAACTCCTGAGGATTAATACTGATATCATCCTAGGTCAATGGGCCGCTGAACAACGGCGTTGTTCGGCTTCACATGGTCAAGTACCGCAATTCGGACGATTTTCATTACAAGTATCTCTTCCTGGATGTCAAGGAGCATGAGCGCGTGTATCTGGAGAAGGAAGATCCAAATGGCGCCGGGGGACACCGCAAGCAGCTCAGCTTCTTTGGTGTGAAATGGGGTTAAACAGAGTCGAGTTGACGGAGCGATGAAGTTGCGAACTTCTTGCGCTTCGCCCGTGTATCACCACTGTTTCTATCATGTCATGCTGGGATGCCTTCATCTCTAGCCATCACAAGTAGCACGGCGTTGCTTTGGATTTCCGGATATCCCATCGATTTCAAAGGTTTAGGAATGGAAGGGGGACAGGATTGGTCTTGTCATTTGTGGGATTTTAGCTAGCCACTGGGTTCGGCTGCAATTGAACTCCAGCGATTCATTATGACTCGGACTCTATCAATGGAGAACGATGATTACTCTTCGTCTCCTCTGCGACTACGACGCCAACGATACATCTGGTCCTTCTAATGTGGTTTTCATGGCTACGAAAAGGAATTGGGACGGGTCATTACGGATTACAATATTGTGACAACAGACCGCGGGCTCGAACAACATTCCTCCTGACCGGGATCGCCATACATGCACTGTGAATTTAACAATAGTTCATCTTCAGACGAAGCGCAAACTCCAAGGACGCTGCAGCCTAGATCGTGAGAGTGCAAGGCAACTCAAAGCTTGGCTACCTACCAACCACCATATTTTTGCCTTGCGTCCGGCATTTTTGATGAACTTTTCACCCGTGGGAAGCCATGTTTCCGGATAACAGAGTGTCAGACCACCGGAAGAGCCATGATCAAAGATTATGGTTACCCCTGAGGATGCTACCCCGAGGGGCAGGATTCACTCACCAATGGTAGGAGTGTTTCGGCAAACCTGGCGACCCGTCCAGTCCAGCCTCCGCAGCCTTGGCCACGAGGTCTGTCAAATTTTAAACAACCTCGTCCATGAAAAGGGGGGAGGATGTTGCGGTATTGTCTCGGTAACTGTACACCAACTGTGTATCCCGTCACTAAACGCTGTACAGCAACGTCTACTTCGCCGTGCCTTCAATCTTTAGCTGTCTCCTTGTGCCCTCCTCGTTTGTGGGCTTGATTCTCAGGCTACTGTCTACACTACAGAGGAACTCATGAATAATAAGATGAAAACATGAACAGAAATGTATCCCCTCGGGCGTCTCAATAGCAACCTCTAGGTGCATACGAGACAGTGGGAAAACAAATACCACTAACCTCTATCACATGGCGGGTACCAGGGCCAAAGAATTATTCCTCAACCGGCATGTGGAAATGTACAAAGCTCGAAATGCAATCATCTCTTACACGATACTCAACAATTCATATCAGTCGAAGGCAACAGGCTAGGTGCACCCCATCCAGTCGATCCCCGCTCCGATCCGATAGATAGTATGAATCGGCGTCTTAAACATCAAGAAAGCGAGTCGGCGTGAGAAAGTTATCTCCCTGTTCTGTCTGTTTCCCCATGGAGACATCGGCGTTGTACAGCAGACTCACGCCATTCGGACGCATCACCTAAGCCAGAGTAGCAGGTTACTCTCCGGCAATCCCCATTTGGAACCCAAATAAACCGGGATTGGCTGAACATGTGGGGTAGTAGTAGCATTCGAGCTTCGTACTCTTCATACTCCATTTCTATGGGTGCACTATGTCCCGGGCCGGTGCTGTATCACAGACCTCACATCACACTTCCCAACCTGATGTGCCTACGTGTCCTGGCCGAAACACACGACATGCAGGTCCATGTTTCTCCAGCGTGGGGTCTGAGAGGGCGGGCATGCTGCAAAGTCGGAAAGATCGGGCATAACCGATTGTTTGGGGCGGTGATCATGATAACATCCCCAGCTACGATCTCCTTCTTGCGCGTCCACGTCGTGGGGAATGGGGCGTGCACAAAGCTGAACGCTGCCACTCTGAACCAGGAAGAGGGGGTGTTGCCAGGTTTCTGTTCTCACTGAACGAGCAACCAAGTCGTTGTACCTCGCCAATTTATGCTGGAACAGTGGATGGAGGCGTGTGTTTACAAAGGCTTTCTGACATGCGGCGCTCTTGGATGGGATGAGCCCATCACAAGACTAGGAAAGCTTGTTTGTACCGTCGGGACAAGTTGGGAGCAAAATCAGGCATGTTGCCCACTCCCCCGAAGCCGCCGGGCAAGGAATCCCCAGGTGAGTATCAGGGCAACATTGTCGGTACCGCCTGTGCTCCGCATGTCCGGATATCGAAGTTCCTGCCCCCATGCCTACTGGCAAAGATATTGAGGAAAAAATATCCACGCTCGGAAAATAAAATACTTCCAACTCGATCAAGTTTGGAATAACGGGAACCCACTCACCAGAGGCCAGCTCCTCATTGTCACCACAATCAGTAATTTCACGGTGATGGGAAGAATCAAAGTCAAAGAACAAGGCGTTCCAGCAATAACTTAACTACCACACCATGGCAAGCTCGGGAGGACAAGGGGTGATTCCCATGCATTCCTTGGTATAATGAAGGGCAGCATAGCCGTGGCTATCTGACCCCGGGAACAAGGAGAATAGAGAAAACATGCTTTTTGATAATCACTTTAGGTTCATGGCAATACCTGCCAACCACCTACCGGCAGTGCATACCCGTTGGGGACCCCAGAAGGACCAATTCTCGGCTGATCAGGCCTTGCCCTGTGGGTTAGAGTGTATTTTTACTTGTTGGGGGGATATTAGAGCGACACCCCCCTTGTTCTGACATGGTGAAGCTCGAGGGCTTCGTCTTATAGGTCATTGACTTGTCGTGGGTGTGTGTACAGTCAACCCATGGAAGGAATGGACAGGTGAAGGAAAGGAGACAGCAACACAGGCCCAGTGAAGTGCAGATGCAATGGAAATCAGTTCCAGGCTACAAGGTGCGATTGGAGTCGCAAATAGCCGCCGCCCAGGGTCTTGATACTCGTACGAGGATTCGGAATCGAAGTGGAGCCCATCCGGGGAGGCTGACCGAGCCTTCATTTTATAGGAAGTCTTGCGAGAACAAGGTGAGCATGCCGGTCGGGACCGTGTCCGAAGGTCTCGGTGAGAGGGCACTCGAAGAGGAGAAAACAAGCATGGCCTGGAGATCACACGTCCTTACCAACCGTCTCTTTCCTCTGCCAAAACCGCATCGATTTGGGGGCGATGTCTAATCTCTCGCCATCGGAGAATAAAACCACGCCGCATAACCTGCAATGGGTGACAGGTATCCATCCAAAATGGCACCCCCAGCGACAAGGTCGGATTTAACCTCCGAATGTTCTCTCAGCCTCCCTGCCCCTGCGAAGAGAAGCAAGCCTGCCTGCCTGCCTGCATAGCACTCATGATGTGCTGTAACCGCTACCAAAGGATGCCTGCACATTCCACAACTCCGCACTCCTTGGCGGAGCCCCAGTTTTGAGGGTTTCATTGCCTCTCGCTTCCAAACGGATGCGACAGGTACCTACATAACTGCCACCCAGTGGGCGACCAAGTGGTACGACACCGACATGTGCAGGTCTTCGGGATCGCAACTCGTACCAGAATCGCAGACGCCATCGGCTTAAGCCGGGGAGGGCATCAAGAAGGTCCAGGGCTTCCGAGGAGGGGAAACGATTGGATCGCACATTTCATCCTCCCCCTTAGGCCACATTGGCGGGCATTCGGAAGCCGTTTCTTTTCGCGCCCAGCTAGACTTTTACCGTTGGCTGGCTGGGCGTCTTCGAAGAGAGTCTTGAGAGCCATCGCACCAACTTGCCAATTTAGGCAAACTGGGGCGCGAGACTGAGTTTCTCGGAGTTCATCTTGACTGGCTATAGCACAGCATCTGGTATTGCTGTAGCCATCTCGGAAGGCCGGAACGCGGCTCCAAACCTTGCCCTGAGCAAGATGGAATGTGCGTATCCAGATACCTCTGGCCAGGTGGCATAACGTATGCATTGAAGGCTCAACCCCTGGGCATTCGTCAATTGATTGAAGTGAACATAGTATAGGCACATAATTATCCTTTGTAATGCAGGCTATGCATATACAATTATGTTGGTAAATTTGGCCGGAGCAGAAACATGCGTTGGTGGATGAGAGAGCAATAGTTGTTTGGCAAGCACGTGCATCCTTCATTTGCCTTGCCTTTCCTCGCGGCTTTGGCTGCCCATCAAAATGATTCGAGCGAAGCTGGCACCCACACTCAACGCAGGTGACAACTGACTCATCTGCCCCCATCTCTCCACAGGGGAAATAGCGGCAGCGATAACACTAATGTACGTACCAAAGTACCTGCTTGCTCCGTCAAATGTTGACTGCAGTTGCGCCTACGACTGACGCAGGCTTTGCGCCACGCTGGAATGATCCCTCGGCCATGGCCTGCGTCGCCTTTCGCTGCGTCGCCTCGCCTCGCCTCGCCCTGCTTCAGAGCGGAGTCCCGTTCCTGTTGCTGGGTGAGTCAACACGGCGGTGGTAAGCTGGGTTGGCGACGGCGTGTACCTGCGGTGCCGCATGCTGTTTTATGTGCGTACCCCCTCCCCATTTCCGCTCGAGACGCCCAGCCATGGCCCCCTTACCTGGACACCCCCTTCCCCCACAATCCCACGCCTCCATGAGAGAGAAATCCCTGCCTGGGCATGCGCTGTGCCAGGGTGAAAGGCAACCAGGAGCCAGGGGGCCTCAGGCCATGGATCTTGGGGGGCGTGGGGGTTTGCTGGCCTGGCCCTGTCGTCATCCTCGACCAACGAGCTCTGGGGAGCAGTACAGCTTCGGGATACCGCTCCGGGCGAGCCCGACTCGATCCGGTATGCTGCTGGGGACAGGTCCAAGCTGAGACCGCGAAACCGAGACTCTCATGGACGGAGGAGAGATGTGACAAGAAACACACTTTCCGAGGCGAGATATGGTCTGAGTGCTTCAAGACTAGATAATATGCATGTATCACCATGTGATGCACCTGTAGCGCGTAGCACGCGGGGAGAGGATTCCAAAGGATGGGTGGTGGCCACCGCTTTTGGGGTTGCAGAATTTGCTTTGTCTCTGGTCACCCCCAGCTGTACTGAAGCACTTGATCAGCTCATGCCTCCTCCTGCTTGCTCCCCATGGGGAGAGGATCCCTCTGGTAGAGCAACAAATCTTGGTGAGA